TCCTGTTCAGCCTCCTCGCTGCCCGGGGGCTCGCCCACTGACTCTGAGGGGGGCAGCAGTGGGCTCAGCGCTGGCATGTTGAGCAGGCTCAAGAGCTCGGTCCCAGGTGTGGGCTTGGTGGGCGTCGGTGGAGCGGTCAACAGGGACTGTTTCGTTTGCTTCGAGAGTGAGGTTACAGCCGCTTTGGTACCTTGTGGTCATAACCTGTTCTGCATGGAGTGTGCGGGCCAAATTTGCCAATCCGCTGAGCCAGAGTGCCCTGTGTGCCACACCCCCACCACACAGTGCATCCGAATTTTCTCCTAATGCCCAAAGGGAAACGGGGACAATATGGGGGCAGGAAGGGGACTGGAGAGGCACAACCGGTGGGAGAGGAAATGGAAAGATTGACACTAATAATCTTAACCTTCAACTAAAATAAATGCATTATAGTTGCTGTTCAGACACTGACTTGTTGCTGATATTAACAACAACAACAACAATAATAATAGTAATAATAATAATAATAATGACAATTATTTTCAGAATGAAGTAAATTAAACAGATGGCTGGGACTCTTAGCAGTCTCTTAGCAGTGAGCTTATGAAACAAACTAGTGTCTTATCTATCTTCATGCCTTCATTTCACCTGGATGGGCCTGTGCACAGCTCTTTCTGGACAGTTCTCCATCTGGCTTTTTCAGATTTATGCCTGCTTTCCGTCTCACAGCCTTTCCTTTTGACACTTTTGTACTTAACATATTTTTGATGAAGCTGACAGCGAGGCCTGCACTTTTTCTACTCTACTACTTAATTTTATTGTTCCTGAAGGAACACAAACTGTTCTGCAATTCTTTGCTTTCTTGACTTTCTTACTCATGCCGTTTGTGGTATTCAGTGACAGTTTGCTATTTTCTTAAAGCTCTGAACTTTTCTTTAAAGGTCGGCATGTAGTCAGGCACTGAGCAGAACAATATACTTCAGATGGGTACATTCTCTGCCACATGAACATGTGCTGAGCTTTGCCAATGGTGATGCCAAACAAATGCTTGTGAAAGGAACACCTAGCATTACCTTAACTTTAATGTATATGTACACAAGTGAGTGCCACTCAATATTGTAACAACTGAGAAACTAATAATGAAGGCTTTTCTGAGGTTAGTTCTCTTTGTGGGCTCCCAGCGATCCTCTCAGTCTCTACATTTGGGGTTGTTGGCAATCAGAAGCCCACAATGTTAAACTTGACATCACTGTGTCCTCATCACAAAGAGGCACGGCGTTTGTCTCATTGCTCCTCTGCTTCCCCATCATCATTAGAAAGGCAATCCATCCACATTTGAACATTTCCCTCCACTCTGTAGATTCTGTCTGTTACGCTTAGATCTGTGTATTTAGTCTTTTCTACTAGTTTTATGACTATTGACTGTCATGTGTGTGGCTTACAGACATATTTTGATCTCTAGGATAAGATAGGGCTTTCTGATGTCACACATGAATGTTTTGCCCACAGGGGTTTGATTAGGGAGAAATGGCTGCCTCTCTATGTGAAACCATTTCAAGGGGCTTGATGAAACTATTTTTCTAATGCACTGACTAATTTCCTGCCCCTCTAAAATTCAAACAGCTCTTAACTGTTATTGTTCATTTACGGTCTTCCACCCCGATTTCAACAGCAAAGCTGTAAGGCACTCTTTCTGACGACACGCTGTTCACAAAGCTGCTGTCCTGGCCAAAAGCAGCAACACAAGTGTAGTTTGAGACCTGGCCTGTGTTTCTTAGCATTACTGAGTAGGGCGGTTACACCTGTTTTGTGTTTATGTGTTTTCTTGAATTCTGTGTGAGTTTGCAGTAACTGCCTCAATAGTGTTAATACTTTTATGTGGTATGTATGATTTGGGTGACATTGATGGTTGGTGTTCTTGGCCACACTAAACTTATTGGAATAGCTCATAGAATGAGACAAGCCATGACACGTGATTTAACAAACAACACAGCTAATGATTAAGGGCTTCCTCCGACTGCACAGATTTTACCACCTTTTCAGGCTCTCAGTAGGAACATCCAACTCCTTTATGGCAGCTAGTAGCTAGGTCATCCAGGGCTTCCAGACACTTTGTGTTCAAACTCCAGTGGCTGCAGAAAGTCCTCTAGGTTTGCTCCAATGTTCTTTTTGAATTGGTCTATCCCATTCCCTGCACATATTTTCTTCCCCCTCTATTTATAGAAGTGTAATTAACGTGTGTCCTCCTGTGGACATGAATGCACATAAGGAAGTATTAAGAGGTTTTTGAACAAGGAAAAAGGGTAACTCTACATCGGTAATAATAAAACAGTGCTTTGGAGATTCTGTGCAAAATTGAATTGATTGTGCTTTGTGCTCTCTAGGTGTGAGACTGATAGTCTGGAACCAGAGACCCGGTTTAGTTCGGCACAACTCTAAACACATTGGCCAAATTTGGCAGAAGTTGAATCTTTAGCCATCATTTGTTTGATTCGCACTGCTGAGCGAATGGTAACATGGTAGACCAGACATCTCAGAGTTCTGTCGTGGGAGTGCTGTGTTGATACTGGCAGCATTATTCATTCAGAACACAGAGGGCTGTGAATTATTTGAATACAGAGCAGTCAGGACAGTTGTCTCTTGAGGCCAACCAAAAGCCTAACTTAAAATATCCAAGTGAATATGTACTAGAATCAACTGTGTTGTTTGCCAGATATTTGGTGATGCACCAGGTTTATCTGACTATTGTGTGAATGTTAGAATTAATTAATGTACAGTAGTTGTAGAAAAAGGTACTTTTTAGATCACCTGGTTTTTTTAAATAATTTTTTTTATTTTAGCCAAAAGTATCTCCTCCCCCCATTCCTTTCTTAAAAAATTGAAAACAGGGTTTCCTGAGGCATGCTAGCCAGTGACCTCTGACCTTTTTGTGACTTGTGGGGGGAGTGAAGAGAGCCACAGTTCAGGGGTGACTGATCCCCTCCAGCCTCTGCTCTCTTCTTTTGCTTTAATTCTTTGTATGCAGAACCAAACTAGGGATCAGGCCCAACCTGTGTAAATATCCGGAATACAATCATTGGGATGTTGTTTTCAAAAGTGTAGTTTCTAAAGAACATGTATCATTATTTGTAAGTTAACCATCTGCATGTCTTCAAGCCATCTGGCTTTAGCTAATAATTTTTATGATGTAAAAAAAAGTTTTTACACATTTTATTTTTTACGATTTATTTGCATACCTAAATATCCCAGACAATAATGTGACCCTTTTTTATTACTTCAAACTTATTTTTTATTTTCCATTATTTGCTTTATTTCCTGTGTACTACATATAGGCAATTTATAACAAAATGAGAAAATTATTGAGAAATTTTAAAATTGAAATATATTTTATTTGAAAGTTTATGGACCTTTTAACCGTGAGCCGGGAATAATTGTATAATCATATAATTTGAGCTGACTTTACGGTTATGAGAAATGTAATAAGAGTTTTATTTTTTATGCTTCTTTAATAAAGTCTTGTTTTTTGGTTTCATTTTTTACTGTAAAATAAAAAAAATGCGTATACAGTGTTTTATTCCTCTCTTCCTTAATATAGACTCCTCACTTCTCTATAATCTAATATAGACTTGTGGCCACATGGGGGCAGCGAAGTAATTCACAGTGATTTGAAAGGTATGCTGAGTGAACAACACAATCCATTAGAATTGTGCTCATCTAATATGTCTCTGCGCCTTAAAAGCAGCAATTTAAGGTGCATTAAATGGTTAATAATGTAAAAGCCTGAATTACTACTGTATTTTTGGTACACTCTTATTTTTTTTATGATACCTTCATTCTGATTATATTAATGCCATGGCTAAATTTCAGTGAATCCACCTAAAGATGTATACATTTTATGGTGAAATACCTGCCACCTGCCTGTCTCCACAGAAATGGTATTGCTTTGCCTGGAATGTTTCACAGTATGGCATTATCAGTATATCTCTATGGAGATAAGCACATCATATGGAGACAAGGCAATGCCTTAATTTGAATAAATGCATGATACATTAGGTTGATTCCATTTTTAAAGGTACACTGTACAACTTTTCTGGTGGAGGGTCTGCCACATGCTGGTCTCCATGGAGATGTTATTGTTCTATGGTATGACATTAAACATCCATCGAGCAGTTATTCATTATGAGTATTTCTATTGCTTAAAAACAAAATAATTCCTTCTGTAAACAATTGCGACTCCACAGATCTGGCTTGTAATCTAGCAGAGTGCTATCACTGGCTTGTCTAACTTGTTAGATAGATAGATAGATAGATAGATAGATAGATAGATAGATAGGTTTAATCTATACTGTGGAACATTCTAGACAAAGTAATAATACTTCCATGGAGACATCAAATGGCAGACCCACCACTAGAAATGTTACACAGTAACTTTAACTTTAAAGTTAATTTAGTTGTAATAAAAGTTAAAGGTGTTTACATTTCAGGGTTAGTATTAAATTACATGCACTTTGCATGCATAATTTTGCTTTTAAAAAGGGTTTGACAATGTAAATGTACTGCAACTTAGATGAATCTTTTTTAATTGAAAGCAGATCACAATCAGCATTCCAAATCCACCTCATAATTAAAGTCAAATTATAAACATCCTTAGTAGAAAATAGTTTCTCTCATGCGGATTTTGTGTTTACACTACATTCAGAATGATTACAGATGACAAACTCACAAGCTGCTTTGAACAAAAAAAAAGTAGTTACATTGTTTTGTAAATTGAAAGAGCAGAAAAAGCATTATGTCCTGTTTACATCAAAAAGACACGTGCCGACACAATAAAGTTTCCCTTCATGCATTTATAGTTGACTATTCACAGGTCGGGCATCATTGGTCTCCACTGGTGTGTGTCAGTGTGCATGCATGAGCTGTATTTCTTCTCACAAGTGCCCTTTTGTGCTTGAGCTCCACTGCTGTGAAGATAGGTCATAGTAAGGTGTGTGCGATTATGGTATGGCATTGATTCCAAACAGTTTCTAGGCATGACTTACAATGAAAAATGAGAGAACAGAAATATGTAGGACTCAGACCAGTGTTTCCCAAACTCAAACGGGACGTGGCTTCTAGAGGGGGCATGTACATTAGTCCCAGGGTTCACATCCACTGAGACAACTATCCTTTACAATCATTATGAGTTCCTTACTACATTAAGAGTGGTAAGAAGCTAAAGTACTGGATAAAAAGACCTTCTCACTAAGAGCTAATTGTGCTGAACTTTTCATCTTGATATTTGATGCGTTGGGGAAACACTGGTGTTGATGCCTATGTCAAAGGCAGGTGTTGGTGTTTTTTAATTAGTTATGGCATTTTTGGACCAGTCATCTGAAGTAGGCCGTGCTGAGTGAAACCACATTCATAACCATATTTTTTGGTTTGTATTAAGGACAACATGTGACTGACCAAACATGCTGTCAACCCATTAATGAGAGATCTACAACCAACATGGTCTAATTCTGAGTACCTTCAGCTTTATAAGGTAAAGGGATTGTTATTAACATCAACAACTGGACAGATTATTCTTGAACATACATGAATTAACACTGGACAATGAACCAATGGCTTTTATTTTGTTAATACCCCAAACTTAACGCTTGTCTCGTGCAAATTTGGTCCTTTAAGGGTGAATGTTTCTAGTCTATTGCAATTTATATACATGCTGAGGGAAATAGTGTTTATGTGTGTATCAAAAATATGTTTTCCATTTCCAGGATGAAGATATTGCAGTTTTTTTCCTGTTGTTGACAGCGCATAAAGTTTATGGGAAGTTATTAAGGTATTGCTCTCAATCTTGGATAACAAGCAACCTACGCAGACCATTACAGACAGCAACATAAGGCAAAGCAGTGTACATGGATAAACATGTTAACAAATAGAATTAATCAGACTAGAAAGAATGTGCAAGCAAAAATACTTTCTTAAAGCTGTCTTCTATTACTGATTCAAACACTGAGCAACCTCACTAGACAAACGATTGAAACGTTTAGATTTTTAGCAAGCTATCATAACCCAAACATACCTTCCAATTTACAGTTAAATTTTTTTTTTCTAACTGTGTTTTGGAATAATTTAAAAAGTAATTAACCATCATATGGCTTTGTATAGAAAATTGACCGGTTCTATGACATGCTTTGTTATGTTAGCAGAACAGAAAAAGCGTAAATGTGCAGCCAATTTGCCAGTGAAAACTTGGGCAGTATGCATTTGAGTGTAAACAGACAACTCAGTCCACTTTTCCAATAGCCCTTTTCAAAGGTAATGCTTGCTCCATGGATGTATTCCTTAAAATATGATGTATTGCTTTGCTGTTGTGAAGTGAACAGAAGAGATGCCAGTGGTAAAATAACAGGTCATAGGATTGATAAGGAAGGTCACATAGGTTATTGTTAGACCTTGTTCCAGGGTTTATATTATGCACCATGCACACACATATTACAGACACCCATCTTTACTGGGGAAAGGTGGTGGTCGCCAATTGCCAAGTAACTCACAGTGATCCTGGGGTCTACATGCAGGACGTTCGTGACAGGACAGACGAGTAGTGCCCATAGATACAAATCAGTATTTTGGTGCTTCTCCTGCTGGGGCCTTGACTTGCAACACAGAGTCAATAATGACCAAAGAGAAAGAACATTGGACCTAAGACGCAGTCAAGCAGCAGGCAGACAGAGGGACAGAGCATAGCTATGGGCTGAGACTGCTCTCCTGACACCAAGAAGAAGCAAAGTGCAAAGTGGTCGTTCTCCTCAAACTATTCACATGGTTTTGGAATTATCAGTGTTGCAATATATCACATCTAAATGTACAGCGTATAAAAAGTAATGAGGCATTCACAAGTGCTAAATGGAGGGCTCAACAAAAGCCTAGAGGTCTGTTGAGGGTATTCCATTATCAACATTATAAACACAGTTTATGTTTGCATTGGTAACATTGCAATGTATGAGGTTGTATTTACAATAGTGTTTTATGTGTGCTTATGATTGCACATATTCATTTAGGGTGACCTACTATAATACTCTGTCTTTAGTGGGTCTGTGCCTGTGTGCCCCTTCAGCTGCGCCCCTCATCGGACGAGCGCTGGTCTGATTTGAGTTTGACGAACTCTTTAGCCACGTCGTCATTGTTGCGCTGAGATAAGATCCTCAGCACGGTGAGCCCTGTCTCATCCATGTGCACGCGCCTGTCCAGAGGCAGCCAGCAGGTGACACTGTTCTTCTTCACAATGTCTTTGACCTGCAGGACAGCCATTCCCACACAGCGGTCCTCACGAGCGAAACAGTAGTCTTTCACACAAACCTGCAGCTCGTAGTTCTCCGGACCCAACTCTGTGCCCAGGGAGCTGCACAGAGGAGGAAAACACTCATTTATCTGGAATAATCATTTGTACATAGTAGGCTTTAAAATGCTATGAAAATGTTGTACAGTGGAAACTACATACTATTGGAAGCTCTCTGCAAACTTAGGAGACCAGCAGTTGTTTTTGGATTTAGTAGCAAATTTGCGCTTCTTGTCGCTGAGGTGAGGGCCGATAATGTAGACTTCCACAAAAGGTCTGAATCCCTGTGCCTTCCACTTCAGATCATTCGCCGCCACCACTGTGAGAGGGAAAAGACTGTAAGCACCTTAAAAAACACAAGATGTGTTTTAAACATAGCACTCAAGGAGCCTCTTCTTTTTCACCTTTGATGCCAATTTTGTGTTCTCCATTTGGTTGAGGCAAAATGTCCACATGCATGACCACTTCGCCAACGGCATCCACTCCTGCAGCTGTAGAGAAAGAGTGAAAGGTTTAAACATGTCACAGATCACAATAAAAACAAACTGAGTAGTAGGAATTACGTTTCTCTGGTGGTGTGTCTTCATTTGCTGTGTACCTGATCCCTTTCCCTCCGTGCACTGCAAAACAATACAAAGATTTGCATTTTCTGCCAATGTCAAGTTAATGGAGCAGTAAATTAAGCTTATTTCTCTCACTTTAATATGGACAGTACAACAGCCATTTACAAATAAGAGTGTCATACCCTGAGCATGTTGAGAAAGGACAAACTTTCGGATGAGTTTGTCAGTGGCCTGTGTGTACAGAGACAGAGCGTAACGCAGAGACTGCAGATCCGGACTCTTCTCCAAGAAGGTCTTTTTCAGCCCCACTCCACCGGCATGGAAGTATTGCTATGGAGACATAGTTGTGGTTTATGTAAATCTAATTATTAATGTGCCAAAACAGGTTAATATAATAAAATAAAATAATACCATAGCTGTTATTTAAACTTAAGGCTGAGATTACCTTTATAGACTCCAGAGCCAGCTCTATTACTGCACACTGCTTTGGAGTGAGAGCTTTAGCCTCCTCCCGCCCCATGTGCTCCTGCCGAACAAACACAGGACAATTTAAAAATACAAAAGGTTTGAATAAGCTGTTGTTTGCACGGACAGTTCTTTTGGCAGTTGGAAATTAAAATCACCTTTAGTTTTGAAAGTTGGCCCAATTCTTTAGCAGCATTGAAGATCATCTGAGTTCCCTGTTAAGAAAAAAATAAGTTTAACAACAGAGGCAAAGATTTAAACTGAGATGGGACAAAGTGACCATTGTTTCCAAAAGTGTTCAGTCAATGAACATGGGAAGACAACTATTAGCACAAAACTAAGCACTTAATTGATATATTTTAAAAGAGGTATTCTGTTCCAAATCAATGCTGCTGTGCTGAAGAAAAGTGGACTATAAGACCAGTTGACATTGCTTGTATTATAACACAGAGGACTGTTGTGCACTTGACTGAAAGAGTGTGATCACTGGACACTGAACAACAACTGTGTTTCTTCATGCTAAGTGATGTTACAGACCCTTTAAAATGTGTACAGAAGAACAAGTCTAAATTCTGGAATGGAGGCAAAAGTGAAATGGATTTCTATGGGAAAACCTGGATTAATCACAGAATATCACAAAATATGAAAAATCAAATGATATTTAGTGAATGAAAACTCATTTACAATTTACATTTGTGTTTTACATTATTTGTTAATTTAAAAAGAGATTATGATAAACACTAAATATTATTGACAAAGGAAAAATCCAGATGTTTATGTTTTACTGGGCAAATCCTTATAGAAAATTTGAGTCCACTACAGTTTGCCATTTCATTTACAGCTACATAACACATTTCATCATAAATTATACTTTTTGTGATGCTCAAATACAATTTTGAGGTTAGAAAGTAATATTTTTTCATCCTTCCTACCAAAGACACAAATTCACTAATACATGTACCTTGGAAACTCAAAATTGTTAGTTATAATGTTTAAAGCCATTAGAATTAAAATCTTTTAATCAGTTAATCACTGAAAAACTGTAATTATGTTTGCTTCACTCTGTATACAGTTGCCTCCATTCCAGAATTTTGAATATTCTAATGACACAGGATTTTAAAGAGTCAATACACAAACCACACATATGCCTCCACCATACTTACTAAGACCTAAAGCAGGAATGGAGAGAGAAATGAAGCAATGGTGTCATGGTCAATGTAAAGAGTTAATGAAAAGTGACATGAAAGCTTTCTGAGCGAGTTAGGTTCACACACCGTCTGGTCTGTGAGCGTTGGAAGCACAATGATTTTCTCCATCGTGTTCATCACCAGTTTCCACAGCTCCTTCAACACTCTCTTCAACACGGTCTTTTCACAGATCTTTGCAAACAATGACAGACTGAAACAAAAAAATGTTTTTTTTTTATTTTGCTCTAAGCTTTATTGGGTAAACCACTGTTTTCAGATCCAACTTACTTGCTGTCCAGGAAGTCCATGATGGGTTGCAGAACATTGTCAGCCTCCTGAACCACGCTACCATTGGCTGGAACAGTTTGACCTTTGACCTGTGCAAGGATATCCCCCATCTGTCTCACATTGTCAGTAATCTGTGGCTGGAAACTGCAGGACCACACACGAGTGATGTGTAAGAACAAATCTGCCAATCAGTAATAAATGCACATCTGGTGATTACACAAACCTGACAGAAAAGATGCGGCTAAGATCATCCATAACGTTATTGAGTTTGTTTTGTAGATCCTTAAGGAAATCACTAGCTTCTGGATTGAGCTAAAACAGATTAAAGTTAAAGTTAGATAAAACATTTGAAGACTATTTTTATTATTTTTGGTGATTTTATACTTACATCCTTTCCTCCCATGGCCTCGAACATTTTCTCCAACTGAACCCGCAGTTGCTGAATGTTATTGATGATGATACATGGCTACAGGACAAAGCAGTAGCATTACACCCTTTTCTCTATAGCTCTGTGGTGCCCCAGGGTTAAACCATGGTCAATCAAGATTACCAGACAAACTTTTTAGTGTCTGCTTTTTGGCACACAGCTAGCAGTGATGCAGAGCAGAGAGTTTTCAGTAATTACTGCTCCTCTGTGGGTCTCAGTCTCTAGGGAGGTGCAGCCTCTCTACAGCCTATAGCACTTTCTGCTAATTAGCCGGCCCTAATTCACTTTGGAACACTACAACCTGGGCACAACTATTAGCGTAAAGAGTGGTTTATAGCACTGGTATCAATTAGACCGAATTAAACATTTGCCTGTACATCTAACATTATATAGTCTACCAAGACCAGTGATGGAAGAAAGTGTATATAGTTACAGAATACTGAGTACCTGCATTAAAATATGTTTTGTAATGTATTCCGATACATAGTCTAGTTAGAGTACTGTATTCTGAGTACTTAGAACACTTTAATGCAGAGTTGCATTTCATTTATTGTAGACATAGGATTAAAAAGAGCTTCATATTTGGTGCATTTATTTATCACTGATCAGAGAAAAAAGAAGTGCAGTTATGTGCAGTTTGAAGCCTAAACTGAATGATTAAGTACCGCCGTGTATTGCTTTGAATTTAGAAATGTAATCGTATTCTGAATACCTCTAAATTAAAAAGTAACTGTACCGATGTTAGTTACTCAAATTTAGTATTCAAAATGCATATTCTCTTTAGATGTATACAGTTACTTCCCAACAGTGACCAAGACATATATTAAAGGTGCACTGTGTAACGTTTTCAGGCTTATATTGCTTATTTTAGAATATTCCACAGTATACTGTTAACGATCTGCATATTATTGCATTGAATCAATTACAGGTGTTTTTTTGTTTTTTTTGGCTGTGAAAAACAGGCATTCTACTGTGAGTGGGTTTGCCTCTCTACAGATCTGATCTGTAATGAATACTCGCAGTGTCACCTGCTTGTCTCCATAGCGATAGATAAGTTCAATACCATAGTAGAACATTCTAGGAAAATTAATAGCATTTCCATGGAGAAGCAGATGGCACACTCTCTCCCCAAAAAGTTATGTAACATGCCTTTAATTCATTTATGTGCATTTTAGGAGCATGTTTGATTATACATCTATTTACCACTTTTTCCTTCTTGACGTGATTTGGAAACTCCTTGGCAATGATGTCAGCATATGAGAGAAGAACATTACCGATGGTCTAAAAAGACAAGAGGCATTTTAAATAAACACTATTCAAAATATTACAGTATTTAAGATAGGGGGGTTTAGGATTAGGATGAGAATAGACATTTCCTACCTTTGCAAACCTCTTCATATAGTTGCCCACAATTTGAGGGTCAGGGCACTCGAGTTTGCGGATGATCTCAAAGCTTTGGTTGAGCTGGGAGAAGACATCCACCACTGAGCAGGAAAAGAGGGCATGCTCCGATGTGACCTGGAACTGAAGCGTGAAAAGAAACAAAAAAGACAAGAGGGACATGTGTGAGCTGACAACACCCCATAGATACACTGTGCAGATAAAAGCCAGACAACTCCAGCTAACACACTTCACACACCACCATTAGATAGTGCGCTGGTAGTCATAATCTTATACTTGGTCTATGAATAATAAGGCCTCTCACAGAAAATACTATATCGACTTAAATTTACAATAAATCATAGAATCATACAATTGATTTTGGGGCTCATATGCTTCAATTCTTACTAAATAAAGTGTTTCATTCTACTATTTATTGGTTGCACTTCATGGTTAATAGCAATATTTTATATTTAGAAACAACATTTACCTGAAGTATCCTGTTTTAGGTTTCAATATAGTCAATTATTGTAATATTTTTCGTAGCAATATATTGCAATTCAATAAATGCTATTATGATAGGCCTATGTGCAATTCCAGGCGATAGATCAGTATTACCTTATGCTCTCCAAAGATGAAAAGGACTACATCAGTTCACATTGTACATCACTAAAAGTTGGTTTAGTCAATTTGTATCAATGAAACTGTAACTGTAACTCAAACATTAAATGTGGTTTGTAGCGCTATACAATAAAATGTATTACAGAGCTGCCAATGATAAAGTGTATTGTGTAAATCGATGGGATGGCACATTAAGAGGGTTATGAAGGGGAGCAGAGCCTTAGCATCAGTGCAGCCATTAGCCCAGCAGTGAGTGGTGTTATGGTATGTGACTGGGTCTTGGGAATGCACTTCTGCTGACACAGGAAATCAGAGGCTGCCGGGGGCGACGGTAATTGGACTCAAAGGATTTCTGACATACGAGTTGGGAGGATCTTCAGCTGCTTTGTATCGACCTTTTCACTGCGTGGATATGTGGAGTGTGAAGAGCGTGGAGAGAAAGGGTGTGTGTGCATTGGCTTTCTGTGTCGTACATTTTTGCATTTGCTTCTGGTATTGAGTCTTTATTGATTGCCTTGAGGGCTTCAGGCTTCTCTTCTCAGTGTGAAATGTGCTGAGTCAGGGGGACTGTGAGAGCAGCTGATTTGCATGAGAAATGCGTGAAATGTGGGATTGCTGCAGGTAGGGGGTCAAAAAGCATCTATCTTTTATTGCTGTGTGAGCAGAAGTGAATTCTAACTTTAGTTCCATTTCCCTATCCGCTCTTGGCTAGTCACCCCCTATTACCCCAAACAGGCTGACTTTGATGAATTCTCAGTCACTCTCTCATGCTTTGAATAAAATGTTTCATAAAACAGTTACCCCATCCTTTTTGTCCCTCTCCAGAGCTCCATGAAGAAAATCTCTGGATACTTCCTCATTTTCATCCAGCCACATGATGACAAATGGCTCGAACCAGCTGCAAAAATTAATCAGTTTGAGCCTGTACATCTCACAGTTGTCACTCAAAAAACACTCACGCTGGATATTCAGGCACATGTTTCTGGAAAGTAGGTAGTTCTTTACAGTACTCGTTATATAGCCATTTCACCTTAAAGTGCAAGTTCATATAATCAGCACTTTTACAAAGCCGGTGCTTTTCATGTTCTGAAAAAAACAACATCACAATTTCAAAGTTTTTTATATTTTGTGTTTGTGTTATTTTCAAGAACAGTCTTTTAATGCAAACGAACCTTCCATAGCATACTTCATGTCTTGTGCAAACATGTTCCACATCACCTCTGCACTTATCTTGCCGACGTTCAGTTCCTGCGGAAACCTACAGGGGGCAGAGGAGAGCTTGCGCTTAAACACAGCTCTGGATTTAGTAATAGTGTTGTATTATTTATTAACCCAGCCCAGTTTATATAATCATGGAAGCTGCAACTCTCCAACATCCAAGGAAATCCTGATCAAGAATGCTAAAACCTTTAAGCAAATACCCTCAACAAATATTACTTTAATTTGGCATTTATCAGGAAATAACGGCCTTTTCTGTAGGAGTAGTATAAAAATGTGTGTACTTACTGGTTAAGACAGGGTGTATATGAGTTTTTGTCCTCCTCGATGATAGACACAATGAGAGTGATGAGTTTAGACCAGAAGTCCAGGTTTTTGATGCTTGGGCCCTGCTCGTCTGGAGGCACAGCCTTTGACTGTGCAGTGGACAGACAGGAAAATCATGCATAAAACATGTTCAACAGTACATATGCAGAGCAAGCACTGCCACTGTGGCCTTACAGGGTCTGTTTGGTATTCCCTGTTGTACAGGTCATGGCAGTTGTTAAAGATGTACTCATAGGTTGAGTTTAGGCAGGCCTTTACACAGTCTTTCACCACTTGACTGGCTCTCGGTGGACTCTGCAACTCCTGGACCTAAACACAAATAAACACAAATGATGATTCAGGCTCTTAGCTGCTGTTTGTTCAGTGACAAGTCTTCCAAATCTGCCTGAGGTTACTTTACAGAAAGTACTAGAAATGAACAGTGTTTTTCCCTTTGGTAAAAATGCTTCAAGTATTAACAAGTAATAATAATAATTAATTTACCTTCATCCTGAAAAATGTTATGCTTGTGAGCAGATCGACAGTTGATTTGAGATCCTGCAGTCTTTCAGGGCTGCTGGCAGGAAAATTATTCTGAAAGTAAATACAAAACAATTTAAAATGTTATTAAAAGTGCTTCATCTAAGTGTAAAGTATAAGAAATGTTTTCTAAAGCAAGTGGTAACTGTATAACAATATATAAAGTATGTACAATTATGGACAGACATAGGTAAAAACACTTACCCGGTACATGGACAAGTCAATCCTTAGGGAGTTATGCAGCTGATCCAGTAATTTCACAAACCTCTCCTTCTGCAGAAACACAAATGAGAATATTTTATCCATAATACAGACAGTATAAGACAATTGTAATAAGTTTCACAGTTTGCCTGGACTGCAAGACTTGTTATTGAATAAGTCATGTAGGGAGGGTGGGTGGGTAGGAGGGGTTTAATTAACAGCTAGGGGCAATTTACGCAAACATTTTTTTCCCCAAGTAAACTATGTAACATTTTAAAGTAAACGCCAAACAAAAAAATTCAGCAGTAGTCTTACACCAAAGTTGGAGGCAGCAAATCTGTCTGAAGCTGAGACGTTGTTGGAGGACTGTGTGGTGTGGGCGTAGTAGGCGTTAATATTGGCGAGAAGGGTGCTCATGACTGCTGGGACTCCTGGGCACATGTACTTCGAGGACAAGCAGGCAAAGTGACTGTGATAGAACAAAAAGAAACTGTTAACTTACATGCACCTTAATGGGCTTATATTACACTATTTTCTGATCTATGTTATGATGTTGTTAACTCGTCACAATCATACCTGGACAAAGCATATTTAGGTTGTGTTTTCAAACAGAAAACACTCTGTTCCACCTCATGAAGTTATGTGGTAATACAGGAAGTGCTAGAATTATTTGGATCATTTCAGCTGGAAATGCCTCTACTGAACTAAAGGTAAAAGCTGCTAACATGAAAACTACTGCTTCATGACATCACAAGGTGGAACAGAGCATTTTGAGCTTTGGAGATGTAAACAGACTAATAATAAATGATTATTCAAAAATGCATTAATGAAACAAAACACAACTCCAGATATATTTTTGATGAAGTAACATCATTCTAACATGGCTCAAAGCTTACAAGAGTCAGTTTTGTGTAATATAAGACTCTTTTTTTTATTTGTGTCTGAACAAGTTGTAATCATTTTAATAATTTTAAACTCTCACGTCATAGCCTGGTATATTGACTCTACTCCATATCTCATGGCAAATTCGTCCACAATCTCCTGAGCAGTCTCCTCAAAATACACTTTCCACGCATCGTCTCCTTTGGCGTCTGGGATTTTGACCACACCACTGTTCTGTTCCTCTGTGGTGTACTGGAAAAGATGCTGAAGACAAAAGGTACATGTACACACTTTCAATACTGTCTGTTATACCAACTATGGCTTTTTAGTGATCAAACTGACCTCATGTAGACAGGTGTACTGGACATGATAAGGTGCAACAGTCTCTTCTCCTTTGATCTCTACACTTATGTGCATCCGGATAGCTCCAGACACAGCAGATTTGTCAGTTCTTTTATCTGTCAGGAAAAAAATAACAAGAATATGCTTTTATAGAAAAACAAATCCATTATATATTTATTTTATTCATCTTAATATCTAATGCTTTATTTCTTTAAGTTTAATAATAATCCTACATAGATACTTTCTTTTGGTAACTGTAAAACACAATTGATCTAAATCAAATTAATATTAGAAACAGGTCCATTCACTTCCGGTTCAAAACTCATACTCTAAATTATTAAAATAATGAAAGATGGACAGTGATAGGTGAAAAGCATACATTTTATGCAGGACTGGATTATCCAAAACAAAAAGTGAATGAAGAGGATGTTCACAGACAGTATGTCCTTTAATTGTCAATGGCTTTTACTAAAACCTTACCTAGGTTGTACCAGACGTCCATCTCTCCACTCAGCGTGCGAACTTCAATGATGGTCTGTCCCAAGAAGTCGTCACTCTCGCGCTTAAACCGCTGTTTCACACGAGACTTGATGTCGTCATCTTCATCCCAAACTCGGACCTTGATGCGTTCGGTTGAATTGTGACATTCACTACAAGAGCCACACAATAAATGTTAGTGAAAGTTTAAACTATAGGGCTTTAGTATTTCCTCTACTCACAAGTGAAAGCTCTCCTCCCACACTGGATTGAGGTTGCCGTAAATGGTCTTAGTTCTCTTTTTGGTCTTTCCGACTTGGACAGTGACATAAGGGTCACTGGAGCCAGTTTTATCTTTTGCCTGGAGACCCTGGGCACACACAACTAAAACACACAATTTGATCAACTGTGGAGTTTACATACTTGTATATTTTTATGTCGCACTTTTCATTTACCTGTAATACTGATCTTTGCAGACCATTTGGACGTCCCATCCAGCACACTTTGTTTAATCTGCTTCATGTGTGTGGCATGTGTTGTCTTGTCTAAACCAAACACTTCCTGAATGAGCTCAAATATTTCAGGTTTGTTCCTCTCACGAATTTTCATCCGATCTTTGAGGACCATAATGATGTTCTGTGTCCGGTCCTCTGCTCCATGCTTTGAGCTCTTCTCTGCAGCTCCTAATAACGATCACAATGGAAGTTTTAAGTACATTTTCTACAAACAAATACAATGTCACTAATTTTGCCTCTAAATGGAAGCTATACAAAGAAGAAGGAGCATCTTTTCTTAGCACAAAGATCTTTCAAGTCTCTTTAGAGGGTGGAAACCGATGAATTATACATTGCATGGACTGACTCAAAAATCTGTATGGGATTTGAGTCTTCCCCTGTGGAGCAGAATTAGACAAAGCAACCTGAATGCTAAGACCATAAGAGGAGAGAGAGGCAGGAGTATGACAGTACATTACTCAGGAGATAAATGGGAACGGAAGAGGGAGGAGAAAGTGAGAGAGGATATAGGACAAGAATAATAGCATGTCAAAGGAGAGGAGGGTGCCAGCAGGTTTACATTTTTGTAGAAGGGTAGTGGCAGTATATCTGTTCATTTAATAAAAAACATAAATAAAAAAGTGCATGTGTTTTTTGCCAATAAGATATAATATTAGTACCTTAAAGTCTAGACAACGCTTTTCTACTGTGTTACTGAGGTAATGGTCTAGTGTGTGTCTTACATTCAAGCTATATGCAAAAGTGAACATGGATATGGATGCTTGTTTCCTGTTAGACCTAGCAAAAACTTTATTGATCCACAAGAGAAATTATTTGGTTAATGTTGTTTATTGAGATTGTCTTTTATTGACTTGTTTCACTGTGAGATTTTCTAACTTTCTGTTGGTTAAACAAACAGTTGTGCTGTTGTGATTTTGGGCTCTATGAAAATGACAACTCATCCTTATGTAATAGATGTCAAACACTATTTAATCTTTGCACTGTTTCTCCTTATGCTCTCTTGTATATGGCCAAGATATATTTACTATATTTATTTAGTTTTATATTTTTCTTGTACATATACAATAACTGTGCCTTATTTGACACTAGTCTTTTGCTATTTTTGCTACTTATTTTAAAAGTATTATTACCATTGAAATGTTGGTTGTTATATTTATTGTGATGTATGACCTACTGTGTCCAAATCATTTTCCTCATGGATCAATAAAGTTTGTTATAAAAAGAAAATTTCATTGATAAAAAGCTTAAGTCTTACTCTGTAGACAGTCCGCATTGAGTAGATCCTGACACTTCTCATGGCATTTCACTCCACACTCGGAGCAGCGCATGCCCTGCCGAGCGATACCCCACAGCAGACCCTCACACTCATAGCAATATGTGGGAGTGGTGGCGGTCCACACCTCAAAGTTGTGTGGCGTTGTGGAGGAGATGGGATAGATGAGAGCCTGTAGAGTTTTCTTATAAACATGGCTCTTCTGCAAATGAGGCAAAAGAAAACATAAAACAGGTGGATCGCTAAGTTCCAAAAATCTGGTTATGTTTTTAACTTATTATTTTTTGAAATATAAACTCACCAGCTCTTCATTGCCCAGTGTGGTGGAAGCCATGGCTGAGGTAATGCCTGCTTTACGAGAGTTCTGAACTAAAGACTGAGCCAAAAATCAATTTTGTTATTGCAAACAGTGCTATGTTGTTTAACATGTAAAGAATTGCACAAATAAAACATCTCTTACCATAGCCTGGTGTGGTCATTAAAAAATGGGCAAGAGAAAGGATATAAATTGGTATTAATCATACATGTAGAATATGAGCATTATGAAGTGTAAAATCTATGTTTAGGTTTGCCATGTGTGTGCATGTACTGTATGTTTCTCACCAAATCTCGTACGAGTGGAATAGCTTTCCTTTTGCGAAGGTCGGGCATGCTGTCAATACTGTAGAGTGCACCGCCCATTCTTAAGACACAAACACAGAAACTGTAACTGTGGCTAATGTAATGCAATGAAATTACTGTAGTTAAAATTCATCTGATGTGCTGCCTTCTCCATTTGAACATGTCCCAGGGCATTCTGAAGGGCATCTGCCAGAGAACTTATTTACAAAGGTTTCCTGAGTGAGTGATGCTGCTCATATCAGTGTAATTGCTTGGTTTATTTCTAGCCAACTTTCTGTACGCAGCATTACTGGAGGCTTTCCTCATCTACAAAATGACCTGCTCCGGCTGTAAAACCCCACCGCTCAATACAGACTGGCCAAAAGCCATAAAAGAAAGTCTCTGATTCAAAACCAGCCAAACGGAGGGTTCCCGGGAAAGACAGCTGTTTTCAGTAAGGCACAAGTGGCCAGTTTCCAGAGTGACTTCCCTCTCTCTCACAGCCAGTGCTCTGGTTTATGAATTAGCACATTGTTTCCTATTAAATTATAATTTCAAAAAGTCTAATACTTACCCTCCTTTACCGAACCACAGCGAGTTGGAAGTCTCCCCTCGTGCCTGCAGGAAGCAAATGTTTTGGGGTTTTTTTGTCATTATTTAAGAGAAACAGCTTCTACATACATGTATGTGGATGAATTGTTGATGAATGATGAATTAGTTTTGACAGTTTACTAATGAATATTGCTTACTTTTCCTCGTGTCTTTTTCTAAAAGAATTTGTAAAGTAAAAGGCAGTGGTCTGACTATGTAAGGATAAATAGTTTTTTTCTAGGTACAATACTACTTACCTTTCAACAAACTCCAGTGATGCCCGAGCAAAGTGCATGTGAGTGTCACAATGGCAAAAACATAAAACTGCAAAGAAAGGTTGTGTAGCAAAATAAAAAGGGTGAATGAAAATGTGTACAAAAATAAAATACAAAAAACATATATACAAAAACAGTGAGGCAAATGATTATTTTCAGCATAACAAAATATCAGGCAATGAATATCAAATTAACATGTGAATTCAATGTGTGATAAATTGTGGAACTTCAAATACCAAACATTTTCCAGGAGTTTTGGAAGAGAAAACTGCAAACTATCAATTATACAACATGGAGCCCATTAGGAAAGCTTTCTAGTATCTACACTCAACTAAAGCACCATCAAAATAGAAACCACTGTATGTGCCCCGTCTTTGATCATAAATAATGCACCACACATGCATTTTTTAAAGTCTTAGCAGACACTTTTAGGACCTTTTGAATTACACAACTCACAGTTTCAATGCCTTAGACTCAACTTTTTGTAACACTGCATTGAGTGGGCATCATAAACTGCCTATAAAAAGAGATGATTGATGACTTACCTCTCGAAGTTGGTCTAAAACTTTATTGTAGATTCTCAACCAGTTCTCTTTGGCTCTGACAGCAGGATCCACTGGCTCTTTGGGTTCTTCTACAACAGGAGCACTGGAAGATAATACATCCATTCATATTTACTTTTGTATTTTTACACCTGCAAGAGAAATTCATGATCACACTTTGGTAACATTTTTATACAGTGCTTTTCCACCTTCAACACTGGGGGTAAGGTAGGTTAAGTGTCTTGCTCAAGGACACAACAACAGTATTCAGATGTGGAAGGTGAAATTGCACTGCCAACCTGTGGGTCAGTGGATGTGACCACTCTACCATGCCACCTTGACAAATGTGTTTAAGAGTCTTACTTTTTAATAGATTGTACACATTACATAACACTTTCTCCAAGATTGTATAGCCAATTTTATATTCTTAAGTGTGTGAATCCTGTTGATATATGATTTATAGCACAACAATATTTGCCACAAAAACCCCTTTAGCTGAAAGGTGCATTGTGTAACCGGTGTAGGGTCCGTCAAATGCTTTTTTCAATGGAAATGTTATTGGCTCATCTGCAATGCTTCACAGTATGGTATTAAACCTTTATATCTTCATAGAGACCAAAGCAGACCAAGTTACAGGTCAGATCTGTGAAGATGTAACCCCGCTCACAGTCAGAATGCCTGTTTTCTGGGTATTTTTTAGCTATGAAACCTTCTGTAATTTAATAAATAAAAGGCAGAGCTGTTTAATGGCATACTGTGGAACATTCCAGGCAAAGAAAAGTTATATAGTGCACCTTTAAGTGTTACATCATTCTAACTTATATATTATACCTCTCAATGGGTATCTCAGTCTCCTCCACAGGTGTTAGGGGCCTGCTGTCTTCCCTCCTCTCCTCCCTCTCCTCTATGGGAGTGGCCTCCTCTGACAGTCCCGGTGGTGTTTTGATTTCCTTCTCCATTGTCATCGCTTCCTCTTCTTTCCAGTCCTTTTGCTCCAGTTGCAGAGTTTCCTCCTCCTCTGTGAATGTGGGCTCTGCTATCTCTGTTACTGCCTGTGGTTGCTGAGCATTGTTCGTTGTCTGCTCTTGGCCTGGAGTCACAGAGGGTAGTTGCGAGGTCCCTATGGTGGCTGGGTGTGATGGTGGGAGACTGGTAGCAGCATTGGGCTTTTGCTGGGACATGTTTGACGTGGGGGGCTGCGATTGGGTGGATTGAGCTGTTGGTACTGAAGACAAGAAGGAGGAAGCCAGACCAGTTACTGCCGATGTGAAAGGTTTGGCCATTGAGAAGAAGGAGGTGGCGGAAGGTGCTGGCTGTGGTTGCGCTTGAGGTTGTTTGGGAGGTTGTGTAGCTGCTTGATTTGGCTGCGTTGCTGGGGGCATGTTAGGAGGATGTCCCTGGTTAGATGTCTGGTTGGGTTGCTGTGCAGGAGGCTGTTGTTGGTTGATCGATGACTGCTTCTCCAGCTGTGGTCTGGCACTGGGTACGTCCAGTGAGGGTGGGGCAGTAGATGTGGGTGTGGGGGTGAATGGGGGCTCCATGTCCTCACTGAGAGTGCCATCTAAATTATACAAATCTTCATCATCGTACATAATCTCATCGTCTTCATACAGTCCCTCTTCATACAACTCCCCGTCTTCTTCTTCATACAGAGCAGTGTCCTCGCCTCCATCTTTGCTGTAGCCGCCTTCGTCGCTGTATGCTCCCTGTGTCTCATCCCAGTCTGGAGAGCCTTTGCTGTAGCTGACGGAGGAGTGGCACGAGTGGTAGGAGTCGTTTTCATCGTAGGGGTCCCTCTCGCCATACTCCCCACCATAGTCCTCCTCACTCAACTGACTGCTGCAGCGACTGAGCTCTGCGGATGAGGCATAGCTCCCTGTTGGACTAAAGACAAAAACAAAACAATCCATTAATGAAACAAAAAACATGGAAAGTAATTTTCATCTGTGAAAATTCATTCTCTAACCTAGTCAGGGTCTACCATGAAAATGTGGTAAGATAACTAATTCCTAATGGCTATAGCTTTGTCAGACAGCTACTATATGATTCAATACAAGATCATTTTAGCTTCATCAATTTGTAAATGTATACTGTAAGTTATAGAGTACACATTTTCAATCTTTGAACTGAGAGGCAGTACTATTCCATCATTGTACCACCAGGCTTGAAAATTACTCCGCTAATTAAATCATGTTCTTTGCTGAAAACATTCTAGTAAAATGGAAAAGTGACAAAAGAGTTGTAAGAGCCTCCAAAGTGATCTTTATGCTCTTTGATGAATGGCTCCATTAAATGAGACAACATCATGTACAAGGGGCATAGGCTCAGGATAGTGTTTGGTGCAAAAGGCAGATAGAAAACATACAAAGACAAAGCACAGAGTTAAAAGACAGAAAACGAGCAGATGGTGACAAATTCTTAAGCGTGTGAGGAGGTTGTGTGTTCTAAAATTTTCACACAGGCTAATCTTATACAATATATTAACTAATAAATTACCAGTTGAATAGTACATACTCGATGCATCCTCAGCTTCTGAGATGTGCCAATATGAAATGCCTGTAAGATTTTTTTATGAGTAGCCACAAACACCTACCTGACCGTCCTCTGGTGGTGGTAGTCATGGTCGTGGCTATTGCCTGAACGTGGATATGAGTAACTCCTGGAGTTGCGATGCTGGTGGTTGATGGGATACTGGTGGACAGAGGCGTTGGGCTGTGATGTGCTGTAATATGGAGGAGGAATGCTGTTACTGGTTTCACTCCGATAGTCGCTGTCTCGGTCGTCCACTGCGCTGTCTTGGTCATCATCTACACAGACATAAACAAAATAAATTCAGACCAAAACATGTGAGAAAGATCAATTATGTAAAGGGAGTAAGGGAAAAGGTTAAAGTGAAGTTCTTGGCTGGCTGTGTGTCATGTGGCGCAGTGGTAAGAGGCACTTATCGGCAGTGAACTAATCTTTTAGTACAGTAATAATGGTGGATATTATAGATGAGCTGGCAGCCTGCCACAACCCAGCCCTTTAAATGAATACAATAGGTCACACAGAGTGCATCTATATATGAAACACGTAATGACGACCATCCGCGCTCCTTTTCTCCCTCATCATAAGTGAACATAAATCCACTCCTACTCATACAGGAAACACTTTCCCTCTTCATGGGCCCCATACATTACATGTGAACATCCCAGAGGATCAGATACTTGTGTTCACTGTTGCCAGACATCTCAGGCTCTGTGATAAAGGACAGTCCATGCCTTCATCTCCATCTGTGTGGGTGTGGAAACACTAATTAAATGAACTGGGCTGTTTCTCACTTAAGCATGTCCCCACAGCCACATCCTTCTTTCTGCTGTGCTCTCAGCTCTTTCACTCGACATCTCTCATTTAGTCAGCATGGCTAATACACTAACACCATCTGCTAATCACTGAAGAGGCATGTCAACACAGAGAACAGTTGCTGTCACGATGTGCACTTACTTTGTTGGTCTCCCCAAAGACTCCAGTTACCTGCAACAAATCACATGAAAGCTTCAGGATTTCTTTGAAAAAACCTTGTGAATCTTTCTGAAAGTTTTCTAAACCAGTGACTACAAAGTAGACTGAAAAGAGTACACCAGGCCTCTCCTAACCCTCCCCAGACAGCCGGCTCAGCAGAACAGGCCTACAAGACCAAGTGAAAACACAGAAGCATTTCAGGAAAAACTAAGCAATTGATATGTGATACTAATATTGATCTCACTCACTGCAGAGGTGCCGTGTCTTTGCACACACATCATTATACACACTATATTTATTAAGTAATCCATTGCATTAAACATAATTTAATTATGTAAAAAGTTAATCAAACAGTTACTTACAGCACTGGCTCCCCGGCATTCGCAAGGGCCGCTCCTGTTCTTCCTGGTATGAGTACTGCAGTCAGTGGGAGACCACATGTTAACCACAATGTACCACTGCAGGTTTACACTGTTCCTCTAATTAATCATATTCTGAAAGTGCACAGAAACACAGTGGCATCTTACATCTTGGTCCCTCATGGCATTAATTTGCTCCAGTTTTTTGGCCCAGTAGCGTGCCTCATCCTCAGGAATATCTAAAAATTACAAACCATACAAACAGTGAAAAACAGTTCATACGCAAAAACCTTGAGCTTAAAATACTTTACAGAGCGCTGTTTAATCACAAAGATGAAACCCTTGAAAGCCTATTTTAGCAACATGAATATCTCTCAGAGAACATTGTGACATTGAAAATTGGCGTTTACACAAGGAGCACTCAAGCAAGACCTCTATAAATAGGCCAGTCGACAAAGTGAAGAGTCAGGTGTACCTTATCGACTCCAGGAAAGAAACAGTGGAAAATGAGACTGGATCAATGCTCAGAATGGAAAGGTGAGAAGAAAAGCACAAACACCATTCTTACAGACGCACAGGGGGGTAATATACCCAAAATATCGGTCAACTAATCAAGTATTTACTAGTAGCTATAAATCACAATGCATCAGCCCTCTATTTTTCCTAAAGCACTTTCGATTTCCATACTGTGCTCTGTATTGGTGCAGCCTGATTTTGATTTGACATTGATCCAGTAGAAGTGATGGATGAGTGCAGTTACCCAAAGGCAGTTCGAAGCGCGTGTCCAGCAGCACCAGGTGTAGAGTGGGGTCTTTGGTGCCACAGATCTCATTGTCGGCCATGATGACCTGCGAGTCTAGTGTGAGCCACTCCCCGGGACCCTCCTGTCAACGTGAAAAAGCCGAGTCAGCAACAATCAAAGAAACAACGTGTTTTTGTGGTAGTCTGTTCTTGTGTACCTCATTTGACTGTCGGATGCTGTGCAGAGGTATCCACACTGTACCGACCATGGTGTCCCAGATCATCCCTTTGTTCCACACCTCCACTGTCAGACCCAAGTCCAACCGATTGATTTCGCTGTGCGTGGAAAAGGCATGGGAGTCAAACTCATAATCATCACCAAATTGCATGGTATAATGTAAATGTAATTACAGACTAGCAAATGTTTTACTTGTAAGAGAATACACTACAATAATACCTTTGACATCCATAATCATAGAACACGCACGTGCAGGCTTTACATGCTCTATAGGGTCTTAGCAGAGGCTTCTAGATACTGGGCTCTGTGCTAGCCTCAGTATCGTGAGATTGATTCTGCCTCTGACTATTTACTAAATGTCTCTCCCCTCTCTACACTCCACAGTTTAAATGGTAAATGGTCACATTTTTATACAGTGCTTTTCCATCTTCAATGCACTCACAGTTCTTTGTATCAGTTCACGGGCTAACTGAAACTAAATTTTAAAAAGAAATAAAAAAGAAATAAAAAAAACAACAACATTAGCTCTGTCTATATCACACAATTACACCAGTATGCAACAAATATATGGGTAACTTATCACATGTAATTCACACACAATGCTGTACATACAACCCCTACTTAGGGGCTTGTAAATCTTTGGGCTTAAGCTAGTGCATATCAAACACAGGGTATTAACAAGAGAATACAAAGTAGGAGTGAAAGAGTTATGAATAAGACTGTGACGAAGGCAATGGAGGAGGTGATTGTATCGCAAGCCCCAAGGGAGAGAGTGGCAACTTAATTAAGAAATAGAGAACTGGATTTCCCTGTTCAGTGACGGTGACTCCTCTTTTTAAAACGTGGTTGTTTGATTCACGCCTTCATCCAAGAATGAACAGTGAATTTTTTTTTTTTTATTTTTTTTGGGGGGGGGGCTAAAACATTACATAAGATTGGCTTGACTGATGCAAGCCCAGTACAGTGCTCAACGCCCCCAAACATGATACAAGTGCACTGGCTCAGCAACAGCCTGCCCTCCACATCCCACAGGCTCAATGATACTCAACAAACATTATTATTACCCATATGCCACTGCACTGTCAGCCCAAACAATGTGCTTATATAATAGGAGAGAGGCTGCAAATGACTATTACCAAATTAACAAAAAGCCTTAAAGCAGTGTGAGTGTAGATGCCAATATAAGGCAGGGTAAAGTAAAGTGGCTGACATGATGAAGATAAATGAGATATGTTTAAGGAACTGGGAATGAGCCTGAGCTGAGGGGGAGGAGGAGCAGAGCAGAGCAGAAAGGGGGCAAAGGGAGCAGAGAGAGGAGGGGGATGTTACTGAAGGAAGTTAGAACTTGATGAAACAATGCAGGAAAACTGTTTGGGTGAGAAAGAAGAACTACTGTGGGCTGATTAGGTGCCAAACTCACAACATGAAGTCCTGCTCCCAGCTGGGCAGGTTGCCCCTGACAGCGATGGTTGTGCTCTTCACATTTTGTACCTTCAGAGTCACATAGGTGTTGAACTTTTCTGTGAATAAGACAAGGGTTTAGTAAGTTAGGTGTTTTAGGATTTAAAACATGCATCTATTACAGTACATCTACTAATGACTAATGAGAGAATAAGAACATTTAAATTTATTTGGAATAGATAATTTATGTGTTGATTGCATTCAGATACACTATATTCATATCTTGTTCAATGGATGTTACTGAAGTTTTTGCATATATGTTTTAACACACTCAGTGAAGGACTAATGTACAATTTGGTTTAATTTAAAACTTAGTTTAAAAAATCTGAATAGAAATTTGAAAAAAGTAATAACAAAAAGATGCCCATGGGCAGTGTCTGTATATGCTGTGCCTCCTGATTCTCAGGTCTTACCTTGGGGTCCATCCAGCTTGGCTTTCTTCACTGTGGAAACACGCAGAGAGGGACACAGTCACACACAGAAGCACCATCTGGTCCATTTCCTACACCTGCAGCCTCTAGCCTCTTTTAACACAGCCCTGATACTAATAAAAGAACAACATAAAAACAAGTACGGACTACAGAGAAAGTACAAATTATACTGCAGTGCACATGTAAAGCAGCCTTATTGAATATTTAAGAGACAATTAGTGTTTCCTTTGTCTGTCCAAATTCTTGTGTGATTGAGGTTTTTCTGGATAGAGTTAAAGCCCAGGCTTCCCCACTGCAGCACCTTTTACCAGCTTTGACGTAATGTCCACATGCATTTTTAATGTGGTACTACGCACTGCTCTAAAGGTCCTCACAGCTCCTACAGACTGACACTGTAATACATCACGGTGCACGTCCATCACCAATAGGGGCGTGCAAAAAATGTACATCCAAATGATATATCAGGAGACTTAATTAATTGAACCATTATTACTATCAGCCCCTACAAGATGTTGTAGGCAAGGCAAGGTAAGTTTATTCGTATAGCACAATTTGTACCCGAAGTAACTTCAAAGTGCTTTACAGAATAAGACATCAAAATACAAACATTCAACATTCAAATTATAAAATTAACTGTATTTATTCCATTTCACAAAGTAAGTTGAGGCAGCAGTACAATTTAGTGAATAGTGGTTTAAAAATATGGTTGTAAATATGTATTTCTTCCTTTTATAATAAGGAATCTAATGAACTGTGTGTTGATAATCAAATCTTTTGCCATATTATGATATTCGTCTATCATGACATGAGCCATGTATTGTATATGCTATCAAACTGTGAGTGACCCTGTCATTTTGAGCCCTAATCACCACATAAGAGGAGTCTTTTGTTTAATCACTTTCTGAAGATCAACACAGGTTTTCAAAGTATTCCCCAAAGGTCAAACAAGCTGGTGCCCATGGCAACGGGAATCAAGTGAAAAGTGGTTGGAAAATGGCCTGACTCAGCACGAGCTTTTTGTTTGGAGCTGTTCTCTGGACTTAAACATCAAACACAAACCAAACATGAATGCTGTTACATCACAACAAGACACAGAAGAGCTCTTTGGTAGATACAAACACACAAATACAGATATTTTCCTACCTAAAAGTAATGTATAACACTCTTATTTACTGTACTCCATCATCTTAAAGTCTTTAGTCCAGGCTACAACATGAAATACGTATATTTGAAAATGCTTCGCCGTCAGTAGCAGCTTGAGCAGCCCCACAGCCGTGCCATTCTGCAGTGATCCAGTTGATTTATCACTGAGCCTGGAGGGATATAGGTTATAGAGGACCGCTTCTATTTTCAGACATCGAAGAAGATTCATAAAATTGCAGTGGTGTTAAAATGCTAGTCTTTCTACTATGGCCTCGAACACATTGCACTGAGGTCTGCTTGTTCCTTTTAGCACTATAAGCTCTCGTCCAAAAATAGCACACAGCATATATATTGGTATGTGGAGGGGATCAATAAAGGGGAATTGGCTTTTTGACAGCAGAAAGTTGAGGTTTAATAATCACGCAAGCCCATAAATCTTGGTGACAATGTGAGTTATGGTTGGCAATGTCCACAAGGCACCACAAGCATCATTTAGCCTCAACTACATGTATCTACAACACAGACAGGATGACCCTCTGCTCGCACACACATGCACTGTACATACGCCCTATAACTCATATGTAATAAACCTGTTCTGAGGGTGACACATAGAATCAATTGTCCAGAATATAGGTCATTGGTGCAGAACCTGGCAGTCAAAAATGAGGGCAAAGCCATAACTAAACTGTCCGGTTAAATGAATGAAAGGGGCATAACCAATCAAGTTGTGTTTTAATCAGCGAAAGAATATCGGCATGCGATGTGGAGGCCCTTACAGTAAATCCTCACCCTCCTCCTCCTCTATTCTTCATTCAGGAAGTACCTCTGACACAGCACAGTGTGACTCATGGGAGCTAAGGAGGCTGCCAAAAACTCACAGAGAATCAAGACAAGAAGCCTGCTCACTGAAATGCCCGGAAATGTAAAAGCTGAGTTCAGCCACCCCACGACAAATAGACCAAGCCTTTTCTCAACCATCATGTATGAACTGACAATATTCTTGTTCTGTGGTGCTGATGTTGCATAAATATGGCGGTTCTTACCATCTCAGCAAAGAAATAGGTTATAACTTATTATTTGGGCCATATATTTTTACATTTAAAAAATCTATTTGTATTTTAACTGAATTATAAAATGTTGTAATCATTTAGGATGATCGGTGGTTGAGGTAACAGGATTAATGCACTGTTTCTACATATTTGAAAGGAAACTGGTACAAGCGTCCATATTTGAATCATTTTATTTAATATATTTTTGGAATAAAACGTAGATGGCACTCAGACCAAGCATGTTTATCCAATTTATTTTTGAGTAATAAAACATTTTAGTGCTATATCTACTGGCCAAAATAATACACAGTGGGGCTTTAACTCTGGAAAACACAAGCTTCGTAGGGTACAGGTATATTGGTAAATGTTAAATGGTCACATTTTTCTATAGCGCTTTTCCACCTTCAAGGCACTCAAAGCGGTTTACAACAAGGAACCACTCACCCATTCACACTTACATTCATACGCCAGTGTACGCAGACACTGTGGGTGAGGTGGCTTAAGTGTCTTGCCCAAGGATAGAAAGATAGCATTTATTTGTGGGAGCTGGAATCACACCAGCCAACCTGTGGATCAGTGGATCTGACCACTCAACCCAGATGTTTATGTCGAGAGAGGGATATACTGCTATCCCTATGTCAGCCAAAGACAATGACATCTGTCGCATTGATTCATCTATGATGTTTTAACTTTAAAGTCCAGGAAACAATTTCATTAATAATTCCTTTCCTATTGATTTCAGCAATATTTTTTTTTTATATGCTTTGGTTCAGGTGTAAGTACAACACTAAAAAGACTGTAAAATGAAATACAATGTACAGCTCTGTGGGGAAATAACACTGTATAATATATAAAAGTGTGTGTCCTCCTATATGTTTTTCGTTTGAGTGTAAACTTCAAAACAAAAGTGTAAAGTAGTCCACTATAAAGATGGAAAGACTGCAACACAAGGAAATTGGCTTGTACAAAGAATTGCTGATATGTATCTAGTCAACATCTCATTCCCTGATTCAGTGGCCAAATAAAAGCAGGACTTGGCGAGTAAATATCCACAAGACAAAATAAAGTGTATTCTGTGTCACAAATGCGCTGTCTGCAGATAAAGAAATGATAGATTTCTGAAGAGGAGGGCGTTGTTTGTGAATAGACTCGAAATAGCTCATGGCCAGGTAGGATGAATGATGTAACAGGAACAAGGGAGAGAGAGCTCTTTGCTAAGTGAGTCTGGCAGTGCACGACTTTGACAACTGCAGAGTTTATGAATGAATGAGGCTGGAGTCAGACGGGCACCAGGAGTCTCAGAGCACACGCGCAGTCAGTGGACCTGCCCCCACTGGACCTGCCCTCACTGCTGCTGGCATTTACAGAGGCACTGAAGTATCAAAGGTGTCCCTTCATCCTCCCATACTTATTTGCAACATATCTTCGCTTTCTTATATGTTTTTTTTTTTTACATTTTTGTATGTTTTGATGATAAAATTAAAGAGCAAAATTGTGAGTATCATTAGATTATGGGCATATAATATTTCTTGGTTTATTTATTGTTAGTAGTCTGCTTTGTATTATCATGACATTTAAATGGAAGCTCTTTTATGCTAGTCTTATGCAGGTTCTGCTAACCAAAACTGCTAAATATGTTATAGGCTAAATAATAGATAGTAAAGGTAATAATACGTTATTGGAAATAGTAGCCTAGGGGTAATAAACTGACAGAATGTGATCAATGCTATTCCCATCACATACAGATTACTGATTGGCTTGGTAAACGTTTCACTTTTAATGACATGGTTTGTTTAAATGAATGAACAGTCACACCACTGGCTCATTTGTAAGCCCGAGGTGTCTCATCGGCAGCATCAGGTGATATTGGGCAGTGGGATAGAGGCAGGGGCGGTGACGCATCGTTTGGGGAGTGAACACGCCCGCGAGTATTCCCTCACGCCTACAGTAAGAGAGACAGACGGAGGGGCAGACAGCAAAGAAAGGCAGAGAGACAGGGGCTTTTCCTGGTCCTACTCCTCCTTCGAGTGCCCACGCATGAATGAACACAAGATGATACACACTCACGGAGAAGAAATTAGGCATCCACATCTTAATAGTCCACTGTCAATGCACTGATCAATCAGAATTATAACGTAAAATTATCATACAAGGTCAAACAGTCAATTACACACGATGTCATAGTGTCCGGACAACTGATTCAACCTGTATGTCAATGTCTATCTCTGTTCTATGTCAAATCAGCTATAGACACCAACTATAGTCTAACGGAGCTTAAATCTGAGTATTTCTGCATTAGACTACAAGCTTACAAATGGTTCATGTGACAGTAGACTACTCTGCCTCTGATCAGTATTTTAGAATCAAATGTTAGCAAAGAGGCTAATCCTCGTCTAAAGGTGGGAAATAAAATACTACCAACGTGCTTGGGCTTAATTACTTTCTCTAAGCCTGTTACTTGTCATTCATATAAACATTTTACACCGATGCGTCCGATGGATAAGAGTTGGGTTTCCGCTCTGATTTAATGACTATTCAGCAGAAAACCTGAGCTACCCAGGCGCGTTTCCTTCTAGGCGAACAGCTGTCAGCCCAGTGCTGCAGTCTCGTGTGAGAACCAGGATACATTTAACACATAAACATGCCGTCTTACCTCCGACACAGAGCAGGGACATCTCTGTTATTAGCGGTGCGAGCGTCCCCGGCTGTCCTCTACTGCTCCGTGATTTGTTTGCTCAGTCTGTCCGTCTTGGTTACGCGTAAAAACTCACAAAATCAACCCGTATTAACGCAACCCAAAGTGCTCCATGTCCAGCGCTGGTTTCCGCCTGTGTGTTTTTTCGCTGTGGGACTGTTGCTCTTTTGGCAGGATGAGACACTGGACTGAAACTCTCGCCCCCCTCCACTCTCCCTCCTCTGCATTGCCTCAACCCGCTATGCGCTCCGCCGCTGCTCCACCTGCGCCGCGCACAGCCATCTTGTTTGAGCAGCAGCAGCGCCCAGCACCCCGAGCCGAGGACAGCTCCCCGGTGCCCCGCTGCCCTGACGTCACTGACGAGCAGGGGGAGGGATGTGCGCGTTATGTTGGGCCCAGCGATGCTCTGATCTCAATGAACAATAGATGAAGAATTTAATTCATGGTGCACTTGTAAACTGAAAGGAGAAGCTGAACAGTAGTTTATTTAAAAGGGGACGGTATGTGTTGTGTTACTATAATAGCCCTATAAAATACTATGAGAAGACACCTAATAAATAATACAGTAGTTATGCGGACTTCCAGATTTAATTTACTTTTTTTTTTAATCCATGATGAAACAATAAAGATTTTTTCAAAGTGTGGTAACATACACCTTGATCCTAATCATATAGCTCTTGTCAGACTTTGAAATCACTGACAAATTTTATATGGTTGCGCTTGACTAAGTAAAGCTGTAACACCAGTATTCAAACACTAGAGGGCAAAAACGCGTGTACTCTTGGTTATACGTCTGTAACCCACCAGCAGAAGAAGAGGGTTGTTTACGCCTACGTGAGGTTCAAGATGGCTGCTGGAGACAACAGTGGCAGGCCGCCCTGTCTTAATTTCTCGGGCCCAGGTCCTCTGGGAAACAGCCAGCCGAGCAACAGCGTTTTCTCTATGCCCGCGTCCAATGGTGGAGCCGTGGGTGCGGCTGGCGGAGCTCAGGGTGCAGCGAGGCGGCCCAACCCGCAGTTGGGGCCTGGAGGAGCGGACAGCAGCGGTGTTTCGAGCGGAGCCCCGCCGCCTGCGCACAACTCCCTGCAGCAGTCCTCTGCGGCAGGAGCTGCAGCAGCGGGAGCCATGGCTGCCCCGGCGTCCAACATGACATCCAGTGCTGCTTCCAACGCCACTCCGACCACCGCACCAACTGCCACAATGGCCGCCGCTTCCGTGTTGGTTTACCGAGAGCCTGTGTACAATTGGCAAGCTACAAAAAGCACAGTCAAAGAGAGATTTGCGTTTCTCTTCAACAATGAAGTGCTTAGTGACGTGCACTTTTTAGTGGGCAAAGGCATGGGGGTCCAGAGGATACCTGCGCACAGGTGAGTAGTACTCAAAAACAATTACACGTGTGTTTGTTTGTGAAGATAATAATAACGTAATGCCTTGTCATGCGTGTCAGGTTTGTTTTGGCCGTGGGCAGTGCCGTGTTTGACGCGATGTTTAACGGCGGTATGGCCACCACCTCCACGGAGATCGAGCTTCCAGACGTGGAGCCAGCTGCCTTCTTGGCCCTTCTCAAGTAAGACCACCTGTGTGACTGACTGTCAGTGAAATTGGTCGGCGTGGTTTTGATGTTTCAAGTATGTAAATAACTTTGAGCGATTTGTAATCTCCTAACAACTGTCATGTAGCCCAGTGCTTGCATATTTGTGGGGGTTGTCAATGAGATTTATTGGGTTGAATCATTAAATAATATGCTAAACTTTTTCAGGTTCTTGTACTCAGATGAAGTGCAGATTGGACCTGAAACCGTAATGACCACACTATACACAGCTAAGAAGTATGCAGTGCCAGCCCTGGAGGCTCACTGTGTGGAATTTCTCAAGAAGAACCTGAGAGCAGACAATGCTTTCATGCTACTAACACAGGTCAGAACCACAAATGATTTCAACATTTATTGAGTAACTTCAAAGCAGAAGTAAACTGTTAATATGGGTTCTGTTGTTTCAGGCACGATTGTTTGATGAACCTCAACTTGCCAGTCTCTGTCTTGAAAATATAGATAAGAACACAGGAGATGCTCTTGCTGCAGAAGGCTTTACAGACATTGACCTAGGTAGAGCGGAGATGTTTGATTTTAAAAGGTATTTGTTTATCTGTATGAGCCTCATCTGAAGATCTTCACTGTAGATACGCTGGTGGCGGTGCTAGAGAGGGACACTCTGGGCGTACGGGAGGTGCGTTTGTTCAGTGCAGCAGTGCGCTGGGCAGAGGCCGAAGCCCACCGACAGCAGCTGCAGCCCACCCCAGAAAACAAACGCAAAGTCTTGGGCAAGGCTCTGTCATTAATCCGATTCCCTCTCATGACCATAGAAGAGTTTGCTGCAGGTAAATGATCATCTCTTTGCATGTCAAAATCATTTAAAGGGGCACTGTATGACTTTTTTGTTGGAGGGTTTGTCATCTGCTTCTCTACATGGAGATATCGCCTTGCATATTCCACAGTATGGCATTATACATGTTCATTGCTGCGGAGACTGCTGTCTCATTAAAGTGCCAAGTTACATCTCAGATCTGTGTAGAGCCAAACCCACTTAGCGTAAGAATAGTCAATGACAACCTATGTTATTGAGTAAATGCAAGATTGATACGTTTAATGTCATATCAGGACTTTCCAGAAAAATAATATCTCCATGGAAACAAGCAGGTGGCAGACACTCCATCAGAAAAGATACGCAGTGCATCTTTAACTTTTAATTACATTTTAATGAAGGTCCTGCCCAGTCCAGTATTCTGACTGACAGAGAAGTTGTGAGCCTTTTCCTACACTTCACTGTCAACCCAAAGCCACGAGTAGATTTCATTGACCGTCCTCGCTGCTGCCTCCGCGGGAAGGAGTGCAGCATTACACGTTTTGCACAGGTGGAAAGTCGTTGGGGATATAGTGGGACCAGTGACCGTATACGGTGAGAGCATACAGTTATACATCCATATAACAGCATTGGTGAAAAGATGTATTTCCATTCTGTAATTACATTTTATACATAATATTATTATGATTATTATGTCATTAATGTTCTTCATGCATTTCTCTTGCCAGGTTTTCTGTAAATCGAAGAATATTTGTGGTTGGGTTTGGTCTTTATGGATCAATACATGGGCCAACAGACTACCAAGTTAACATTCAGGTTTGTTTTAACTTGTAGTTGTTGTTAATAGTACAAACCAGAGGCACAGACTTATAACACCCTTGTCATTATTACTGCTCCTCTGAGATTTTGGTCTTGATTCCTTCAGATTATACACACGGACAGTAATACAGTGCTCGGACAGAATGATACAGGGTTCAGCTGTGATGGCTCTGCCAACACCTTTAGGGTCATGTTTAAAGAACCAGTGGAGATACTGCCTAATGTCAACTACACTGCCTGTGCTACACTAAAGGTTTGCAGTAGTGTACAGCTCTTGTAATATCCCTGTTTAACTTCACTTATATCTTAAATCTTACATTATCATTCTATTGCAGGGTCCAGACTCGCATTATGGCACTAAGGGAATGCGTAAAGTTACCCATGAGTCATCAACTACCGGCACAAAGACCTGTTTCACCTTCTGCTACGCGGCAGGGAACAACAATGGCACTTCGGTAGAGGACGGACAAATCCCAGAGGTCATCTTTTACACATAGTCACCCCCATTGTGCTCGCCATCTTCCATCAAGTCTGACATGTTAACACCAGCACAGGGGTCACACTGACGTCCTGGGAGCTAATCTGTCACACGCCATCCTCCACCTAATGAACTGCTGTTGGCTTTACCTGAAGAGTCAGTACATGGGCATAACCTGTCACTCGAGATGCTGTTATGTTTCCTTTGCAGTCATTTCCTTTAAACCTTTGTGTCATAAACACTGTACCAGACTCACATAGGAAGCAGGAAGTGATGGAAGAACCTCAATGAACCACAGCATCTCACTGCTGTCAATATTCATAAAATAACTGCTAATTCTTCTGTTTATCTCTTCTCCAAAAATTCACACCATTAGTAAAACCGACTTGCCAAGAAACGTGTCCGCCTCAGCATTATATGCAAACCTGCATTTAACAGCACTTGATTACACTCAAACTGTAACTTGCGACAACTCAGACCTCATAGGCTTTTGGGCATAGTGGCAAAGCTGTATTATATTTAACACAATATAAATAGGATACATCAAGTTCAATATGTTATATCTTGTGACCTTGCTTGGTAGTTGCCTAAACTCAAGATAAATGCACTTCTTGGCCTTGCATATGTTATTTCATTATTTCTCTGGACGCACACTAACTGTTTCTTTGCTTTGCTCTTAAAGTGTGGGTTTAAGAGGAAGGTCCCTCTTGCTTTGGAAAGGGTTGTATATTATGTCATTTAATAACATGTATCTTCAAATTACTATTGATTAAAGAGTGAAGAAAATGTGTTGTTCTGTACTTATCTATGTAACTCCAGGTATCTCAGGACATATCTATATTCAAAGTCAATTTGTTTTGATGTGTTTATTTGTTACATACACAAAACAAAAGTTCAATTCAGTTGTAATAATGTGTACTCCCGATTGTGATTGATTTTTTTTTTGTACATGACCTTTATTAATGAGAAATGAGAAATATTGCAGCTATGTCACAGTGCACTTCATAGGCCCAATCTGGCCAATGATTCGGAGAGAATGAATTAGGAAAGCGATAATACAATAATTCTACTCCAATTCTCCCAAACCCTGGCCCCAGGCACTTTGTGTACTGTAGCCATGAAATGAAGTGTGTTGCTCCATATACTCTAAAGCTGAATCTAATAATTCTATGTCTGTTTCTAACAATTTAAAAGAATGTGTGCGATGTATTCCTATTGTGCAAAAAAGTGCCCATGGGATGGGGTTTACAGATAGATTTGGCATTTTATCTGGGAATAGTGATTACAATTTGTCCAAATAATTGTCAAGAGCAGGAATACCCTCTTTGAGACCTTTACGCTTCCTGATTTCATTGACAACCTGTGAGGGTCTGGCGGCAGGGTCGTTGGGGTCTCCTTGGAGAATCTGCCAGTGGTCAAACACACACTGAGGGAATGCCTGTCCACCGGTGTTGCTGCGCAGGTCTGCAGTAAAACCTGCAAAAAACAGATGAATAGTTTTAAATAAAGTAACAGCAAAAAAGTATTTCCACCAGTCATTAACCATATCTTACCAAAGGATTCATTGACAGGCAGGTAAGCTTTAACCACAAACATGGGGGTGCCCATCACTTGGGATTCTTCAAATACATGGCCTCGTTTCCTGTTCAAAACGCCATAAATGCCGCCTACCACTTGCTCTGGACACTACAACAGAACAAGTAAAATGTGTTACATCTGTTCAACTATATGTAGAAGAAAACATGTGGAACTCACCTGAATCTCTACCAGGTAAACAGGCTCCATGACTCTGGGCTGTGCAGTGAGCTGACAAGCATACAAAACTCTGCGAGCAGTGGGAATGATCTGTCCACCTCCACGATGGATAGCATCTGCATGTAGTGTCACATCATGAATGTCAAAACGAATGGCTCGCATATTCTCCTCACACAGAGCTCCCTTGGGAAAGAAAACAAAGATTACAGCATAATAATAAAGTTGTACATTGCTGTTATGCGCCAGTAACAACTACCTCTTTCGTCGCCCACTGAAAACCAGCCACCACACTGTCCTTAATTTCATTGAGGTACTGAACACCCTTTGTCACATCAATGAGCAAGTTGGGCCCACTTCCATCTGGACCGAAGCACCAGATCTTTCTGGCCTCTGTCACATCCCATTCATATTTGTCGGCAAGGTAACGCGCGCGGACCTTGAGCTCCTGGCGCGCCGAGACTTCACCTTTCTCAATGTCCTCGGCCAGGCCATCTGGGAAGGGGCGAGCTTTCATGAAGAGTCGGTTGTGTTTGTTGGGGGACTTTGACAAGCACATTTGATCTGATTCTTCACTTACAGTTTCTCTGTAAGACACAACTGGATCTGATTTCTGTAAAAAAAAAAAAAAAAGGGATAAATTATAATTCTTTTCTGTCTACAATTCTACTTTCCATGACAACAAAGCCAAACCTTCAGTGGAATGCAGGCATGATCCTCCTCCAGGTCCTTCAGGCAAATCTCCAGGTGCAGCTCTCCTGCTCCAGCGATGATGTGCTCCCCAGATTCTTCAATGATACACTGCACCATAGGGTCAGACTTGGCCAGACGCTTCAGCCCCTCCACCAGTTTAGGCAGGTCCGCAGGATTTTTGGCCTCTACTGCCACTCTGACCACAGGACTTACACTGAACTTCATAACGCGCATGTTGTGAGCCTACAGCCCAAAGAAATTTCAAAGTAATTATTATTTCATCTGTACAATAAAAAAACACAGAGCACTTTCATGCAAAACAAAACAATAAAATAATATTGTCGCCTGACCTGTTCATATGTGGTTATTGTCCCAGTCTTAACCAGGAATTGGTCTACTCCCACAAGACCCACAATGTTTCCACATGGGACATCTTCAATTGGCTCTACATAGCGACCCATCATGAGAATTGTCCTGCATTTAAGAAATAAACTGTTAATGTTTTCTGTTCATATACAGCAATGTGCCTTATTTTACAGCCCAGACTTGCCTCTGAATTGGTTTAAGATAGAGATCCTCCTTCTTGCCCGGGCTGAAGTTTGGCCCCATGATGCGCACCTTTTGACCTGTGGACACGATACCAGAAAACACTCGGCCAAAGGCATAGAAGCGCCCCTTGTCACTGGTGGGAACCATTTTGGAAATGTACATCATCAGAGGAGCCTTGGGATCACAGTTTTTGATACCTGAAGGATGGACAGAGACTTAAATAACAAAAAAGCACTTATGCATGTAATCAAATGAGCTTTGTGTTGTCCTGACCCATGGCAGCCTCATCGTCCCCGGGGCCTTCATAGAGCAGTTCACAGCGGTACTTCTGAGCTGTCACTGGAGAAGGTAGGTGAATAGTGATCATCTGTAGCAGAGCTTCTCCTGCTGGAAGCCAACGCCGCATTACAGCTTTTAGGAGAGGCTTCCCTTCTTTCTCCTTGTCCTCAGCATCAAGTTTCACATCTAATTTCTCAATTAGTTTGGCTGTTTCCTCTTTTTTGAAATTCATGATGGCATCAAACACCTAAAGAAAAAGAGGAGGCCTTATTTGTTAAAACATTTCTCTTGTTACACAGAAAAAACAATGTTTGACAGATGGGTTTACCTTAAAAATAGGGTCAAGCACCAGCTGGCAAAAGGTGCGTGGATATTTCTGCCCATTAGGACCTGTGGCAGTTTTGCTAAATTTTCCAGTGCTTGGATCAAAATATCTAGAAAGTAACACAGTGTGTTCACTTGTATGCTATCACAAGGAGAATTCAATCCTGTAACACAAGCTGGCTTACTTATCTCCCCACAGTTTCTTCATCATGTCCTCCACCTTTTTGCACCTGTCTGCAGGGCTCATTTTAGAAGCACCTTTAGAAGCAAATTTTGCCACATACATCTCAGCAAACTGCTTCAGGGTGAAGGCCCAGCCGTGCAGTCCAGAGCCAAACCCAACTGTTCCAATAATTGGGTCAATCTAGGAAGACATTTTTATCTTGTTAAGAAAAAAAAAAAGAAAAAAAAAGTGTTTTTTTGACACCCACCATGATGTTTCCCATGGGTCCTCCCTCATCCTCTCCATAGGTTGAGATAATGACGTTTACATTCTCTACGATTCGTTGAAATGTTGAATAGAGTTCATCTGGCTCAAGCTGGAGCTCTAACAAGGCCCGGTCCATCTTGTTCATCATCAGAACTGGTTTGATGCGCTCGGCAATGGCCTGACGCAGGACCGTTTCTGTCTGTACACACACGCCTGGGATGGGCAGGATATGTGGATTATCTGCTTCAGGAGTGACATCTTTTTTTAATTTTAAGACCTACCTGAGACACAGTCCACCACCACCAAGGCTCCATCAGTGACTCTGAGAGCTGCTGTCACCTCAGAGGAGAAGTCCACATGACCCGGGGAATCAATCAGGTTGATTAAGAAGCCATTTCCATCTTTACACTGTTTAATAAATGCCATGTCATTGTCCCCAAGTTCATAGTACATAGAAATAGCCCTGAGAAGTAAATCATAGAAAATAATTTAGTAAAATAAAATATGAAGTTCACTTTTATTATTAAAAGTGCACATTTTATTTTATTCACATTCTATTTCACATTTTATTGTTAACAGTAATAAGGGGGTATGCTACATCCCTCCATACAGGTCCCTGTGACTTACGTGGACTTAATGGTGATGCAGCGCTCCTGCTCATCCTTTCTAGTGTCTGTGAAGCGGGTCTCTCCGGCTCGGGCTGAGGCAATAATTCCAGCCTTCGACACTAGAGAGTCGGTGAGAGTGGATTTCCCATGATCCACGTGGGCAATCACAGACATGTTCCTGATATTGGACTTTTTGTCCATGATCGCTCGGATCTGGTCCACGGTGAAGTTCACCTAATGGGAGGGGCGTGAGTTGAGTGAGGTGAAGTATTCATTCTTTCACTGTCAGAGGTGAACTCATGCTTCATGACATGTGTCTGTGATGTTTATGCACTCTAGCGGCTCCCTAGCTCTGTACCAAGTGCAGTTATAAAAAGAAAGGCATGTTGGAAATTGAATCCTGCAGCTTGGCCCTGTGGTGTGCAGTCGCTGTATAAGGAGTTTGACTTCTCAATAGGCAATGGATCACAAAATGAGTGAGTCACCACCACTCACTCAATGCAGCAAAATGGCTATACATTGCACAATTACAGCTCCAAATGATTTACAAAATACAAAAGGATCCTCGTGTAATCTCTGTCAAAAAACAAGTCCTGGCTTTCTATTTTAAAACGTTTTACACACAACGGCCATGTTCTAACCCACGTGGGAAGGAAATTTACCTCATTTGGAGTAAATTCGAGTAGAATAGCAAGTAATATGTCGTTAGTAGCCTATAATAAGGTTTTCAAGCGTATTTAGGTATTTATTATCATACTATAGGGACCATCCACCCAATAGATGACTGCAGCATGGTGCAGGCTACAGGCCTAGATGTCCCTACTTAGCCTCAAAACAGGTGCACAAGGTAAAGAGATTTCCAAGGGAAAACTGACAAATTCAGATAACATTTGGGCCTATAAGGGCGTGCCATTTTCATATCCCCATCACTTGTGCGTTTTTAGGGTACGGTCTGCATCTCTGGGAGACTGCGACACATTCTTCAATATAGGCCTATCAGCTGATCACCAAGATTCTGTGACCGTCAATGAATGTTTTATTCTGCGCATTTAAAAAGCAACAGGAGCTATAATGAGATAATAATGTACCGCTATTCCTTCATGTGCAGGCTGTACCGTGGCTGTGCTATCCGAAGGTTGTGTAAGGAAAGGATGACAAATAAAACATATACAATAAATCTTTTGACTAGCCTATGTATACCCAGGGAGTTTACTCACCATTTTGGCCGCTCTCGGTTGGTCTTCACGTGTTAGGGGTTATTGCGGTGAGCACTGCCTCTGAAGACAGCCAGTCCCGGTGGTGACAGGACAGAAGAGACCGAGCTGTTTCTGCGGCGGCCGTGTGGCTCCTGGTGGGTGCAATGCCAAATACCACCAGCTGGAGGCGCTGCTGCTCTTCCCATATCATCTTACGCTGTGAGTACACAGGTGTGTGCCAAAATTGTGCGGTGTGTCAGTCATGACCCCATACAGTGTAGTGCATGTTTAGGCTAGCCAATAGATAAATGACATAAAGAACAACACGGCCTATGAACATTTATTAAAGTTTATTATTAATTTCAGATTTTTGTTGTTAGATGAAGAGTTCTCTTCTACCAAATCTGAGAGTGTGACATCACTCAAGCCTACACAGCCTATGGTCTACAACGGCACATGCCGTAACAGTGCATGACCACAAGAGGGTAGGATGGGACCACACGATCCGTCTCATTAGGATAAATGGGTTAAGTATGACTGTTGTAGAACAGTACCAGCCTCTATAAAGGAGTACAGAGAAAAACATGTTCACGTGTGCTGTACGGCAATAGGAATATAATTGGGCCTTTGGAGAAAAGCCACGCTCCTGGCAAGGCTGCTTTTTCTGAGCAGACAAGGCTTTATTGAAATCAGAGTATACTGATTTTCCCAAAATATGATTAATAAATAATTATTCCACAACAGAAGTGTATCCACTACTGTATGCTACACTACATAAATATTAATGTAAATCTGGGTATAAAAGACAGATCACAAGAAATCACAAAAATACATTTACTCAGGACCTTTACTTGGGTCTTGATTATATAGGAAGACACTGCTTTGCTTTGACATCCACTGCATTATTGTGTTCCTCTCCAGACCACCAGTAGAATGCTAACAATAATGAGGTTGGAGCTTGTCCTCTTTCTTTACTTTCATTGAAAAACTCTGACTGCATCAGGCATGTAAGTGATGCAGAATAACAAATGTTGTGTTTTATTTGAAGCCCATTTCCCCATATTCCAAGATGGGAGGAAAACACATTCTGAAATATTAATACCCAGGGCAACACTGATCTGATTTCAAAGATCTAATGAGCAAAGAATAACCTCTTTGCTCATTAGATCTTTGAAATCAGGTCAGTGTAGGTCAGCCTCAGAAGCAGAGGTGGAATGTAGCCAAAAATTGTAGAGAAAATTACTCAAGTAAGAGCAAAAACGTATTTGGGAAAACTATTTCTCAAGTAAGACTAATTTAAAGTAATTTAACATCTGTTGGCATGTAACATTTGATTTACAATTTGAAGTTAATCTAACTGGAAGCATAAAACATTTAATACTGCACAATATCTGTTATTTTCAAAAGTCACAATTAAAAATTATGAAATCATATATGAAGGTGTGTTGCACAAAACACACATTTTCAAATAATCTCAACATAAAGCTTTTGTCACTTATAGTAACCAAAACCTTTATACAAGTGTACTGTTACTTCAATACAAATTTTACTGAAGTAAGAGTCAAAGTATGAAGCTAGGAAAAGTAACATTTCTCAAGTAAATGCAACCGAGTACTACCCACTTCTGTTCAGAGGAAACCTGCAAAAATAGGAAAATATGTCTATGAAAGTGAGATAATCATATAAAAAATCTTATTGATTATGATCTTATGATGTTCCTGGTGATTGTGAAGCTGTGGAATTTCCCAGGTGGTTGTTACACTTATGGCTGAACTTGAGATAACGGTCATGTCTATGCTTCATGACTGTTGAACCAATCAGTGTAAATAGCAGGACTAATGGTGTGCTCTCCAAAGCTTTTCAGTCAATATTAAAAGACATCAGCAATCCGGGTTCATCCTAAATTTTATAGGTCCTCAACTAAAGGCTCCACACTTTGGTTTAAAATGGCACAGATTACTGTGACCAGATTCAGGTCCTGTAAAATTTGTCCAAAGCTATTGTTTTGTCAAAGTTTTACAAGCAATGTATCCCCATTTCTGATAAAACTTGATACCTTCCAACAGTAAAGGGGCCAGTATATTGTTATTTGTTTTGCTATAATGCAAAGAATCTATCTTGAAAATTACCACAAAGCAAAAAAAGGCACTCTGCTGCATCAACATAAATCCATCATTATATACTGACCCATAAATAAGCAATGTTGGGAAGTAACTGATTAAATGTACCAAGAATACATTCATTCTAATACAATAACTTTTTCTTTGGTGTTGTTCAGAATACAGTTACTTTCCTAAAATCAAAAGAATGCATTATTGTATTTGATCATGTGATTTAGGCTTCAAACTGCACATAATCAATGAGAAAAACAGTGCGTGACTGAGTGCATGTGTGATTTTTCCATCTCCAATTAGTGATTGGAAATCTTTAAAAATGGTGAAACAAATATAAAGCTATTATTAATGCTATATTGCATCTTTACACTATAATTTCAATGCAACACAATGTAAAAGTTTTCTAAGTATTCAGAATATAGTGCTCCGATAAGATCATGTAACGGAATATGTTACAAAATGCTTTTAAATTCAGTTATTCTGTAATTAAATACATTTTATTCTTCCCATCACTGTAAGTTACTCAAGAATGCACAATGTTACACTCTTTTTACACAATTTTATTTATACTCATCATCCCAACCCAGACTTGTCTCAGTTTGTAATATTGAAAATCTGGTCACCTTAGTACAAATACTATAGCCACATCAAGAAACCATGTCAAGAAGGTTTGTGGTCAGGCTATTCCAATATCACACAGGCTTAAAGTGCTTTTGTTTTATATACATATACGTGTATATATACATACATACACATATATATGTATTGTTTACTCACTTTTGTGAGTTCAGGTGAGTTCTAATGGACATGAATGTGCTGAACTCTGAGTTACACCCTCTTCCTGGTAGATGTGCTTTGTCCTGTAGAGATAATGTCTGTGTGTACTTTGGCTCAGTAATCTTAGGAGGGAACAACAATAAAGATAGCAGACTTGGGCTGTCATGCAATTAAACCATTACACATCTACAATTGTACAAATTTGCTTGTGAGGCAATGAACACTGTAATTACTGCTACTTATCAGACTGTTTTGTTATTATGCAAGGATTATTCAACAATTTAAAGATAATATATTTAAACTGTTATAAAACTGAAAAGTGCAAATCTGGGTTTATCTAGAGACTGAAGTAGAGAGAAATGTTCACTTGTGATGAAGAGAAAATTGCCTCTGATGAAGTCAAAGGTATAACAATTCTCTGAAGTGGAGACTGCTTCGTGCTTCTGATGGTCGCCTATTTGACATTTTTTCCTCAAGAAAACCGAACTAGCTGAAAAATGGCCCTCCCTACTCAGACAATTGTTAGACAAGGATACATGATAAATAATTTAATATGTAATAATTTTTCTGTCTAAGTTTTTAACGGTAAAGATTGCTGTTATGCAATTCACTGATTTATGATGGCAAACAGATGCAAATATTTATGACAATGATAAACTTATGATAATGCAGAAAGTTCATACCACATGTTTCTTTTGAGGGACATTTCAATAATCTGAATTTGTGGAAATATTAATTTGAAATATCCCATTAAAATGAGATTTGGTAGTTTTATATGTACGTGAATTAATTTGACATTTCAGTTTAAAGGTTCTATATTATGCAAAATGAACTCTTTAAGTCATGTAATAATGTTGCTGCCTCATCAAAAACATGCCTGGAGTTGTGTTTTGTTTCATTCATGCACGTTTGAGTAACTCTGCTTTATTAGTTTACATTTCCAAAGCTCAAAATGTTCTGTTCCACCTTGTGATGTCATGTGGTGGTAGTTCTGAAGTTAACAATACAGTTGCCAATGTTTAGTTCAGTAGAGATTGGCAACTCCATTGGCTGCAATGATCTAAATGATGTAGTGAAGGTGTATGGAGTTTAAAAAAACATTGGAGCACTTCCCTTATTACCATATGACAGACATGTCAAACTCAGGCCCGAGGGCCAAATTTGGCCCGCAATATAATTATATTTGGCCCGCGAGATCAGATCAAATATGTATTAGAGCTACCCCACCGATTACAGATAAACTTTAAACTATAGAGACAATGTTTATTTAAAATGTTGTTATTATTTTATATTATAGACCCACGACTTAGTCCCAGTTTTGAATTTTGACCCTCTGTGAATTTGAGTTTGACACCCCTGCCATATGATATCACAAGGTGGAACAGAGAGTTCATTGTTTGAGGAACTAAGTCTAAATATGCAGGGTTTGTGTGTTAAACAAGTGTGAATGAAACAAAGCACAACTCTAGGTATGTTTTTGATAAGAGAACATTATAACATAGATCATAAAACAGTGTAATGGGCCTTTAAAATCTGTTTACAAGCCACATTATAAACACCTGAGGTAAATTGAATGTGAAACTATAATAAACAGGGATAAGTCCAGACATGTTTTGATTACATCTTGTGTCTCAGGATTGGTTATTCAGAGCCTATCTCATAGCTCATTGGACAGTGATCATCTGGGTTGGGAGTGCAAAATGAAGATATGGCATTTCAACTTTGTCCTCTGAAACATAGCTGATCATTCCTCTCAAAACCAAAGAGTAACAGTTCACATGGGATTGTTTTTGTTGTGTGCTTTTAACCTGGCCTCACAAAAATTTAATCAGTTTTGGGATGACACTGACAACAGAAGAGGTGAGTAGACCTGTCATGATAATTACTAAAGCAACTTAAGCCTGAAAATAAAAGTGCTTTTAAAGGGGGCTATTTTGGTGTAAATGTATTTGAAAACATTAATTTTGTCTTCTTTGTATATTAACTTCTTGGGTTCTTTTTAAAGAATAAATGTACTTCTTGGATTCATGAGTTAAATGATGTATCTACCTTGTTGACATGTTTCAGCTACTAGCTGCAAGTCATCTTCATTTCAGGCTCATGGTTTAAACATGGTTTACATTTTTTTAAATCAAGAAGTAACCCAAAAACCCAAGAAGTAAATGTATTTGACAGTGTTTAAGTCCTGTATGTCCTGTGCTCTGATGAAGCCTTACTTTCAGGTCCAAGTTGGGATGGACGTGATTGACTTACTGCTACGAAGCACTGATGAACAGGCCAACAGTTACCACAGCAACAACAATTGGGCCCTAAACATTCAAGAAGTGAGTGGGCTCTTTTAGCCATTAATCCAAGAATTACTCCTGTCTTTTTAACAGTAGGTTGAGTCATCCAGTTGGGTTAATATTCTGAGTAAGATTTAAGTAATTGAATGATATGGCTGTTTGTCAGTGCCTGTATTCAAGTGGTGTGAATGTAAATGAAGTGCAATTAGTCCTTAAGTGAAGTGCGTGGGAGAATATAATGATATGATTAAGTTAAGCCTCACAGTCATGTTAATTTGGTGTTCTTACTGACATACCCCTTCGGTCAGAGTCCCAGTCCTGGGGAGAGCAGTGCTGATGACTTCCTGGAAAGCCTGCTGGGTGGCAGCGATTGCTCCTCAGCTCCTGCATCCCCCCTGTGGTCCCCCTGTACCTCCTACAGCGCCAACACCGAAGACCAGGCCGGGTGTCCTGCAGAGAGCCAGGCTTCCCTCAGGCCTGTATCAGAATGTGCTGCGCTGTGGCCCTCCCAAATGGAGCTGTATCCATCTCCAAGCAAAGTCAAGGTGGAGAGAACTTCTGACGTTGCAGTTGATCTAGGTAAGACCACAGGCTATTAGTGCCAAGTGTTCACATTTGTAGTCAAGTTCATTATTTAGATTTATTCTGAGTCAGCCAATACAAGCCAACTGGTAGGATGTCTGGTGTAAAACTAAAATCAAAATAATGTTAGTCATGAAGTAGTAAGCTGCAGTTGACTTGTTGATGATGATTTGTAATGGCTTTAAAGAAGGATTCTAAATGTACATTTAACAAAAGAAACTAAGCACTTTGGACACATAATTGATTATATTGTGGCACATATTTTTACAGTCTTTTAAGAAGACTAGTGCACGCTGTCTAACTCTTTATTCACTTTTCTTAGTACAACGTTATGGTCCCTCTGACCTTGCTCAGGTGTAGGCTTTGAAAAACAAATTTAAACAACATATTTAAAAAAGTGAAATCACCACACAATACAAGTGGTGTGACCTAGAAACGATACAGTAAAGCAACGTAACTACTAGACCAAATGGTTCTTTATGCTGGAAACTCTCACTGAATCATAACAACAATGGCTGTACACATGCAGTGGTTAAGGGTCCATTCAGAGCCATATATTTGTTTTTAGTTTTTTTGAATGATAAACGGTAACATGATTATCATTCATCATGTGAGTCGCCTGAATGAAAACATTTTAATTATGATTTGGCTTGTGATGGTTTACATGTGCTGTTAAGGCACAGCTAGCAATGAGGTGAGCTATAGCTATGTACTGTAGACATTACCTGTGAAAATATTATAATGTGGGGAACACCTGACTGCAATGAACTCAGCAGAGCATTTACCCCTAACTACAGTCAAGTAGTTAGTACAAGTCATAGTCAAGTACTGTTCTGGGCTGCATAGCATAGCGTATATGAATACTTGAATAAGTTCAAGGGTGATACCTTTTTGAATAAGTATGTTGTTTTTTAATAACTTTATGTGTAGGTTGTGATCCTACTGACCTGGAGGAGAAATCTGGACTGATGTACTACCTTAAAGCGAACCAGCCATCCATGCAGCCCTCCAGTCAGCCTCTCACTGTGAAGGACCTGCTTCTATCCAACCTTGGACAGAAAGTGAGTACAAAAGGAGCGCTAGATGTGCTTACAGAGTGAAACCATGTTAGTGTCAGCCAATTTAATTTTGGAGAATGTTTTCTAATAAAAAGGCCAATTTCAGACTTATGAATACAAATTAGGATAAAGTGTTGAGGGTTCAGTTTTAAATGAAAAACCTTTTTATTGTAAGTACTGATTCTGACAACATTCCAAAATCATTATAGGATGTGCCAACTTTGGATAAACTGTACAACAGTTAATTAAACTGGAAAATTCTGGCTGTTTTGTCCACAGGGCCAGAAAGTGTTGCAGCAGTCACTACCAGAGCTGGTGCTTGATGAAGATGAGAAAAGACTTCTAGCAAAAGAAGGAATGACTCTTCCCAGTAAATTGCCCCTGACCAAGGTATGAAAACCTGCAGATATACTGTATGTAGGTCAAGCCTAATCCATTGTCCCCCGCTAAGCCTCATCTATCTTTATCTCAAAAAAGGCTGCCTCCTCCAACCTAGTTTCTCCTCACTTACACCCCATTTCTTATTCTTTTTTTGTCTCGTTTTTGTCCTCTTGACTGTTTCATCTCCGTGACAAGTTTGAAGAGAGAGTTTTGAAGAAGATCCGCCGGAAAATCCGTAACAAGCGCTCTGCTCAGGAAAGTCGGAAGAAGAAGCGGGAGTATGTTGATAGTCTGGAGGGAAGGTACGATGAGACGCTACATCCTCTCATCCAGTCTGTGCAAACACAAAGTCACTTCTTGGGTATACTGGCAAACTAATTAAGTTTCACATATTTTACATGATCAATAATTTGAGTCCAGAAGGCATGTTGGGAAACTTTAACAAAAGTGACAGAAGTTGTAGTTAAAATGCTCTGGAATAATAGGAGCCACCATATGGATGACTAAACCAGGGCTAGACACTGACAAAAAGTTTTGAGAACAAAACTGCTTCACTGCTCAGGACCTAGCTAATGAGTCTGGGGAATTGTAACACTAGTTTAAAAAAGGCACTTCCCCTAAAAAAAATGTATGTCTTGATAATGGGGTTATGTGGAGAGATAACTCCATTATAATTAGACAATAAAGTAAACATTATTAAATACATTAACAGTAAAAAGATAGCACACAGACCACAGTGTCATTTTATCATTAGCAATGTTTGATCATGAAACAAGCAGAAGTGTTCTAGCAGAAGTGAACCTTATTAGCTATGGCTGGGAAGAGGCCTAAAATAACTGTGTCAATTTGTTTTCAATCAGAAGACAAATCCAGAGACCCTATTTTTTCAGTACTATGCTAATAAAGACCATGAAAATGAACTACCTTTCAAGTCATTTTAACCCATCAGAACTCAGACCCCTAAATGAATTAAAGAAAATTCACCTATCACCTACATTCACCCGTAAGTAGTAAATGCTCAGTTTCCATAATTTGTAGGAAAGAAAAAATCACATCTACAAAAGGGTCAGAATCCGGTTTGGACCTGTGTCACTAAAAGCAGTGTCCAAAATAAATCATTTCCATTTTAATAATAACTATACAATCTATACCTGGACCATATTGTGTAAAATTGTTTTATTTCTACCTTCAGAGAAATGAGCAGTAGTAGTAGAAGAACAGAAATGACAAATTTAAGTATAACATAACCTCTTAGAGTAAACTTCTTTGAATCAGCTAAAATAATTTATCTATTTATAATGATGTCTTGTCAGTTACCAATAATGTTACATATATGTCACAGTAGGTTTTCATCTTGCGTCACAGCAATTTTTGTGTTCTATTAATTTGTAGAAGTATAATGTAAACATCAGGGTACATGCAATAATTTAAAAAATGTTGGTGTATGAAAACAGTCAGGAGTGACTCTGGGATTGTATGAGGTCAGAACTGAATGAAACTGTAAAGAACCATCCAGGCCTCTCAAGAGGGCTGTTACACTGCGGTCACATTTGAGTTCTTATAAATATTGTCAGGATGACTTGATTCAGATGTGCTTCAGTGATAAATAATGAAGCCTTTATCTGTAGAGCAAAGAGCTAGGGCCTATAGTTCAAGCCACTGGAGGGAGAGAGAAAAAAGCTGCAACTCCAAAAAGACAAGGTTGTAGCAGTGACAATGACTGGAGTGTGTCACATTTTACATGCAAACCTGTGTCCACATGCCTCCTCCATTGTCTCTTTTGAGGTCAGCTGCATAAAGCTAGTGGACAAAGGAAGTGTTTGTATATAGAAGCTGCAGCTCACACAATAAAGGTTATTAAAGTCTTGAACTTTCAATCTACATTAAAATTATCTCTATACATGTCTATATTGCATCCACAATGTTCAATCATTTGATGTGATTATTTCAGATGTAGGGCAGAGGCAATTTTATGGACCGTTAATGTCTTTTGAAGGAACATCTTGATACTTTTTGCTGGGGATTGAGTCCACAACTTTGCCATATTAATTTTGCGGCTATGTTTTCTTAGTAGTAAAAACAGAGAATGTTAAACTTTGTGGAATTTTCCCATAAAAAACAGACCCATTAGAAAGATGTTAAAGGGCCCATGTTATGCTATTTTCTGATCTATGTTTTAATGTTGTTTCCTTATCACAAATATACCTTGAGTTGTTTTTTGTGTTTAACACACAAATCTTGCACAGTTAGGCTGCATTGTTCTCTCAAACAGAACACACTCCTACCTTGTGATATCATGTGGTAATACCGGAACTGCTACACAGTGTTTTTAAATGAGATACACTTTCACTAGAATTATTTGGATAATGTCATCCCTCTACTGAACTAAAGGTAAAAGGCAGCTGTTAATTTGAAAACTACAATATAATATACTTGCCAGGGAAGGGGGGGTGGGAGGTGGAGTTGCAGTTAATACAAAAACATAAATCAACATTGAAGTGGTCTGCGTAGTTCCCTCTGCTGTGCCATAACTATTACTTTTTAAGCAAAGGGACTTGTAATTCAATATATTGTGGTGATCCATAATATTACAAAGTGAAACAAGCCATTTTGAGCTTGGGAGATATAGACAGACTAATAATAAATAAAGGATTACTCAAGCATGTTTGAATGAAACAAAACACAACTCCATGATGAGGTAACATTCTAACAGCTCACAAGAGACAATTTTGCATATTATTTAACTTTAACTTTTGACTATAAACCAGTACAAAACATATTGTCAGTTAAAAGGCAAATTCTATTGTCACCTGCCCTTTTGCTAAATTTTACAGTGAAAAAATTACCATGCTAATGTTGTGTAGATGTCCTTGTGGTTAACAGCAGCAGATGGACATGCTTATGTGAAGCAAGCACTTTGCACAATACAACTGTCTAGTTGTCAAGACAACCCTTGAGACCTTAGGTCCTCTCTACCCATGATGTACTATTGCAGTAGTGATGGCTACATTTTAGATTTAATATTATATAATAATAAATATATATGCCCATAGCTGTGCACTACTCCATTAAAAGAGTAAAATAACAGCATAACAGAGCTGCATACAAGAATAATTGAAAAAGGCAAGGCAGTCCCTTGATCACATCAATTTTACAGGACTCTGAGGATTTGATTGGCACTCGCTCAGTATCACAAAAGACTAATTATGAGGATGAGCCTGTGCAGGATCAGTAATAATAGTTTATATGTATGTATATATATAGATATAGATATAGATATAGATATAGATATATAGATATAGATAGATAGATAGATAGATAGATAGATAGATAGATAGATAGATATAGATATAGATATATAGATATAGATATAGATAGATAGATAGATAGATAGATAGATAGATAGATAGATAGATAGATAGATAGATAGATAGATATAGATATAGATATAGATAGATAGATAGATAGATAGATAGATAGATAGATAGATAGATAGATAGATAGATAGATAGATAGATAGATAGATAGATAGATAGATATACACACAGATTCTGTTTGTGGGGAATCTTATCAATCTCTCACAGGTCCAAAATATAACATGACTCACAGCAACTACCAAGAAAAAGAAGAACTCATATCACAAATGTAAATAAGTTTATTTATATATGAATGTATTTCTATACAAGCATATGCCCATATTACACTATCTTCTATATCTATTTGTGATAATGTTGTTTCCTAATCACGAACATACCTCGAGTTGTGCTTTGTATCATTCACACATGTTTAACAATCAAAGCCTGCACATTTAAGCTGAGTTCTTCTCTTAAACAGAAAACACCTTGTGGTAATACAGGAAGTGCTACACTGTGTATTTGATCTTGATAGAAGTCATTTGGATAATTTTCAGCCCTGCCAATGTCTAATGAACTTAAGTTAAAAGGTAGCTGTTAACATGAAAACTTCAACATGACAAGGTGGAACAGAGCACTTTGCTCTTTGGAGATGTAAATACATATGATAACTCAAACATGTGTGAATGAAACAAAACACAACTCTGCGTATGTTTACAACAATACAATATTATAACATGGTTTAACAACATTATAACATGGTTTAAAGCTCACAAGAGTTAATTTCACACAATATAGAACCTTTATGTTGTTCTGCCCACCTTTATGTTAATGCATTTTCAAAATCTTTGTCACTGTAGGATGTCTGCAAGCAATGCTCACAACCTCGAACTGCAGAAAAGGATCCAGCAATTAGAAGAAACTAACAAGTGAGTGTGTTATTTTCAAATCTGGTAATTAATTATCAACAGTGAATGAGTGTTGGGAAAACTCATTTGTTTGACAAAGTGGTTAGTTAATATTTTAGGCTTGGGTTGTTATGGTGGGGCATTTGTCATGTGAAAGATTGTGTTTATTGAACTTTTACATTTTGAATCCCCACTCACCCGTTTTGTTTGGAGAAAGTTATATTGATTTGTAATGATTTTGTTTTTGTTGCCTTTGTTGTATCTTGTATCTAGGTATCTTGATTCAAAGGTTTTAGTTTGTCTGTACACCGTGTAACAGAGCAGTGAACATGCCCAATTTAAAACGTAAACTTTTTTATATCTGTTCCTTCGTCATGCTATGTCTGTTTGAGGTCCTCCTAATAAGGGCAGCTGTATGACACATGTGACAGGAAGCTGTCAGTGGGTATTTGTCACAATGTGTGCACTAAAATCCATATACACACTCAATTTAAGGGGCTTGCTTTCTTTTCTTGAAGTAAATCTTTTATTATCAGTTCAACAACATAATTTAAAGTTCATATATTGAAACAGATTAAAGGTGCTTTGCTCAGCTTTTCTGGTGGAGGCACTGTCACCTGCTTGCCTCCATGGAGATGTTATTGCTTTGCCTGGAGTGTTTCTGTTGCTTAAAATACAATTAATTCTCTCTGTAAACAGGGTTGCCTCTCCACAGCTCTGACCTATAATGTAGCCTATAGCTGTGTCTCTTGAGATAGATAGGTAGATAGATTTAATCTCTACTATGGAACATTCTAGACAAAGCAATAACATTTCTACGATGGACCCTCCACCAGAAAAGTTGCGCAATGCACCTTTAAGATTAGGCTAGTAGAACCCATGGCTAAGGTTAGGATCAATCTTAAGAAATTAATGAAAACCCAACATATGTATGTGCGTGTGAAATGTGCTGATCACTGCTTATCCCAGATTGTGTAATATACGGAATGTTTTGTCAAATTTTGTCTCATTTTCATTATTTACTCTCTACAGGGCTCTGTTAGATCAGCTTAACCAGCTACAGACTGTATTTGCTAACAACTTTAAGAAGGCAACACACAGAGGGACATGTATATTGGTAAGACATATACCACTCGATTTCAAGTTAATTTGCACCATAGAGAATTGTTACCGTGTCCATGTCAACATGATAGACAGGCCAATAGCAAATACATGGAGGTATAGATTTAAAACTGAAAACATCATTAAAAGGCGCTATTCGTGTTCCTCTGTTGAGCTGCGTTGGGCTGTGTTTACCTTCAGGGATTAAATCTAGTCTGTTTGAAAAGGGCTTCATGTCAGATCAGCTTTTCTCTTGTGTTCTGCCACTGACCCACTATCTGCGTTTCCTCTCCTTTCATGACTAGGTTTTGCTCCTGTCCTTTTCCCTCATTATTTCCTCAAATCTGCAGCCAGACCCTTCGAGCCAAGTGAGCCAGGGAGACTTCACAGAGACACAAGGTCCCCCCTCACACAAACTCATTACATCACACACACGCGCACGCACACACACACACACACACACACACACACACACACACACACACACACACACACACACACACACACACACACACACACACACACACACACACACACACACACACACACACACACACACACACACACACACACACACACACACACACACACACACACACACTGTACATACTGATGAACTCTGCTTGATTTCCACAGTGCTGTCACGCTCCCTGCAGTCCATCCAAGTACAGGACAGCTCTGCCCGGCCACTCCTCTCTGCCCTCAGAGGGGTAGAAGTGAAGCGTAGTGGCATGGAGAGGATTTGGTCCTGGACACAAGAACCCACAGCAGATCACAGGCACCAGGACTATGCATGATCTCACTGAGCTCCACCCTGCCGCATTACCACCCAAGAGGGAGTCCGAGTGTCGGGCGGCTTGCTAATGCAGATGCAGCATCCATATGAGCACTCTGATTACATTTCTGAGCCTGTTCCTCAAGTGGAGCCTGGGGTAACAGTCATCAGCAGCTTTACATCTGGACAGTTGACAGTCTATACCATGCGTTTATTGTATGGTAAAGGTGAAAGAGACGCTTGTGCGTTGTAAATAGATGTTTTTTGCAAATGTGAAACTAGTAGTAAAGCCTACTTAATACATTTTAAAGATCTATTGGCTGATTTGTTCTCATTAAAGACATTATGCTTGTCTTTATAGAGATAGTAGAGCTTTTCTCAAATTTTCCACAGTATAGCATTTAACTTTTCTATCTTGCATTATTAAACTACAGTTGTTTTTGCTAAAAGAATACCTTGAAAAATATGCATTCTTAAGGCCACACACTACAGGATTTTTCAGTCTTTTTTAAACATGCGACAAAAAGCACACACCACAGGCACGAGGAGAATCTAATGAGACTTAAAATATGACTGCGGACCACTGGACCACAAGCTACAAAGTTGTGAGCGCACCTCATGTCTGCTGTTTCCTGTCTAGAGTAAAACCACTCACTTTGAGACTCTTAAGTGTTCAAAAGATCAGAGCACTGCACTTCTAGTTTAGATGCAAGGTGTTATTATTATTTGTAAAATGTGGTGCAATACTTCAGATACTTAATTTTTAATGCACAGAAGGCAGGCAATAAAGTACACAGAAAGCAGAGTCATTATCACTAATCTGCAGCTTCACTTTGATGCGCGCTCTGTGTGGATGTAAAGAGACACATGTGAGGAACTACTCTCACCTTTTTACTTTCATAGAATGCTTCAAACTGAATTAACAGTGCAATTTTGTGGTCTGGGTGTCATTATTTGCAGAGGACAAATTCTATGGATAATAGTGACGAGATGCTCCACTTCAAACTTACAACTTTAGGAGAGGTGAGTAATTGGCCTAATTTCCGCTATTTACTATTTTATTTACTTTGCTTGTATCTTGGGCCTCTGTGTCTGTCACTCTGTCTGCCCCTGGTGCTCTGTTTTATTGGCTGTTATTGTAGCATTGCTGATGTTTTGGGGTTACGATCTGACAGAGCAGCTCAGAGTCACACTGACACCACACACAAGGAGCACAGTGGCTTCAGCAGTAGTGTGTGGCGGCCTTTACAGTGAGTGTCAGTTTGGCCTCGCCACAGAAATAACCTGTAACTTCACCTGACGGCATCGCAAAGCCAAAAAAATTAGGCCAACGTTGAGGTCAGCTGTATAGAGACCTATTTTTACTCTGAATACCAAGTAATCTCGCAGTGTAAAAAGGTTTAATTAAAACATGTACAGTGGGCTAAGTAAGTACGCTAAGGAACCAGTGGGCTAAGTAATCATGATCTGGGATCCTCGGGTGCTGCACTAGTTACCACTGTCCAAATTACAAAAGTACAAACTGGTGACTAATTTAAAAATCACCATATGGACTACACAAAAAATACTGATTATAAATGCCCCCCTAATGGATACTGTTGAGTATTTCCAAGGTGAGCTGAAGTTTGTTTCTTTTGAAGTCTTTTAGTCTTGAAGTCTTTTAAGTGACAGTGTAGGAATCTCCACATTAAAATAAGAAGAACACTGATTGAAGGGGCCATTATGGACAGTTCATTCCAGTGAGAGAATCAGGAAACTGGATTAAGTTGAGAATGATCTGTAATGATGGCTGCAGATAATAAGAAAGGATGCATGTGTTTGTGTGGTTTGCAATACAGAAAAACAATGGCAATACAAAAATACATAACATTGCTCTAGACATCTTATGAATTCTGGACTGACTAACTCACCCTCCAAACAACGCTTTAGCTTTTGTGATGTTCATTATAACTCTTAATAAAGTACTAAATAAATAAACACAATGAAGCAGCAGGGCATCCACCTCAAAATGGAGAAGAAGGACAAGTTGTTGAATGCAGTGGGATATGAAAGAATGTACTTGGTAAATGTAAACACAAATCACTGCAATAACACTATAATATTACTTTTTTTTATCATAACTGACAGAGATTGGAACAGCAATTGGTGTCCACATATTACAATCCTAAAAGCCTGGCACAATAACAAATTTTTAAGTGCAATATATTGTTCAAGTAAATAAAGACAATAAACAATAATACTGAAACCAAACCATAAAGCAGAATTATCCTAAAAAGTAATTCTAAATGTACAAAATTCTCAAAATACATTAACTGCAATAAATAGAATCCAACACTTAAGTAGTTAGTTTGAATCTATAATGAGTTATACAGTGTGATAATACTGAAAATTAACCAAAAATGTCCAATTATTATAAAGAAAAAGTCCCCATGATAAATACTGACTCCCAAAAAATATTGTTCCATCTGTCATGTAAGTCCATATTGTATTTATAGTGATAGGCCTACACCTAATGTCTTGATTTCCTTGTGATGTATTCTATGAAAATCTCTTTTTTTATATATAAGGGGGACATCTCTACATAAGTGGGATGACAGGGACAGATGATCACCAGAGAAGCAGTATGTTGTCACTGCGTACCCTCAGACACCTAAGGCACTAATATATTCTCTGTGTGAATCATGACAAAACGTCAAATCTCCTTATTGCTATAATCACTTTTAAGCAATCAAATTGTATGCCGGAGTGTCACAGATACTTGAAATGAATAAACCTCAACTTAAAAACACTAAATTATATCTACATATATTCCCACAGGTAGTCTGAAATGAAGTATTGATCATGCTGTTTTGATAAATGGTGAAACAATGAGGAATACCACAATGTAAAATAAGAGAAAGAATGTTCATTTAGTTCACTTAGTTAGCAACATTACTCAAACTGGAAGGTTGAGCACTTAGCATCTCAGGCTATAACATGTTCAGGAAAGACAGAAAAGGGGCCAAGGGTGGGGGTGTTTGACATTACTTAAAGAATGTTGCATAAACAAAGACAATGTAGTTTTTGGAGATTTCAACATAAATTGGGAGGATACTTGTAGAAAACATCTTAAAAGAATAGCAGACAAATTTGATCTAAGGACAGTTTGATCTGAATTAAGGACATATCTGGCGTCGACACATTTATAACGAAAGACCTCAGCCAAACTTTCACCCGTTCAATAACAAAAATTCTCAATCACTCCATCACTGAGATTGTATATCCTAATGTGTGGAAAGCAGCAGCTGTAGTTCCTATCTACAAAAGTGGAGATCATTTATCAGTGTCTACCTATAGACCAATCAGTATTCTGCCTACAGTGTCCAAAATTGCAGAGAAAATTGTTGCTCAACAAATAATCACACATGTTGGTTTCCGAGCTTAACATTGCACAGAGACTGGCAACTGTTATTTAACTGAAAATATCACACATATACTGGACAAAGGTAGAGTTGTTGGAGCCTTTTTTTTTTGGACTTGTAGAAAGCATTTGATACTGTCAATCGTGATATATTATTAAGAAAACTTAATACCTTTAACTTTTCACCTGAAGCAATAAAATGGCTAGAATCATATTTAACAAACCAAGCCGTCACTACCCAACTCCTCTCCCTCTAGCTACAGGTGTTCCACTGGGTTTCATTCTGGGTCTATTGCTGTTTTCAAATCTACATAAATGACCTCTCTGCAGTTTGTCCTGAAGTCCATATTCAAATGTATGTGGATGACAGTCATCTACACACATGGCAACAATCCTACACAAGTGGCAGAAAAACTAACTTGCCTTAAACTCAAGGTCGGCAAAACAGTCTCAGTGTTCTTCTCCAAATCCACCATTACAAACATACCTGCAGATGTTCTTGTGGCTAGTGAAAAACATGGTATAACAATAGACTCAAAACTCACATTCAAGTCTCAAATAAAAAAAGTATTCACTCATGTAAGATTTCATACATCCTATCACACATCACTTACTGTTTAACAACTTGGTCTCAGGAAAATAAAATCACCCTAAAACCCATAGAATCATTATACAAATAGACAATAAAAATATTGGACATAATGGATATTGGATATACTATATCTTGTGCCTTGTCCCAAATGACAGCATGTATACTGTCTAGTTAATACAAGGCAATTTTGCAGTCAGATTAATTAAGACAGATAATTTAAAAAGTAATTATCTTTTCCTTTAAAAATACTGTGATGCAAACTGCTCAATAAGAGATATATGCTGGCTGGTATACAGTATATTTCTAAGATTTCTAAGGGTAAACAACAACAAGCAAAGAAAACAACAGAACTTAAGCCACATCAACTGTAAATGGAACCTTCTTTGAGCTGAAAGAACAAGATTTTGTATAAACATTTGGTAAACAAACTGTCCTCAAGTTATAGTGCAAGTGCATACCTAACTTCTTCAACCATGGTTCAGGTTTATAGCATTAACTGAAAATCCTGAAGATCAGACAACATTTTCTCACGTCAAGATGGACCAATGTTACATTCGATAAGATAGCCTACCTCAAAGAAAGGGCTGCTAAAATGAGCTGTCAGTCATATTGGGCAATAATCTCTCAAGATGAAACTTTTATATTCTACTTCTTAAAGAAATAATTCCTCATATGAATTTGAAAACTGGGCTGTGTAAGTTTAGTTTGAATTTAAAGACATTCTCCTGATCCCTCTCTTTTCTGCTTCTGTTCATACAGATGACCCATTGAGTTACCCAAGTGACCTAAAGACAGTGTGGGGATTTAGTAGTTACACATTACTAGTTACTTGTTAAAATGTAATATTTTTGTACTTTATTTTATTATTTCATTGTATACAATTTCCCGAAGACATAAATGAAGGCAACAGAAAAAAAAAAAAAAAAAAAGAATATTACAGATGAGTAAAATCTCCACTACATACAGCTTTCTTATCTTTGAGCCGTTAGCATAATTTATAACCATTTTAAAAGTAGGCCTATAGTAATGCACTTCGCATATTAAGTTATATTTAATAATAAATTACACCCGAAGAATGTTTTCTTATTTCCTTTTCTGACCTGACCAATAAAATCAGATGTACAGAATGTGTGTAAAGCATCGCCTCTGTTCAGGATCTTCCAATCCTAAGTGCGCATTTTCTTCTGCGCGTCCAGATCAGCCGCGAAGCGGAGGAGAGCGACTCTATAAAAGCCCACAGCATCCGACGGAACAGGGCAAAACACGGAGCTGGAACCTACACTTCACTTCATACACTGATGGCGAATAAATAACTAATGTGGAGCATGTCTGCTGGATGTAGGCTCATTTAAAAAGTAACCTATTAGTGGGAGCGAGTAACGCGTAATGATGCAACTATGCAACTACTGAACGGGACTGTTACGGAACAAGAGAAAATGGGAATTTTCTCCGTCTTAATTGGTGGCCTAGTTTATTAGGAGAGTATGCAGAATAACAGCAATGGATCTGAGTTGCCTGGAGATTACAGTGCGTGCGGGGGAGACGAGGATGAAGGCGACATCTCCAAACTGGTCAACCCCACAGACGCAGCGACCAACCTGGGCACGCTGAACCTATCACTCCACTGCTGGCTCCAGATACTTTCAAAGGAATCCTCATTGGATCTACATGGAGACAGTGCAAATTTGGCGGTAGGTCACGTTCACAAACCAGCTTTGCGTACTTAATCACCTTTACCACACTACTGACATTTAATCAATTTAATGAATCATATAGGCCTACTATAATCAGAAAACAAAGCCCTATAGCACCTCTAACACTATTCAATATTGACTATATAATTGTATATATACTATATATTTTCTTTTTTATAGATCTCAAAGAAAATATCAGTAGGCTATAATGGTATACTATGGATGGACATTTTGGGTTAGTTCTGTTAATCTACAAAGGGGAGAGATGTAAAATGAAGGGCATAAAACATGATTTTTGTGACTTGCCTTTGGCTGAAAGAAAAGAATGATCATTTGACTTTAAACATTCTTAAGTTTATCACAAAAATACCATTTAATTAGACTTCTATAAAATAAAGGGTATCCCAAAAAAATTGACATAATTTTGCAGGCCTTGTTAAAATAACTTCAAATTTTCACAGAATGTATAGAATCAAATCTGGTCTGTCATTTGAGGAATCTGGGTTTCCAAACTTGTTCTCCTTCTTGGGGCTTCGCAAGAGTTTTTCACAAACTTACACAATCTTCTCTTCTGATGTTGATGATGGTCTATCAGATCTTTTAGCACTACTTCCTCTTTAAATTTCTGGATTTAAATTTTGCACTGAAGGCATGCTGCACTGTCTTATTGACTGTGCGAGCATATTCCAAGAAGCAAAATTACTTCTCTTTGGGAGTGAACAGCATGGCTCAACTTGAAAACAGAACAAGAATAATCTGATCTGTTTCTTTATAATCTGTGAAAATTTTAGATTATTTCAACAAGAATTTCCAAAATTATTGGCCTCCGAAATGACGTGACATTTTTGGGACACCCTGTATAAATTGTGCATGTATGAGCCATATTCCCCTTGATGACTATAGGGCAGAGAATGAGTTTATGTTGTCTGTGACAGGTGCGCATTGTCATTGCCTCGGTCTACCTGGTGGTGTGCGTGCTGGGGCTGGTGGGGAACCTTCTGGCCCTGTTCTTGCTCCACTCTCGTCACCGTGGCCACCACCACTCCTCCATTGATAGCTTTGTGATGAGCCTGGCTCTGACAGACCTCCAGTTTGTGCTGACTCTGCCCTTCTGGGCTGTAGACACAGTGCTGGACTTCCGCTGGCCCTTTGGCAGAGTTATGTGTAAGATCGTGAGCTCAGTGACTACCCTCAACATGTATGCAAGTGTCTTCTTCCTCACCGCCATGAGCATGACGCGCTACCACTCTCTCATGACCTCTCTGAAGATGGAAAGTCCCAGGATCGCCATAGCTCGTGCCAAATGGGCCAGTTTGGCCATTTGGGTGGTGTCACTGGTGGCTACTCTGCCCCATGCTCTCTATTCAACAACAGTCCAGGTTAGTTATACACACATGATACCAACAGTTTGTGATATTTTGTTTGCAATACTGACAAGTGAAATACTAGTATTAGCATATATAGAAGAGCAGATGGGCTCCTCTTTTACATATTTATTCAGTTTGGACAGCTGGCAGGTAAATTTCTTTGGCAATTGGACACAAATTGTGTGTAAGATCTGTCTTTGAGACTAAAATCTGAATAATGTCTTCTGAAAATGTCAAATGAAAACTTCAAACAAAACCTTCATCTGCACATGCATATGGATGGTGATGCAGAGCCAGCTCTCTCTGCTGAGAACATTAAATCATTATTCGACTTTGGAGTTATACATCTATGGCCATCTCTTTCCTTGAGTAGCAATTAAAGCTCACGACATGTATTGGTGGCCCATGTTTTAATATTTGTTCACATCACAAGCCTTTCTTTAAAGATTAAACACTTTAGTGAGGATGCACTGAGTGCGGCCCTTGTCTTCACAGGTCTCTGCTGAAGATGAGCTGTGCTTGGTGCGCTTCTCGGACTCAGGGCAGTGGGACCCGCAAGTCTTGCTTGGACTTTATCAGACACAGAAAGTACTTCTGGGATTTGTAGTGCCCTTGACCATCATCAGCGTGTGCTACCTCCTGCTGCTGCGCTTCATCCTGAGTCGGCGTGTGGTGACCAGTGTGGTGAATGGGAACGTGACGGAAAAGACGGAGAGTGAGAGGGGGCGGCACCGCAGGCGCTCCAAAGTCACCCGCTCGGTGACCATCGTGGTGCTGTCCTTTTTCATCTGCTGGCTCCCCAACCAGGCACTTACGCTATGGGGTGTGCTCATTAAGTTTGACTTAGTTCCATTCAGTAAGGCCTTCTATAACACACAGGCCTATGCTTTCCCTCTGACTGTGTGTCTGGCTCACGCCAACAGCTGTCTCAATCCAGTGCTTTACTGCCTTATCCGCAAGGAGTACCGTGCTGGACTTAAGGACATGCTGCTCCGAGTGTCCCGCTCTGTTCACACCATCCTGACCAGGGCTCTGAGGGGCAGGAGAGTGGAGGGGACCCCCCCAAACCTGGTCATGATAAACACAGAAATGAATATGTGAGGGCATTAATTTAAACATCACCCAAGATTGTATGCACAGCAGTGGTTATATAAAAGTAATTTTGTATAAAACTATTATTTTCTTGTGTTCTGGATAATTTTGTTATGGGTGATTCTGAGCATGCAGTATCACTGTACATTTAATGAAGAAAACTCCATATGAATGTGAACTACCCTAAAACCGAGTTTAGGATGCACACTTTCTAAAAATATACCACCTTTGAAGAGATTATTCCATTTCTCGTCTCTATCAAAGTAATCAATCAGAGGTCTACAAATCCAACTGTGAACTAGGTCTTTGGACAATCAAGCAAAGTACAACAGGAGTGGGTTGGTCCAAACAGCAAAGTAAACTCAATCTTACACTTGCAATCATTGAATCAGAGAAGCATTGTGAATAAGTTGTTTATGTCTTGATGTTCACAGCCAAGTCCCCATTACACATGTGCTTTCTAAGATTCACAGAGACTTGGTGCTTGTTTGAATGGTTCCTTTTATTGCTGTCTGTATGTGGTGCTGCACTGCTGTTAATAGCTTCAAAATCCAGCATACTGTATGTATTATGAGATAAAATACATTAAAAGGACCATGAATTTTGTATGTGTTTTCTACTTTTATCTGGTCACATATGTACAAAAACTCAGACACGTTTTTGCCCTTTTACAATCTTTCAGTTCTGAATCATGGATAAGCAAATGCCACACACTCCTTTTATGCTCTGTAATTACATCACTTATCAGAATTACATCTTATTGGTCACTGAGAAGGGACAAGGTGGCCTGCAGGTCACGTCCATCATAAGGGCTGTATTTTTAATGGGAGGAATGAAATGAGAATAGATTGTGAGCGGGGCATGGCCTGCAGAAAGTGAACAATATGATATTAAAATGTGTTAGTCACACACAAAAAACAAGTGTGAGGATTAAGGAGATGTTTTTTTTCTGTAATGGACAGGATGAAAGTGATCAAAAGAGAGAACAGAAGGGAACTAACTTTCGTCTTGATACAAAATTCCAAAAGTACCCCAGGTACGATTCCTGGGTCAGTCAGGTGCATTTCTGTCTAGTAGAGCATGTTGTCACTGTGTGGTATTCGTACCGTAACTTAGCGGTCCCCTTCTTTTTCTTGTAAGGACTTAAACATCATGCCAAACATGATTATTAGGTTAATTTGCATTTTATTTTCTGAGTAAATATAGTAGTAGACTTAAAGAAGCCCTCCCGATATATCGGCTGGCCGATATTATCGGCCAATATGGGCACCTGGAGACATATGGGTTATCGGCCGATATGCTTGCTGATATGGGCCGATATTTCACGTGGGCATGTTATACCTCGTTATAAAGCTTAGACTCTCTACATTATGTTCATTTAATCCAATTTACAGACAGATATGTGGCTCCGCATCAGTATTTATCTACGGTGTAATTTGTCTGTGTCTGTGTCCGTACTGTCCCTGAACACACCACCAGAGTGACGTCACTTCACTCGCGTGTGTTTGTTTACACCCGCAGCGGTGAGCAACACTGAGATTATATTCTTTTTCGGACAATCGGTTTGAGTCTGGATTAAAAGGACATTTATTAGTGCAGACTTGTGATGTGAGGAGGAGCCTGTGTGAGCGGTGAGTGTTGGAAATACATCGACTTTGAAGCTAGTTTAGGTTTTGTTAGCGATTAGCTGCTGTAGCTCCCACACATAAACAGGCTGTTTTCTATTGGTCTATTGTAAAGTGATTATATTGGCCGTATATTTACTACTGGACCAGCATTGATATGTAAATGAGCTGTGAATAGACGTGTGAATGATTCACATTTATACATATATTTAATTACCGCGGTGCGCACGTTTTTACGGCTAAAGGTTAATAGCGATAGTTTCCCTACTAGCATCAGGATCCGCAGCGGATCCGCTTTCGGTCCGCCAAATCCGCCCCACAGTCCGTCCGCTTTGCGGATCCGCTGCGTATTTGTTCCGTATTCGCATTCTGACTGTTGCTAACCCTAACCCTTGGATGGCCTGCTGTTACAGAGAGAATCTGCGGTTAAATCATCTTAGATCCGCACTGTGAACGTACTTTTAACACAACACTTTGTTTTTGACACAATGATTTGTACTATCAATGCGCGGATCCGCGGCTAACCCGGTTCGGATTCGCTGCGCGGACGCGCCACTGACTCAGCCGTTATCAGAACATGAGAGAAAGAAACAACATCCACCTGTTGTCCGTGGATTTCACTGTAAGTAATAGTTTAAAAGTTAATTGTATTAGTCATCATTAATGTACATAACGTTAACGTTATATTGTGGTGTGTGTACATCTGTGACTGTGTTTTATCAGTTTTGACAAGTGCAGTAGGAAAGTTAGCGACAGAAGCAGCTGACGTGATGAAGACGATGTGAGGTGAGGAGTCAGGATAACTCCGTCTCTTGAGGTAGATCCCAGTCTAAATACTATTTTTATATAACGCTACTTATATTCTTGTATATTTTTACGATCACAGAATTGTAATTCTGCTCCGTTGATCATTGGTCGTGTCTAACGGGCTCGGTTCTGGCTGGATGCCGCTCTCGGCGCTCTCCCTTCGGCTGTGGAGCGACGGTGACACCGGTGTCTGATCTGGTTGTGTTTTTAACCAGAGATAATTATTATTTGTGTAGACTAGAGTGTTGACTGTTGAGTTGAGACTAAAGTGCAGTCATGTCAGTGCCTTAATACAATAATTTAACGCAACGTGCCATAATACAATAACATAACGTAATAAAAAGCACAACTTTTAACAACAGCTAACGTTAGCTAACCAACCAAAACTTATGTTGTTTTTCCCCAGATGACATCAGGAGCCCCTGTCCTTCTGCTGAGTGTCCCTATCAGGAGCCCGGCACGCTGATCAGAAGTAAGTACTTTTAATGATTTCTGTGACAGTGAAGATTTAGTTTAGAGCCAGATCTGACTTTGTCTCTAACTTTCTGTTATGGGACTTGAGACGGTGCTTCAGACTTTCAGTGAGAGATGTTGACATGAACACTAATGTGTCACATCTATATTACACTGATATTGACTATGAACACCATCATAAATTGATTATTATATTTTAAATGTTGTGGTAAAAGTAAATGTAGTAGAGTATTGTGTATTAACAGCAGTGAAATATGTCTCATGTTCATACTCAGGCTCAAACTAAAACAAAAGAGTTCAGTTTTACTGCGCTAAAGTACTATGAGTTAAATAATGTTTTTCATCTCTGTTTCAGAATATACTATGGTTAATAAGAAGATGGACATAACAGCATGACAAAGACCCTCTGGAGGTAAATACTGCACTTGGATTAAACACTGGGGCCTGAAATGATCCAAACTGATATTTGTGTTTCTCTTATTTGATGTTTTGCAGAATTCCCTCTGCTGGGCCAAGTTCCAAAAATGTAGAGACAGACCCTCTGTAAGTTTACTGTATTATCCTACTTTTATTAACTTTCATAACTAAACATATGCACATTATAATCACACCTGTTGTTGTGCATATTGTTTCTTTCAGAACATGCTGTGGTGGAGTTTAAAGACTGACCCTCTGTAAGTGCATAGATTTCTCCAATCAAGTGTTTACCTTTCATATTCAAATCACACAGCCACTGTCATGACTTACAATGTTCTTCACAAACCTGAACTCTAACTCCTTACAAGAATAAGAGGTGTAATGGAGTGTTTAATACACACTGGTGTCATTTCAGATGCTGTGAGAAAGGGGAAGTCCAGAGCTGGACACTGACAGACTGGATCTTCACCAGTAGGACTGAAGAGGAGCCAGCCTCACTACACCTCTGCCTCAAAACCTCTGCCTCAGACTGAAGCTAAAGACAGAGGCTCTGAAGCTCCCACACTGCACACTCTATAAGAACAACCACCCGTGTACTGTGGTGGTAAACACAAGTTAAGTTTTAGTTTTAAACAGTATGGTATGGCTACACTCTGTCTCATCTGTCCAGGCTTTTACTCATATAGCTTATATTTGTTTTTTGCCATTTAAAAAAAAATAAAACTTTGCTGAAACTTGAACTATTTTTAGTAAAAACTGTAAATTGTCATTTTCATATTAAGAATGAAGCATTGGTTAACTCAAAGGGTATATAAGTCCTATAACATTAATAATGATTATTCATGTCCTAATATTTCTAATTAATGATTTAAATAAATATTGTTTACAATGTAAAAAAAAAAAAAAGTTTCTTTTTTTCTTAACTAATGAGTTTTAGTGATAGGATATCACTGATCCAACTTTGAAATTGTTTAAGTTTATGTTTTTAAATTTAAGCCTTTATATCCTAGTTTTAATACTTGCTGTAAAAGTTTTATGTACAATTACAATGCAAATGCTACTGGTGTGTATTTAGGTCAGTAGGAAGTGGATCAGTATTAAATCTGAAGCATATTTAGGCTCCTAACGACACAATAAACAGATCCGCGGCAGATAACCCGGTTCTGAAAGCGGATCCAAAACGGGTCCTGGGCGGATCCGCGAGATACGCAGCGGATCAGCCGCGCCTCCGCCGCGGATCCGGGCTTATTTTGACGGATCCGCGGCGGAGACGCGGCTGATCCGCTGCGTATCCGCGCAGCGGATCCGTTGCTGATCCGCGGCGATGTGCAAGTGAACTCCGATGCGGATCCGTTCTGCGGATCCGCCGCGAATCTCCGGGCGGATCCGCCGCGGATATTTTTTGCTATGTGGGTTACTAGCTAGGAGTTATGGGTCGGTCGAAGCGGCTCTTAGATCCGGCTCTTTGAAGTGAACAACCGGAGCATGTTTCTTATTGGGAGCCGTGTTTTCTCTTTTTCTCACTTTTTCTCTTCAAGCCGCATGTAGACCCGTAGTTTGACAGCAGCAGCGGCTGAAAACGAAACTTTCAGAAATCTGCGTGGATAAAAAAAAGTGCATATTTGGCTGCAGTTCAACATAAAATGAATAAACCAGGACTAATCTTGGGCTCGAGTGAAGAAGAAAGATAGAAAGCGAGTCCCGACACTCAGTCCTGGTTCAGTTCTGGTTTAGTCCTGCTTGCAACAAAACAATGTCAAGAGTCGCTTGGGAGCCGAAAGAGCCAGCTGCTTTAGTGAGCCGAGCCGGTTCTCCAAAAAAACAAAAAAAACAACTGGAATACCCATCACTAGCAGTGACAGTAACAGTAGCTAGAATGTGATGCAAAAATGCCATTAGTCCAATCTACTGTATGTAAATATGATGTAAAGAGTCAAAATAACAATAAATGTTGCCTAAATAAACCCAATTTAGAATTCACTAGAGCCAAACCTAAGTTTTTTAATCAATTCAAGATTTACAGTGAATTTTTACATCACTAAATATATTGGCGATTATATCGGCTATCGGCAGCTCCAACTCCCATTATATGGGTTTCATATCGGCCACAACAAAATCCATATCGGTCGGGCTCTAATGACAGGTCATGTCCACAAAATCCCAAGGGAAATTTGACATGAAAGAATTAAAATGACTCTATAACAGTTTTCTTTTTCATGAATTGTGACCTGGTTGTACCACATCAATTATCAAACGGCTTCAAAATAGAAGAGGCACTCTGGCTGTGGTTAATTGGAGATCTAATAAAAGACAAAACTGTAACCAAACACAATTCACAGAAAGGGTCTTACAAGTGTGTGCTGTGCAGATGGACTAGTATCAACATGGCTCCCATGTCCCATCTTTTCTTCATGTGTAGAAATTATGAGAGTCAGTTTGAATGCACTTGGGGAAAAGGACAGGTAGCTTTCATCTTAAAATAGCACCTACCATCTCTAATGGCATAATTATCACAGAATCACACGTGGTTGCAGTCTTTTCATTGCCTTTTTTCCTTTTTACATTAATAAAGCATTTTACCTCCGGACTGCACTTCACCATTCTCTATAATGCTGAAAACAGTCTGGTGTAATCATTCAATACAGCATATCCAATGCACCACACACTTTACACATCTCTTCTTGCCACAGTGCCACATGATTGGATAATTACATATTTCCTAAAGTTTTCTTTGGGTGAGTGCAGGATCCAAGAAAGGCAACACAAAAAATAGCAAGAAAATTTAGTTCCCTTAATCTGGCATGTCCGTCATGTTCATCAGACATGTCAAAGAGGACTATGCCCAGAGCGTCTCAGTGGTGTGCTGTAAATACGAAGAGCTTTGCAGCATTTGAGTGTGGACCAACTTTTTTCTTCTTCTTCTGATTATTATTATTATAGATTCATTATTATTAATTCATTACAATAATTATTACTATTACTATTACTATTAATAATAATGCCTTACACTTGTAATTTGCTTTACAGGCTTGACAAAGCCTCTCAAAGTGTTGCACTGTAGCTATTATTCATTCACCCTATATTTGGTGATGGTATGCTATGTGGAACAGCAGTAGCTCTAGTGCATACCATCATTATGTCCTTAGGCAAGACACTTTACCCACCTGCTTAGTATGCAGTGGATGAATGAATGAGTAATTGGTGGTGGTTGCAGCTGAAGTGTGAAGTGAATGGATAATGTTAAGTGCTGTGTGTGTCTTGAAGGTGCTATAAAAATTCAATGCATTATTATTATTGTTATTATTATTATTATAATCTGTAATTAATTATCTGTAAATCTCACGGCAGTAAAACTATAGTGCATTTCTAATTCCATGTATTCTGAGACCTTGGTGGGTGGGATTACCAAGGTAACTACCTGTCATTGTACTGGAACAAAATAATTTGCAGCAATTCTCTGAGAGCATTTTGAATGTTTTCATGCCCTACTGTGAAACACAACACATTTTCTCTCTGGAAAAAGGTTCCATTAAGGACCGTGGTGATGAATCTCAATACACCGGTTAATGCTGTCTCAAAACACAACATGCAGGTGCAAAGTCACTTTGTGTTCCAGGTAAAGAAAAAAAAATCTTAGAATGAAAGGGCCAAAGCACATTCAAATGTACAGACTAGACCACCCCATGCAGGATTTCTGTAAATGTGTCACTGACAGGATGAGCCAGCTGTTGATCTTCCTAGTGCAGTGGTTAGCAGTTAGCAGAGGAAGAGCCCTGTGTGATGCTATCCCTCGTGCTGTGCTGAGGAGCAAATGTTAAAAGGTTAATGAGCTGCAGTGACTTTCCTGCTCACACAGACCTGGAGATACACTGGGAGTTTGATGCTGATCCGGTCAAACCCACAGAGGGCTCTAAAGCCAACCGCTAGACCACATTTGTTTTGTTTTGGGTATCAATGAGATGTTAAGAGCTTTTAATGGTCATCCAATTGGTTTGCTTCTTCAAAATGTAAGAATATTCAGCATATTTTGCATAATAATTTGCAGCCCTGTCCTGTGTAGCATTCACCCCATTGGTTGGAAAGTACACCACACTTCAGTGCTATGGTCCAGAAAAATGGAAAACTCTGAAAGGATCTTCTATTTAACTACACAAAAGTCCCTCAATGCATTCTGTCTGGTACATACCATTATTTTTTCTCCACAAAGCATTTGAGATATCTTTTGAGCATTCCGACATTACTTTGCTATTATTCAGACCTGTCTGTGCCAAGTTTCAGGGCAACAGGGAGTCCACAATGTGTTATATCCAGGTACATAGACAGGAAGGTGCTCTGTGATGGTCAATCCAAAAAACACGTAAACATTCATGGAGTACTCCATGAAAGTACTGCACTGATTTACGCGGTCTATTCCATTTGTGTGGAGGGAACAGACTAGTGGGCACATGGATTGAAACGGTAAGCACTCACCTAACAGCACACCTGTGGTAGAGTAATGCACCATCTGAGTACTCCAGGTGAAATCAACTGAAAAAGGACAGTTCCTTTTCCCCACTGAAGTCTGAGAGGTCTTAAGGAAGGGAAAGGGCAGGGGGTGGTATTACACTCTACCATGTATATAAATATATACCTGTTCACTGTGGACAGACACTCAATTGGAGAAACGTCTCCACCACCGGGAGCAAAGCTCAACAGCTCAGCCCAGAGTATACGTAATGAAGGGGCTTACAAATCGTATGAAATAAAGCAATTAACAGTGATTTACTTTCCAAAAAGAGAGCTTTCACAAACTCAAACGGGTCCATTTACAGTGAATTAACAGCTTATGCATATTGTATATAAAAATGCCAACGCAACATAGAAAACATAGCTTTGTAAACATTATATAGGTAGATAGACATTAATTGGAAATTGTACCTGAACTCTGCCTAACTCTGGCTCAACTTGAACTTGAGGCTGTATATATAAAGAGCTTGACCTACATCACTGGTGAGTCAACTACAGAGTAAGAAAATAAAACATGTTTATTTCGATAAAAAGCAGGTATTTTGAGGCTAAATGGTGTACAGTTACCACACAAACATTTGACAGTGCATGCATCTAGACACCCTCTTTTCCTGTGATAAGGTATGTGATGATTCCCCATTTCTCTACATAATAATATTTCAACAATGATAATGTAAGAGTGAAAGTTGGAAGTGACAACATTCTCCTTCAGAGAACCACACCTAACACCTAGAGATATTAATATAAAAAGTCCTCCAAACACATTGCTAAATAAATATAAAATGTTGTTCAAGTGATAGGAGTTTGTTTAACTGAACTTCTAAAAAAGTCAGCAATAAGCTGAGACACATGTTGGTAAGGGCAGCCAAGAATAGTTCACATGGCTTCTTCTATAAAGTGTTGAAACAGCTTAGATAAAATGAAACACCAAAACAACCAAAGTAGTCCCATCTTTTACATGGATTTGCTCTATGTCCTTAAATCCAGCTAGTGTAAGAAAAGTGAAATGTCTTCTTTGATAAATATCTGCAACAGAAGATATCGGTATAACAATATCACACCTGGGGTTATTTCTGTTCCCCCTGCTCCACTGAGAACTGTTTTTTCTCTCTCTTTACAGGCACTAAGGCCTCCTCAATGCCTCCGTCTTCTGTTGGTGCAGCAGAGCCTCTTTTTCCTTTGCTCTTAATTTGATATTTTTTCTCTATATCTGGGACAGTATCCTGTTCTGCCTTTAACTCACTCTTGAACTCTGCAGAGGCTGCTGAAATCTCACACACAGTTGGCCCATCCCACTTTAGCATATCGACCCCGAGGAGCTCCATGAGCTGTTTCATTACTTCATCCACATACCCATGGATCCGCAGATGTGCATGTTTGTCCTATGGGAAAGGGGTAAATACAAATTTTACATGAACAAAAAAGTGGTATATTAATATAAAGCCCTTGCTCGTGTGCAATAATAACACATGGTAAATATTTGAATTTGTCTGTACTGAAGAAAAGAGCTCAACAGATTCTTACTCACATGCTTGGTAGGCTGCAGGTTGACAATGACTAGTTTCCCTCCTTTGCGCTTGGTGAGAAGAGGAAGATCTCCACTAGGTTTAATTTGCATGGATGTGCCAAGAGTTAGTGCCAAGTCAGCTTGTCTGCAAAAATACACAGTTTGTCCCTGTGTGTCAACAACCATATTTCTGGAGTAAATATTTTTTAGAGAGACTAGATTACCTGCTGGCATCATCTGCTTTGTTCAGGTCTCTGTCGGGGAGAGCATCCTCCCAGTCCAAGATGGTGCTAATCAGCTTCCCCCTGTTTAAGACATTAGTTTTCAGACATTCATCTTGGGACCTGTTGTTGGGGTTTAGGTTCCTAAGAATGCTTTACCTGCAAGCTCGGAGTCCCCTAGAGCGAACAAACTCACAGTAACGTCCAGTTGGCTTCAAACCCATTACACCAATCACCTTTTCCCTCACATACTGCCTGCAAAGGAACATTTCCAGTCATATTATTATTAACATTTTTGAAACAATTTAAAATTAGGAGGATAAAAAAGCTCTCATTTTGGTTTTATAATATTCTGCAAGTCTTATTCTAGATTTAGAAAATAGTCACAAAATAGGTTAATTTCCCAGTCAAAAAATGCATTCAGAATTACTTCTTTTGATCTTTAAATTATCCAGCCATCCATCCATTTTCTTCCACTTCCAGGGCCGGGTCGCGGAGACAGCAGTCTGAGCAAGGAGGCACAGATTTCCCTTTCCAGGCACTCGTCCTCCAGCTCTTTGAGGGGAATGCCGAGGCATTTCCAGGCCTGCCCAGAGATATAAGCCTCATTTCCACTGGCACAGTTTGCTTGGGCGCCACCCTCACCCGGGCAGCGTTTCCATTACAATGAGCCCAGGTCACTTTGGGCAGTACGCAGGTCTAACAAGACACACCCAATGGTGTAATGCCAGCGCCATCCTCAGGTGGACTGACGCACTCAAGTTTCACTTTTATTTTCTCTACATACTCAGAGATATCACTGTAAAGCAATGCTCTTGTTTTGATAAATAACTTTACTCATTTACTACACGGTTAGCTTGACGGAGGTGGTTTATGGATAACTTTACGCAGTCTTCTTTGGCTATATCTTTATGCACACACGCTCCACAGTGGATGTATATACCACATTTGGGAATGATGCTTTTACTGATGTTCTGTACCAGGTCCCAACCGCTCCAGTCTGCCTTAGAAGGTGGTACCACCAGCGGTCTGCTTTGGATCCTTAAAAGGGGGCGGTATGGATTGCTTTAGGCAGTGGAAACACTCAGTGTCCACGCCATACTGGCCCTATGGAAACAAGGCTATAGTCTCTCCAGCGTGTCCTGGGTCTTCTCCAGGGCCTACTCCCGGTAGGACGTGCTACCGCTCCAGGGATGCGCCCAGGAGGCATTCGGAACAGATGCCCGAGCCATCTCAACTGACTCCTCTCGACATGGAGGAGCAGCGGCTCTACTCAGAGCTCCTCCTGTGTGACTGAGCTCCTCACCCTATCTCTAAGGGAGCACCCAGCCACTCGGCAGAGGAAACTAATTTCGGCTGTTCCTTGTACTTTTCGTCATTACCCAAAGCTTACAACCATAGGTGAGGGTAGGAATGTAAATTGACCGGTAAATCAAGAGCTTTGCCTTTCAACTCAGCTCCTTCTTCACCACAACGGTCCGATACAGTGACTGTATCACTGCAGACTCTGCACCAATCTGATTATCAATCTCATGCTCCATCATTCAATCACTCGTGAACAAGACCCCGAGATAGCTGAACTCCTCCATTTAAGGCAGGGACTCTCCACCCACCTGGCCTTGGATTTGACCATGGAAAAAGGTGGCTTGCTCTAACTAGTTTCTCTCCTTTGCGCTTGGTGAGAGGAGGAAGATCTCCATGGCCTCGGATTTGGTTTAAATTTGCTTTAAATTATAAGGTTCATGAACACACATAAAACAAACTTTAAATGAGAAGTGTTGGAGAGAACACATAGAAGCCCATAATGAATATCTGATATTTAAAATAAAACCCCATTATGAGACATACCTGCCACACTTTTCACATTCCTCAATGAACATATTTCCATGAAGTTCAGACAACAGATCCCTAAGGCACATAACACAGTTCATAAAGCTCATAAAGTCTATATTCAGAGACTCATGTGAAACGCGTTACCTTGGGAAACCAGATCGCACATGAAGGCCATCCACGTTCTGGCTGATGAGATATTTGAGGTAGCCTGCCCTCTGCAGACTTAGAAGGGCCATGTGCGTAAAAGTGGGACGAGCATCTTCAAATGTTGTCTCAAAATGTGGCATTTCACCTTTTTCTTCTAGAGTCCACACACCTTTTGGACCCCTAAAATTAAACAAAGCATTATTATGTCAACCAAAGTACCATTAAGTAAGCACCCTCTGAATACAAAGAGTCAATGCTGTCCGTAAACAGTATTGTAACAGATTTTTGTCATTATTTATAAATAGTCTAACAGTCTAAACACAAGGACACAAAGGCATCAGTTTGTGACACATTTTCCTGGTCTTAGAAATTTTTCCTCAACTTAAAAAAAAAAAACAGTTCCTTGTTAACAGTTTAAAGTGGTGCTCCAGAGACATGTTTTTGTCAAAGCTGATACAAAGGTTTCTGAGGCTTGGTGTAGCAGACTGACCAAGATCACCCAAATACTGGTGTATCCCTAGAATGTGGTCAGAGAGGACTGTGGAAGTTTACAAAAATTATTGATAGCAAACATCCAAGACAACTGGGGAAACCCTCTGATATAACCAATATGAATACTGGAAGCACCATATTGTCCATTCCTAATTTTATATCTCTGAAAATTGGCAGGTCATGACTCAAATTTAAATTGTTATATCACACAAGCAAGTCACAGTGGATTTGAAAAATGGAAATTCTTCCAGAAAAGCAGTAGGAAAAAGTAAAGGGATATCAAAGGTCAATGTCAACTTAAACTGACAGGCAGGCGAGATAATGATAAATAATGATGCATACACACAGGGCAGAGAGTTGAAGTAAGCACCTTAATCATTAATTCGTTTTCATAGATCTCATAAAAAAGGCTGCCGTCACAACGTGACCACAGCGCCCTCACATGCCCTAATTCAGATACTACATCACCCTCTCTTTTATGTCTACAGATTATACTAATATATTATCATCATTATAAAAAAAATATATGATGTTATTATTAAGCCTAATTAATTTTTTTATTACCTGAAGTCAGGGATTCCAGCTGACGTACTGATTCCTGCTCCAGTGTGAACAACGAAATATTTCGATTCTTTGATCATTTGTGCGAGAGTCTCTACTTTGGCTTTCAGCTCCTCGGGACCATCAAATGACTGCAAACACAACATCAGAATAAAATATTACGCCGATAGATTAAATACGTTTAATTATGGCCAGATGCAATGTCTTGCTACTATAAAATTAATAAAGCATTAAAAAAACATTAGCAAATTATTGGTTTTGGGTTAGGAGACCAAATGACTGGACAAAGCTACGTTATATCTGTTCAACATGTAAAAACAGAGATACAAAAGCTTTTAATACGGCTAAAACAGTCCATGGTGGCTCTCTGACCGTTTTTCTTCCTAGCTGTTGCTGTTACGGGGCTAGCCTGTTAGCACTGAGAACATTGCTATCATCGTTTTACCTCTGGAAGTCCACAGACACCTTTATCCGCGTAAGGCGACAATCCGGCTGCATAGTTTACAGACATCCTGGGAGAGAAAAGTATACTTTAGAGATTTCTTTATGTAATTTGGTTCATGTGTTGTTTCACAGTAATACAAGAAAAGATATTCACGCGGCTTCCGAGTTGTTTTTTAGGATGACGTCATATGTACGCGACTAAAGTGATCGAGGTCTGTTCTTTTGATTCATCCAGGATATCAAAAGACAGGGTGAAAGTTGTAGCAGGACACCAGAATTTTGTAATGGACGAGGAAGCCTAAAGTATGGCCTAATGACACAAGCAATCCATAATACGTTCGTTACATGGGACGAAGATTAACCATTAACCACTACATCCGTTTTAATACTTCTTTATTGAACTGTTAAATAGCATAGAAAAAAAAAAGTAACAACTCAAAGAAAAGAACACAAACTATGATACAGCTACAGGTATCTGTTACTGAGTGTTAAAATTATAAATCCATTCAGAAGGGATACAAGAAAAATAAGTCTTTTATGCATTTCATCCTGAGAATTTCTGTATTCATGTCAAAACTGTAACAGTTCATTTTGCAACAGCAATATAGACACATTCTGATTAAAAATCAAAACTGTCCACTCAGTGCACTTGTTAGATAGATGATGGTTTTCCAATTCACTATTATTTTGTGACTTGTAGATTTATCTGTTTAATTTGCATTTACAGATTGCAGTTATGGTTGAGCAAACAAGGGGTTGCTACAAGTATTATGTAACTAAAGAAACTATACATATATTTTTTTTTTAATGGAAAAAGTAAATCTTTGGCTCCCTCAGGTCTTTAGTCAGCCTGATAGGAAAAACAAATTAACATGTAGCCTCCAGCTCCTACAAAAAAACTATCACCCCTCACCCCAACACAAGCAAAGTCAAAAGGTGTATCTCAGCATTCAAAAGGACATTGTTATTGACCAGAAGAATAACACAAATACACACACAAAGCAAAAATCTATTGAATGTTAAAATTTTTAAGAGTTTGTCAGAGTTTGCCGTGTGGTCGCCACTGACTCTAATGTTTTGAATCTTCATTTTCCCCCATAATTGAGCCATTTCTAAAATTCGGCAGGTGAACAGTCCAACTGTAATGATTAAAACAGCTCCCATGATGATACAGCATGCACGTAAAAGTTTGTTAACACTGTCCGGTTAAACTTAGCTCATGTTATATCACAGTCAGAAAGCCAGATTGTTTGCCATATGGTCTTTCCACATTCACATTGTTCTCAGTTGTACTTCAGTTGTTCAGAATTTACCTCAGTTGGATACACTGAAGGAAATTAAAGTTTGAAAGTACAGATGGTAAACGTAGGCTTGCACCAGTGCAGAATGTCATCTTTTTTTAGCAGTGGTTTAACCCAAATGTACTATAACTAAAATAATTATACGTGTTAGGTGATAGTGGGAACATGTGAACAAGGTAAAGACTTGTGCTGGTGCAAATCTTGCCACGCTGACCACTTTAACAAGGTGCACCCATTTATTTCTCTGCCTTGAGGCTGAGAAAAACTGTTGTTGGTTTAAAAATAAAGGCTTCAAACCAATCCTGGTTGAGGACCTACAAGATCTGGCTTCTTGGGCAAATGCTAGAAATTATGCAAAACATGTCAGGACTCCTCATTGCCCGAGTCATCATCATCATAGCAGCAGTCACCTTCAGCGTCCACATCGTCGTCATCATAGTAATAGTCATAAAAGAGGTCAGAACCTTCATCAGGAGCTGGAGCACGTGTACGAACACAGTATTCTGCCAAAGTGGTGGGCACCTTGACCCCATCACGCTCTGCTTCAGCCTTCGTAGCCAAAACTTGTTTCCTGGAGGAAATAAGAAAAGATGATGGTACACTGCAGAAGCTATTTAATTGTTAAATTCCAGTAGAATGTGTGACAATTCACCTGATGATCTCTACATATTCACGATCTTTGCCTTTACTATCCCTCCATTTGCGGTACATCACAGAGGCATCCACATTGGCCGGTGAGAAAGTGTTAGGCTCATTTAAAAGTGAGATCACACTCAGTAAAATGGTTCTACAAAAGGAGAAGGGTGAGATTAGTATGTCTGTGTGATGCTTCAGTCGTCCAGGTAGGTTCCATATCAAAAATATGATTTTGTCAACTGGACAAAAGTTTTAGGGTGAAGATGATTCACAACCCACCAAAGTGGCTTCTTTGGTGAAACGTCTTAAGCATAAAACCTAAAAATCTTCTATCGCCATGCGATTCGTATGCTGTAGCTATGCAATCTCAAATTAAGCATATAGTCAGTATTAATTAGCAAAGATGTGTATCCAATTATCGTTATTTTTGTTTTATATTTTATACATTTAATGTCATGACACAAAATGAACTAAATATCCCCTTCTGAAAGTATTAAACCATGAATGAGCAGGCCTGTCACGATAAATTCTGAAGCATGACATATTACTACACCAAAATATAATGATAAATGATAATACTGAATCTACTTTATTTCACTTATACAATGCAAAGATAAAGAAAAAATAAGTAAACCAAAACCAAAACCAGTAAACCAATTTTAAATATACAATATCATTAAAACATATGAGCACCAACAAATAAATGGTAAAATGAAACCATAATTAGCCATGGAAGTTACATACAAGTAACAACAAGCACAATCAGATAGCAACCTGGTTCCCCATGAGGCATCAGGTAGGGGCAGTTCATAATCACGGAAGCCACCTTATGAGGAGCCCAGCCCATACCCCGGTTATGTGTGCCAACTTGTGTGACGATGGGGTGAATATTTTAGCCCGCAGATGGTTCAGAAATTGCCAAATTTGCCTATCCTTTATAATGGCATGACCTTTCAATTGACCCGTGTGACCTCAAATGACCTCGGATTTTTTTTTTTTTTAACCTTTTTTTGCGGTATCGGGCATGGGGGCTTGACCCACGTACTGAATTTGGTGACAAACGATCCATAAATGGCTGAATTATCGTGGGTGGACAGACACACAGACACACACACAGACACATAGGGTGAATACAAAACCTGGTCAACCCTTCAAGGACCAGGTAATTACAGTTACAAGTTATAGTTTAACACTATACCCTCTTTCGTATCACAAAAAAAAACCAAACATTTCTTTTCCAAAGAAAAAGGACCCACGATAAATACTGACCACAAAAATATATTGTTCCAGCTTTCCATATATTGAAGTCAATATAGTAATTATCGTGACAGGCCTGTTTGTATTATTTTTTGCAGTTAACAAAATTGTACACACCTGACATTTTGAGTTGGATTCCACCTTTCAGAAGGCAGTTCTCCACTTTGTGGATCATCCACCGGAGGATGCAATATAGAAATACACACATCCCCATTCTGACAAAAGGATGTTACATTTTAGAGAAATAAACCTATCTCAATCCAAAAACAATCAACATGTGAATGTGACACTTCACCTCATAAATATTTGGGTGCCACATCTTTGTGAGGAAACGGAAGGCAGGTGGGGAGTATGGGTAATCTATTGGGAACTTGATCCGAGCCTGGGAGACAAAACAGGTTTCACATATACTTTACTATGCTTAATTGAACCTTCAGAAGGCTGGTAACAAATAAACCTTAATCTAAAATTATGCTGAGGAAATGTTCTATTATTTGCATAGTTACTTGTTTTCTTTAATACATTTTAAAATGTCTCACCTTGAAATACCCCCCTTCATAATGAGTGTTTGGGGGTCCAAAAATGGCTACTTCCCAGTTATACAGATCTGATTCATCCACCAATGTTATTTTGAATCCTTCCACGGGCTCTTCTTGGAGGCTCTTCATTTCCAGCATAAGTGCTTTTTGTGAGCTGGCTACATGAGAGGGGTCGTGTTGCGCCATACTGAACCAGGTATTTTTCAAGATTATCCGAAGTCAACAGCTGAGAAGTTTGTTTACACGGCCACAGTGTTTGTATTTTGAGTCTACTCTACGCAGCCTGCCAACAGAGACAATGCTAAATGCCAAATACAAACAGGCCAACTTACACAACGAACACTCAAAGAACACAGTGCAGTGTTGTTGCCGCCAATATCGACTGACCGCTTATTAATACAGGATATAATTCAGAAAATACCTGTATCAGACCATTGTGACGTTTTCAGTTTATGTAGGCTCACCTGGCAAAGCGGCCACGAATAAGCCGTAGGTAAGATAAATCTACAAGTAGCTGCTAGCAAGCTAGCCGAGCAGCTGTGCCTAGTCGAAATAACTACCAGTCAAGCAGCACTTACGTTGTAACTCAAAGTATCTTTTTTTCGAGAGCTATAAAATCCGCAACTAAAGCGAAACAAACGACTTTACACTGGCGAAACGTTGTCGTCCAGGGGAAGAGACTGGAAGAAGAATGTTGCTGAAAGAGGACTCTCTTCTATCAAGTACCACCTCCACATGGGATTTGTAGTCCAGACAGGAAACAATGCAATTTAACACGATTTAGGGCTGAACTTGAGTTATACATTAAATTCAAAATATGCAGGACGTGTAAGAACATTAGTTGTGATAATGGTTATCTTGAGTGGTTTTCAATAGCAACAATGAACCACGTTCATGGAGATAAATCCCGAACTTTCGTAATTTACATTTAAAGTACAAATAATCAAAACACAAATTATTTAATAGATAAAACCACAATCTATGGACAACAGTAGATTTTAGTAGACCATAATTTAATATATATATATATATATAGAGAGAGAGAGAGAGAGAGAGAAATATATGCGTTGATATGACGTCATTGTGCGACAAACCTACAAAAAGCTTAGGTGTCCACATTCCGCCTGAAACTAAACGAATAATTGAATATGCACTTTCGGGACTTAATGTCTTATGATTGTGTTTTATCTGTATTATACACACAATATTTCTTGTTTGGATGCTTTTACGAAGACATTTGTTTGGTTATGAATGTCTCTTATTTATGCGACAAAATCCCCAAAGCTCTAAGGACCCTGCGTTGACGGAAAATTCGTGATGGAGTCGAAGTCTCGACGTCGGTCCCGCTCCAATTCAAGAAACCGGAGCCGAGAGAGGCGAAACAGATCCAGAGCAAGCAGATCTTCGTCTGCAGAGTCCAAACGACACTCCCGGGCGCACGGTAGATCCAGCAGCAGCAGCGGCGGTAGCTACAGCGATGTTTCTCCTGAACGACGGCGGCCTCAACACAAGCATCGCGGCAAGTCCAGAAGTGGCTCAGATGGCGATGAAAAAAGACGAAGTACTGGCCGTAGGAGCAAGCCCAGGGATCGAACTACAAGGTATTTTTCGTGTCCGAAATGATACTTTTCTGTCTTTTCATTCTATTATACTGGGCACAGAAACTGTGGCTCGTGGGAGAAAACGTTACCGTTTGAGGGATGCAAAGTTATTATGCATTTTCTTTCCAGTACCGACTCGGATGATTTGAGAAGAAGAAAGAAAGAAACCGATACAAAGAGGAAGACAACATCACACCGAAGGAGGGAGTCCCGTTCAGGCTCATCTGATGGTAGCAGCGACCGAGAAAAACGAGGAAATGCGAGTTCTGATCGACACAGGGAAAGGAGAGACCGGGAAAGAAAAAGTAGCAGAGAGCGGAGGAGAGTGAGTGAAGAACAACGGGGGAGAGAGGACAGGAGAAGACAACGCTCAAGTTCAGAGTCCTCTGACAGCTCAGGCACCAGGCCCAACTGTTCAGGCAAGGAGAAAGAGGAAAAGAAAAAACAGAAAGAAATGATGAAGGCCCTTGAAACACCTGAAGAAAAGCGAGCCAGAAGGTTAGCTAAGAAGGAAGCCAAGGAGAAAAAAAGAAGAGAAAAGATGGGCTGGAGTGAGGAGTACATGGGGTACACAAATGCTGACAATCCCTTTGGTGATAACAACTTATTGGGCACATTTAAATGGCAAAAAGTAAGAAAGTAAAGATGGACTACAAGCCTCTTCTTGTATGTAAGAATGTTTATTTGAAATTATTTTGTTTTTCTCAGGCATTGGACAAGAAAGGCATTGGCCACCTAGGAGAAAAAGAATTGAAAGAGAGAAATAAATTAATTCAAGAAGAGAACCGCAGAGAACTTCAGAAGGTCTGATTGTATACAAATTAATTCTGTGGATTTAAAACTGATGCAGTGTTTACAGACATGTTATTACCCTATCATTTTCTGCTCTACATATTTTTCTGAGATTTATCTTTTGTCTTTACAGGTGAAACAGCTGCGACTAGAGAGGGAACGAGAAAAGGCCATGAGGGAAACTGAGCTGGAGATGCTGCAGAGAGAGAAAGAGGCAGAACATTTCAAAACATGGGCAGAGCAAGAGGACAATTTTCATTTACAGCAAGCAAAATTAAGGTACAAATTTCTTTATAATGTTGTATTATTTTTCTGTGTTCAGTGTTTAAATTGCAAAAACAAATGTTCAGGTCCAAGATTCGCATCCGTGACGGTCGTGCTAAACCCATTGACCTTTTGGCAAAGTACATTAGTGCAGAAGATGATGATCTTGCTGTGGAAATGCATGAGCCTTATACTTTTCTCAATGGCCTAACTGTAACTGACATGGACGACCTGCTGGAAGACATCAAGGTGTGTGTTCCCCAAAACATTTAGATACAAAAACGTTTGACTTTTACCCTGTACCGTTAAAAAGAAAATGTTGGTACTTTTCTGTCAGCAGAATAAATAATTGTATTGCTTGCTTACACAGGTTTATATGGAGTTGGAGCAAGGCAAAAATGTTGATTTCTGGCGAGACATGACGACTATCACAGAGGATGAGATATGCAAGTTGAGAAAACTTGAAGCCTCTGGAAAGGGACCAGGTACTGTTTAATAAAATATTGCATAGCATTTTTAAGCATACACATTTAGAATAAAAATCAGGGAAATTTGAAATGTGAAAATATCTAATGTGATACAGGTGATCGTCGTGAGGGTATCAACACAGCAGTGAGCACAGATGTCCAATCTGTATTTAAGGGAAAAACTTACAGCCAATTGCAGGCCCTGCATCAGAACATAGAATCGAAAATTCGATCTGGGGGTTCCAATCTTGATATTGGTTACTGGGAAAGCTTGCTGCAACAAGTCAGGGTCTACATGGCAAGAGCCAGGTATAAATGAACACTAAACCATCCATTAACATATACATTAATTGAAGTTTGAATTAATTTGTTAATTTCCTTTTATCTAAGGCTTCGAGAGCGCCACCAAGATGTGTTGCGTCAGAAGCTGTTCAAGTTGAAGCAAGAGCAAGGTGTAGAAAGTGAACCCTTGTTTCCAATTTTCAAAGAGGAGCCTGTGGATACAGAGCATGAGTATGCACTTTAGAAATCATTACACTAAGAGTACAGTTACATTTGTACTAACTGAATAACTAACTGAATATTTTTATATCAGGCAGGAGAGAGTGACTGAGGAAAATCCAACCACTGCCAATGACCCACATCACTTGGAAGAGGGCCCATCCACATCTACAGAAAATCGGCATGAGGGAGGAGATGACAACAATCAAGAAGAGGAGAGTAAAGAGGAGGCAGAAGCAGTTTTGACTGAGGAGGACTTAATTCAACAGAGCCAAGCAGAATATGATTCTGGCCGATATAGTCCTTCTCTGCTCACCTCTTCAGAGCTGCCCCTTGACTCTCACACCACCACCCCAGAAGAGGACCTCCACAGGCTGCAGTTGGCACGGCGACAGTTACAGGTGACAGGTAAGACGTCTCACACATTGAGCAACCAGTGCATAACTGAAAACATTAATGTCATGTCCATTTCCAGGTGATGCTAGTGAGAGTGCAGAAGACGCTTTTGTACGCCGCGCCAGAGAGGGAATGGGAAATGATGAGGCCCAGTTCAGTGTGGAGTTTCCAGTCACAGGAAAAATGTACCTGTGGGCAGATAAATACCGCCCCAGAAAACCACGCTTCTTTAACAGAGTACACACAGGCTTTGAGTGGAACAAGTACAACCAGACTCATTATGACTTTGACAATCCACCACCTAAAATTGTCCAGGGGTATAAATTCAATATCTTTTACCCAGATCTCATTGACAAACGCTCTACTCCCCAGTACTTCCTTGAGCCATGCCCAGATAATAAAGACTTTGGGATTCTGAGGTTTCATGCAGGACCTCCATATGAGGACATTGCCTTCAAGATTGTGAACAGAGAATGGGAATATTCTCATAGACATGGCTTCCGCTGTCAGTTTGCCAATGGGATCTTTCAGCTGTGGTTCCACTTCAAGAGATATCGCTACAGAAGATAAGACAAGACCAAGGTCCCAGACTCTCGAGTCAGGAATTGTTGACTTTATTTGAAAAATAAACTCACCAAATCAATTTAATTAAAAAAGGCAACACCGTATACTGAAACCCAAAATAACAACACACATGAATAGCAAGAGGAAATCTGTTTCAATTTTTTTACAGTCCAAGTCAGTATCTCTAAATATGCATTGATGAATATGAACGTAACATTAATGTAAAGAAAATGCAGTGGCATTGATAAAAATAAAAGGCTCTTTTTGCTTGTTGTAAAAAATATTTAAACTTATAAGAAATAGGGATGTTTTAAAAGTGAATCTTCTCAATAGGGTACCAGTTCAAACTTATCTGTTACTTTTATTCAGTAACACTATGTGGCTTCTCCATTGTTGTGGTTATTATTACTACTGCTATTGCTTGTGTCAAACACTAGGGGCTTATTTTCAGCCCCTGTCCGTTGCATGTTATTACTGGAGTCTAAGGCCATCTCCTCGTGGACCTCAGGAGACAGTTGTCCACTCTTGTCTCTGCATGACCGGGTAAAATGTCCTTTGTATATATTCCATGAAACTAGCCCAAAAAAAGCAATTGCAAAGATTGCAATAGCAACATGTAAGCCTGCAACAGAAGGGCCATCTCGCTGTGCATGAGGAAACCGAATGTCATCCCCCTTTCCAGACAAGGCTATGGTAACCTGGTACTCAACTACAGTGCTTGTGTACTCGTTCATTTTGGAACGTTCAACTGAGAGACAGCAGTACAGACCAGCATCTGAGTCTGAAGCATTTAAAATCAGCAAACCATCTTTTAAAAAATGGTGACGACGTGTAGGGTTCAGTGTTAGCCTGTCTTGCTCCCAGATGGTTACAGCATGATTGGATGGATTAGTACAGTGAAGCTTCAGGTTTCCACCAACCCAAACAGATTGATTAACTGGTGTAGATGGGGCTGAAAATAACCAGAGCCAGAGTTAACTTAATAAATACAATACAATACAAAAAGAAAATTATACATTTTTCAATTTGGATTTGCTGGATCAAAACATTTTAAGTAGGGATTTTAAATGACAGCATAATAAACTTGAAGCAGCCATATACTCTTAAAAATACATTAACTTTTCTGGTGAAGGGGCCATCACCTGCTTCTTTCCATAGAGATATTGCCTGGAATGTTCTATAGTGTGGCATTACACTTACACTCTACAATATCTGTGGAGACAAGCAGGTGGCAGATCCTCCACCAAAAAAGTTACACAGTGCACCTTTAATATTAGAATTCTACTACTGGTACTTATCAAAATTATAAAACTATAGCCCTTAGATTTTCTGATGAGATCTATCATTATTTTATTATGAGAAGCACTCACTCACACTCAACATTTCTTTCTGGAAACTGTTCTGACTTGTCAGAAATTCTGAGCCTCCCCCAACTGGCCCATACTGCTGACAAACTTATTTGAGTGGAAGTCACAAAGACTCCTTCAACAGAACAACGGCATCACTTTTTCCATAAAAAGGCTGCTGATCTAAAACTATTTTAATATTGATGGAAAGGAAATTGTATAAAATAGGCTCTAATACAGGGGCACTTGTATCAAGCTAATCTTTCAAGTTTTAAGCAACAACAGTGGAGGTAATTAGTTCCGTGTGCATGCATTGTGACTATATTGGAATATTGTCCTTGGTCATGTCATTGTACTCACCTGGTTTTGGGCAAAGAGATGCATCGCCATCTTGCACACTTTGTATGAGTTTACTAGGAAAAATGTTTAAGCTAATGTAAATATTTGTAGCAAATATTTTATTCCCACAACCAGATTATATGAGAACACAGCCACTTACTTTTGTGATTTTGAAAGAAGAGTCACACATTTCCCTGTCCTGTCATCCCAGCCACAGTATGGGTCTCGGTTAAGAACACAGTCCATACAGGTGGAAGACCTTTCACAGGTGGCCAAAGGTATCTGCACTACTCCGGAGTCTGAGCCAGCATACAGCTGATCCTATACAGATAGGGATAAACCATACACTTATTAATTTTAAAAAGACCAAATTATTGACATGCATCTTAAAAGACTTACTGTGACGGTGGAAAAACGAAGGATCTTAATGGGCTCTGCTGACTTAAAGACATGTACTTCCTCAATGATGAACATTTCGCCATTATAGTTCACAGCTTTCACAATGGTGCCATTTTCTGCATTCATTGCAAAAGACATACTGTAATGTATAATCGCCAAAATGAATATGGTCAAATAATGTATTTCTTTTCTGCCCCAACAAACCTGTGCCTATAAACATGACGTGGTACGTTTTGTTGTCCTCAGCCTGCACTTGGTTAACAATGATTTGTGAACATGGCCCCCTTTCGCACCAAACTGGGTTTTCCTCCCATGGGTTGAATGACCTGGTCCATGAGAGGCCTATTTTTGACAAATTGAAGGGTCTGATCAGGGAGGTCTAAAGTCTCAGTTATACCCGCTTTACGAGCTGCATTGTCAATACACTGGAAAAGAACAGAGACAATAGGATCAGTCAACAAAAAGACAATTGCCTGCTTTAAAAATACTTTTTTTTTTATATGTATTGGGCAAAACTCACTGCTCCTGGCCGTGGAGAAGGGACCTCTCCGCTATACATCACCCATTTAACAAAAGACGTCTCTACAGTGACTGGGGTCTTGTACTTGCCCTCTGAAAACACTTTGCTGATGTCTGACACTTTGTACACACACACAGCCGACAAGTCTGATGTGTCTCTAAAACACAGAATTACAGAAGTGAGGCACAAGTAGCATCCAAATCTACGACCAACAAAACTTTGCAACATACGACTGAGGGGTAAAGATGGTGTAGAACAAACAGCTAGTCCAGGGCTTCTTGGGGTCACACCAGCGGTAAGTATCCTGGATAATGTAAGGCAGCTGAGACTCCAGGACGGGACACTCCAGTCTAGCCTTCAAGAAAGAAGTCCACTTTTTCTGCAAGGTCCTCTCCCCTCCTAGATCACCCTGTGTGAGAACGCAACACAGCTAAGCATCAGCAAACAGGCCTCATAGTGGACAGGCGCCATTGTTGCACACTTGGTACTGACCACAAAAAAAAAAAGAAGACACATTTACCTTGCACACACGGGCCACACGTGACACCACAAGCTTATTGTAGCAGTCACACTCGACTGCTCTCTCACTAAAGAACAGGTAAACCTTGTCATCATCTCCAGTAGTACTGTTAACACTCTCAGGCATATAGGCCATCGATACAAAGTGGGGCTCTGCCACAGATATTAAAACAAATACAATGTCATATTAAGTCTCATAAAAAATCTCATACAAACAAACTCTAAGAGTTCATCTTACCATTGAGCCATGAGGTTTTGAACTCAGTTCGAATTGAAACTTCAGGACTCCGGATAAGAACAGGCTCTGAACCCAGAAAGTTCATAGAAGTGGCAGAGTACAAGTCATCATCTATAAAATACAGGAGCAGTGTTATGAAAATTCACAAAATACTAGATTCATTAAAATATTTAAGCTTACGCTAACAAATCATGAATGCCACATACCAACCATAAGAGAAGCATATTTTGATATGGATCAAATGGACATTTGCCTTTGCCATCTTCAGTCTTGTTTTCAAGCATAATTTTCCCATCTACATATGACTGGTAGATAAATACAAGCCAGATTTAGTTTTTAGGTCATATTTGATTCAATGTTTAATTTATTTATTTATTTTTAAAAAGTGACCAATGACATTAAATATATCTCACCATGTAGTCACACTCTGGGTCAAAAGCATTAGTCCCACACACATACATTCTGTTGTCTTCCATTTCATGGAGGATTCTAATATAGTTCTTGCACTCAGTCTGTAACAGACACATCTGATAAAAACTCAATGTGCAAAACTAAGGGCAAAATAGAGCAATGTCATACCTCTGGGTTTTTCCCTTTGTTTCCACAATCTTCTCTTTGTTTTTGTGTCACTTCCCATTTCACCTAAGTGAACATTTAAACTTTGGTTAGTCTTGATCAAGGACAACTGTTGTAATTTCCGTGTTACTATTGAGAATTGGGACTTTTGTGCACCTAGAACAAACTGTTATTGCATTATTTTGTCATTGATAATGTCAGTATTAACTAAATGTTTTCTTACTGAAGCCAACTTTTTAGAGACATCATGGAGATCTACAGCATAAACTGCCTCCCGGGCTCCAATGACCAACAGGCCCAAGTCTTCTCTTAACAGCATAGTGGAATAGTTGAAGACACCTTCCTCATGAAACATGTAAATATTGTCCCCTGAAGGTAAAACATTACTGTCATAACCAATAAACAAAACCAGCTGTTGGAACAAATACGTGATTTCATATTAAAAAGAAACCACTTACGGTGATAGGGGACAGTTCTACGGGGAAAAGAGTTTACTGAGGATTCTTCTTCTAGTGCCAAGGCCATGGACAGCAGCCAGACAACACACAGGGACAGCAGCAGATGCATGGCTCCTTTGTTGGGGCAGTGGGATTTTTTGCTTTATTGTTTCTCATCAAGCAGCGAGTGGCATATGTGACGTGATGAGGTCTGTGCCGACTGAATGCCACTGGCCCCTTTACTGGCCCCGCTCAGTAGGCTGCCCATAGTGAGATGGATGACTTAGAGCCACAATACAAGGATGAGACAACCTGCAATGGACAAAGCATATTACACAAAACTATGAGACATGAAATATTGTGCATCTAACAGTCAGCAGAAAAAGAAAAAATGCAGGCGCAATTACAAGGGAAAAACAAAGTAAAAGACACAAAGAGAGCAATATTTCTGTCAGCGGCATAGTGATGTTAATGCAGGGCCATGAAAGGCATTCAGCAGGGCGCAGGGATGTCAACTTTAACTCTTCTCCTGCACCAAACACAAGCGCACAATGAGTGCTTTATGGAGAAAGCCAATGAAACAACCTTTACGTCCATTCTGACATAACATAGCCTACTATCAGCATATAAAGTGTCAGGTCACTGATTGCACCAAAACACAGCCAGGGCTTGGCTCTATTCTACTCGAAAGTGTTGTGCACCCGGCAGTGATCTTTCTACGATTTGGCAAGTGAGTGTGTGAGTTGTGCTTTCTGCTGGTGATGAGCTGCTGTGGCTTGTTAAAGAATGCAGTCCTTGTAAGATGTTTCACATTTAGCTTCGGGCCAAAGGACTTCAGTATTTGACACATGCACTGTGTTCACAAAAGGCTCCTGGCAAAAGAAAAGGTCCTGTAGTATGAGGCTAAAGAAAAGTTTACATGCTCAGATATTTACAGCCGAAACTAACTCACGTGTTTAAGGTTTTGGTAGCTACAGTTATGAGCCTATTGTAAACAACAAGAAAAATCGCATATGCTAGTGCACTTCATTATTAGCCACAAGGGTTAACAGCACACTTCAAGTAAAAGCTAGTTAAACATTACCTGAGTATTGGCACACCCAAAACTACTCGGGCTTTAAAATTTCACAAGCGCCAGTTAAAATGTCAAAATGATGAAAAACAATCGCGCGAGTACGGACAGACGGACAAAAGTAACCTGCTCCGTTTAAACAAATAAAGGACGGTTAATGTAAATCACGCACAAACACAAAAGGCGTACTGTTACTTACATTTTTCAGTTATTTTAAAGTAGAAGAAATAGAACAGGTTCACACTTTCTTCACACGCGCAGTAATCGTCTCATCGTAGGTTATGCAGACAGGGCAGCGGAGCGCTCCCAGCCACAGCCCGTGGTGCGATCTCAAGAGCGGAGCAGAGAGCACGGCTGCCGTTGACGGAGCTGCTCCTCCGTCACCTCCGCTCTCCCCGTCAAGTGAGCGTGCTCTGCAAGTTCACCACTAACCCAGGCTCATTCACTTGGGTCACAACAAATACGCGGTAGATACGTATCAGTGTAAGAATGTGTATGTATTTTATGGAAGGTACTGTGTAGAAGTTCTTCACAAAGTTCAAACAAAACAAGTGAGCGGTGTATTTATTTGAACTAGAAGCCAAGGAGTCATAGAGATATAAAAAGAATAAATAAATACAAAAAGTGTATAATACATAAATAAATAGAGTAATCAAAAATCATTGCATGGCTATAGCCAAAACATTGCAATAGGTGAGGCCAGTCGGATAGGGTACATGCAAAAATGAAATGCCCCATTCTTTATAAATCCCCCAGTCTTTATATGGTGATTTAAAATCACGAATTTAAACATACAATAGTTCCTCATAAAAATACAAAGATACATGATCACAGCATCTATTATTTATCACTCAAGTTGACCATGATGCAGAATGCATAAACAGATTTTGTTAGCCTGCAAGTGTTAGGCTAAATAAAAGCTGCCCCTTGATATAAAAAAGATAGCCATCCCATATTGATTCTGCAATGATATAATGGAAATCCGTGTAAACATGAAACAGTGGGCTACATTGTTCTTTTGTGTTCAGCAGCCCACCATGTGTGCTATTAAACTTAATATCATTCAGCTATAAATCAGATTTTACCACAGTAACCCACTGGAGGGCGCTGCCACATTCAGCACAATGACTCATAAAGTTGCTGGTTGTGAGGACTGGTCATCGTAGCACCATAAGGTGGTAATACAGAAAAGAAAATCCTAAGAAAGAAGCACTTATAGTGGCATGGAGCTGTAAACAAGTTATTAACACTTTGTGTAGAGTGGTAACAAACAAATAATGCAATGAGACTGAAAAGGCAAACTCTTTGCACGTTACTGGTGGGACTTTAAAATGTTTGTCATGTAGGCTACAAGATAAATCCATCATTTCAGTTGACAATCAGTTCAGTTGACAAAAAGGCTCCATCGGTGGTTCACGTGTGGTCCTCCATTTGTCAGTTTCTTGGACTCCGATAAGTTTGCAAAAGAGGTTGTTGCAAAGATTTTTGCAAAAGTAGCAGCACTTCTTGCTTTTAGACAAACCAAAATGTTGACCATTTTACTTGAGTTCACAATGTAAGTGGAACATGAATGAAAAAAAATCACATTCCAAGCAATCCACATGAAAACAGATGTTCAACACGGATCTGAACAATCTTGATGTCCAAGAAGGATTAATGCTGAATGGCACATTTTAGTACATCAGTCTTGACTGGCTCGTCTTTTCTCTAGCTTAATTTTTAGCTCCTCATTGAGTGCTGTTTAAGGAGACAAACCAAAATCAAATTATCTGCATCTCTTCACAAAAAAAGCACAAGCATGAGCCTTTACTTACACTGAGTGAGAGGGGAAGGAGAGAGAACAAGTCGTCTCATTGGGTTGGTGGGAGAAGATGGCACAGGTGTTGTCAGGATTCGTCGGTCTGGAGCAGGAGATCGAGACAGGGGGCTTGTACACCAACGATCTATACAAGGACAGTGACGGTTCTCAACAGTGCAGTCAGCTGTTTTATATTAAGTCTACCCTGAGTACCTTGTTTTGGAGGGAGAGCAGGAGCCCTCGGCAGAGGACTAGTAGGAGCTGTGTGAAGCATGTGCTCTCCATTCTCATCATTGGCTGTGACATATGCTGTTGATACAAGCATATGAGTTTTTGTAATAAAAATAAATACATAAAAGAGGAATAAGGTGTGAAAAATGTGCATGGCTACTCACTGATATTTTCTTCATAAGGCTCTTCAAGTAAGAAAGGTTGCAGTGTTCCAGCAGTTTTCTCAACCAGTGCATCAATGACTTCATGTAGAGTAGCACATGGAATCTAATTCAAAACAAAAAAAGAAAATTCTTCTGTAATCACTGTGTATTATTTTAACATGTTGGACAATTAGAGTGCCAAGACTTACTGGATTTTCTACATCAATGACATATCCACCTTGATCTCTCTGAGTCACTCGATAATGTCTGAAGACGGACCTAGAGTAAACAGTACAGAATGCATTCAAGTGTGCCCAACAATCTGACCTCAGTCTCACAATGAATGTCCAAAAAATGCTGTTAATATACAGTACATGTGGTCAGTATTAATTTTTTATTTGGTTGGTTTAGAATTACCCATTAAGGTCTTGGCGTGTTGTAACAGCCAGTGAGCACCCATCTCTGCCTGGACGCAATAACATGTTACCACAATCAGGGTGTCTTTCCAAAAGCACTTCTGCCTCTGTTCGCGAAACTGGTCGAAAGCACCTGTGTGGCACAAACTAGAGTATAGCTTCTGACTTTAATTATTATGGACCTTAAATAGTAATGGCACTTACGCTGGGATCTCTCCAACTAAAGGCACTGAGAGGGGAGATGGAGGAGCTCGTGTTGGGGTACGAGTTCTACGTCTGGATCTTTCTTTCTCCACAACTTCTTTAAGCATTTGCAGCTGACCAGGTAGCAATGTTAGACAAGATGGTACATTCAACTAAATAAAAATAAGAAAAAAACAGGGTCTAGGACTGAGTTAAACAATTTACAAAGAACAGAAAAGAAAAAGCAATAAACATACATCTATAACAGAGTAAAGGAATCCTTTCCAAAGCTCTCTGGATTCCAAATTGGGGGCCTAGAAAACACATGTTATTAAGTTGCCTACACATAAATGAATGAAGTCCAGTGGTTTTGGTATATTAATTACCGTAAGTTTGGTCTCCCCATCCTTCATCCTCAGGATAAGACGAGCTGCCTCCAGGTTCCTGTCACGGCCGCAGTCATCCTTCAGAGACACAAATCCACCAAGGTCCAACTTCTCTACATACTGCAGCATACAAGAGCATTTACAGACAAGCGGAAATCTATGCAGCTAAAGATAATGTAACCATGTGATTTATTGGAAACTTACATGAGTGTCCTTGGCATTATTGAAGAAATACAGAGTGTTTCCACACAGGCAGGTCCACAGACGCTTGGACGCCTATAGCACACATCATCAGAGAAAAACATAAGGCGATGTGGATAGTGGTGTCATTGTTAAGACTTGTGAAATGGATAGTATCATTTTTATGGTCCCATGAGATAAACCATACAACGTCTGCCGCCAGTCGGTGACTGTATTGCACCAGCATCCAGCACCTGAGCAAAGCTCCAGTTAAAAAAGTCTTGTGAAATTAGTTATTTGAAAATAAATCAATGAATTACAGATAATAGTTTATAACAAAACATGAAATTCGGCTGCTGTTTGATATAATCAACATTGACAAGTTGGTCAGTGGTGGATCCTATCATTGTTGCAATTCGTGCTTAAAATGAGAGGCTTGATAATTACACTGCAAAAGCGATAATGTGGATGTAAAAATCCAGCGCAAAGGCACTGAACAGGCGCCTCGCCCATTCTCACACAATGAGGAAGTTGACAGCTCAGTGGGAATGGGGGATCAGCCGGCACGATGAACCTGCACCGACCACCAGTCTACAAGGCACACTGCAACATGACACTCGGTCCATGCTCACCGTTCCGACATACCTTTTCTTTCGGTCCACGCTTCTCTAGGTAGCCTTCATAATAGCAGGGCGGGAGCTGCGCCCGGGGTCCTCCTGGCCCGGAGCGCTGTTTGACGGGTGCTGCCGCCATGAGTGTCGCGGGCTGGGCATCCACCGAGGACAAAGGGGCGCTGAGTAATTCAGGGAGTGACACGCCTTCCCCGATGAGATAGAGCTGTGGTTATAATCTTGGCTGTAATACAGCTGGATGGTGTAGGCTGTTTCAGAGGGGCTCATTCACATTAATGGCTGAAGAACCGCAATTTATTAAACTCAAATCATTCACATAAATCAGGAAAATGTATAAACCTACCTGAGTTGAAATGCGGTTGATCATTTAACCCGTTAATAATAACAGCATGTCTTATCTGATAATAGGCTATGCAACGGTATGAATGAAACAGTCTTTTAAGTGTAATGTAAATTGCAATGTTTATTTGAACAAAAATAATAAACTCAGTCCCATTTACAATAAAATTATTATATTACACATTAAGTAGAGGTAATCTGTATATTCAGATCAGATAATCCAGAATAATCCCTTGTCTCTCCAGCATCACTGCAACAAAGGAAGTAAACTGAGACTGGGTGCCGTGAAGACACATGCAAAGCGAGTTTACATTTCATATAATTTGATTTGCGCAAAAAGGGAAAAGGTTAGAGCTAAACACTTAATTTGTTTAACCCTCACGCTCTCCTTGGGGTCACATTTTCCCTTCCCGCTCTCTTTGAAAATTTATTTTCAAATACATTTTTGGGTCTGATTGACCCGCCCCAAGAGAGCGGGAAGGAAAAAAAAATTCTTCCAGTCAATGTGACCCCGAGGAGAGCGTGAGGGTTAAATAGGTCATCATTAGGCTATTCCTTATTTTAGTGTTATAGTAAATTACAATTGCATCTTTCAGACAACTATTTTAACCATGGCAGCAGCAGAGATAAACTGATCTTATCCCTTTTGTTCAGCAGCGCTTTCCATCAATATTATACAAGGTGGGTAACAGCCAAAGCTGAGCCCCTGCTGCCCTCACACTCCCTTCTATAACTCTTTTCTTTTGATTTAGTGTAATGAGGCATGTAAAAGTACACCTGAACCACAGCAACGATTTGGTATGAGAGCCAATGCCCTGACCCAAAACACAGTCACACAGTCACCAAACCGGATCTTATGCAAGCATACCAAGAAAGAGGTAATTTTGGAGATGAACCAATGTGGCTGAGCTCCCAAAGCACCATGGGACAGAGATGGGTATAATAATGAGAAAGGGGTTAGGGGTATAGAGGCAGGTGCTGAATAAAAACTAGTGGGGGAGGGCATAATCTACTGCTCTGGGCCCTCCTTTGCTCAAAGGGCCTGTCTGTTCCGCTTCTGGTGTGAACAGTGATGTGTGGGATGAGTGGGATGGGAGGAAGCCTAACAAGAATCTTATGACAACTGAACAGAGATACGTTTTCAAAAAGAGGAATAAAACTCTCATCCCGCATCTTTGTACGGCTTTATCAGACGTGAAATCCACTATACTGAGCCTTTTGAAAGAGTTGTCACTCACAATTTATTCCTCAAACAATGGCAAAAACAGTTTATGCTTTAAAATATGTGATATTTCTGTGCCTGAAACTACACTGGAAACACTGTGGCAGTATCCAAGCCTGAGTAAATAGCTTTGGTCTTGCACTTCATTCACTTGTATATATTTTTTAAAATGTAGCATATAAAATTAAAGCTAATTTATTTATTGTATACAAAACACCACCAGATGGCAGCATATGATCGCTATAAGCAGACAAAATTGTTCAAGCAGCATAAAGATATAAATAGTGTTTAGAAAAATGCATACACATGTAGTACCAGTATTCTCAGGAGGCACATTATCCTAACACAAACATTTCAATTATATTTGAAATGCATATGTTTAAGTTTTTCTTTCTTAATGACAAAAACAGGGTTCCTGTAGCACAATTCTTAAATGTAAAACTGCACTACATGGCGGTGACATCATGTGTGGTGTGTTGTCATGATTAACTTAAAAAAAAAACAGCTCTTTGGGAGTGTCATAAACACATAGTGTACAAAGTACATTATAATAGTATATATATATATATATATATATATATATAATATATATATATATTATATATATAAATAATAGTATAATGTGTCTTGGCAAGTGGAAACAAATGAACAAGCCTGGTATGTTTAAATTCATCTGTATATAACAATTCCACGTTTATCAAGAATGGTCCCACTTAAATTGATCCCTGCTTTTAGATCACTACTTTACTATCTTCCCTAATGATATGATGATTTTTGTGTCCAAGTCCTTGCTCCTTGATCATAAACCTTGTTTGTTTGTGCTGTCAACATTACAGTGGCACCAATATTTGGACATAGTTTATTGGAAAGTACCCTGTTCTCCCATGAAGTGTCCCTTCTAACCAGTTCTCATCAATTTGATTGGTCAAGATGATGACGTCGCCTTCTTGAAAGCCAAGCTCTCCATCATTTTCTGGTTCAAAGTCAAACAGGGCTTTACAGGATGGCTGAGCTGCAAACAAAGACACAAAGACAAAATACAAAAATGAAACTTTTGGGGGGAAAAATAAATCTCTGTGATAAATTAGTCAACCAAACCCATTATGCTAATTTGAACAGGGCAGCAAATCTAAACTGTTGTTGCACTTATCTAGAGCTCAAGAACAAGTATATCCAAGTTTGTTTACAATATTTTCTATGCGAAATTTGTGCAGGTATGGCCCATGGCTATGGCAGATAGATGCAGGCCCTGGACACACTTGTATCTTGTTCTAGAGAAGCAGATTCTTCAAACAGTTAAAAGCAGTGGACATGTAAACTAAATCCTCTATAGCTCAGCTCCCTTATTTAGTTTTTTCAGTAATGTTAAGTGCTAGCTTGTTGCAGACATGCTACACTTACTGGATGACCCAAGCCTGTTCAGTTCCAACAATACTGTGCAAAAATCTTTAAGAACCATGAACAAAGCAGTCTATATTTTTTATGTTTGTACATTCACAACTGTCAAAACAAGAAGTGACATTACTATAACAATAGTGTTATGGAATATTAAATAATTAATGCAGAGCCCTATGGATGTTACCAATGAGGACTCACAGCATTTTCTAAGGTCCAAAACATTTGCACAGTACTGTGTTTAACAATGATGCATAAGAGAGCGAGAGCCCAATAAGCAAAGAGTCCTGTTCCTATATATTTCACTCACGTGGTCTGCTCTTGACTGATGTTCTTTGGAAGGATGGAGGACCTGGATATTGAACTAGAGCTAATTAATGTCACAAAATGAAACAAAAGTAGCCATAATGAAGTCAAAGGCTCTCCATCAGGGCCTTTCACACTGTAATCTGAGCGCAAACAACGTGAGGTTTACCTGGAGAGTATACAGGAGGGGGGCTGGATGCAGCTGATGAGTAGCCACCATTGGAGTTATTCATCTCACCATAATCAAAGGAGGGCCTTGGTTTTGGTGTGTATTCACGTCTTGGTCGCATCGAAGCCTCCTCCATCCTGTTTAAAATGCATGTTTATTTATTTATTATTACTGTTAAAAACATTCATTTTTTACATTTTTCATTTTTCACATTCAGTGTTTTAAAAGATTTTTAACCATCACTCTTACATTGTATTGTATCAGCCTTCATAACCAGTACACAGCAGATTCTCAGCATCACTGACCTTTCTGTGAGCTGCTTTTGGAGGCTTTCCAAGATCTCTGTGGCCCCCCTGTGGTACTGCAGCAGAGACTCCACAAAGAACTTCAGCTGACTCACCTGCTCCACCTACACACAAACACACTATTTACAGCTAAAAGAGACTTATGTTACGACAGCATTTATTTATGTTGGTGTGTCTGTATCCATTTCACCATGTAACATTAAACAAATGTATGGTATGTTCATGTAACTTCGAGCTTGCATTTTTAGGGAAAATAAAAAACAAACAAAACTGGTTTAACAACTTCTTGTTTTGCATGTGACTGTAAGCAGCAACAAGGTGTGTCAGCCAACACAAGCTCCCCTGAAGATAAGAAGATTTATGAAAAAAAAAAAGAAAAAAAAAAAAACTAAACAGCGAACAACATGAACTGAACATGCGTAACAGCAGTAAGGAAATCTGTTCCTTCAATTACTTAAAAAGCATTTCAAATGGAACTGCTGGCAACTGCTGGCAAGGGACCCAATGTTTTAACATTAACTGAGGGTACTGACTTCAACAGTTATGTTGCGGCTTGAAACAGTGAAGTCTATACGCTGCATCTTATTATGTAAAATGAGCTTGTGATTGTGACATAGCATTATGGAATGGAATGGTAAGATGCTAAATGCTAAACACAGAGTTCATTCACATGTTTTCCGACACTATAGAGTGATAGATGTATTTACCAGTGGTGACCAAGCAATTTATCTGGTTGTTCCACTACATTTTTGTTTACTTTTCTAATGTTGTTTTGACTAATCGCTCTATGACAGTTTTACAGCCAGAAACAAGCTGGATTTCTATGGTAACAGTTGTTGACATTACTTCCCAAACTCTGTTTAAAGAAATCTTAAACTCTGTTTAAAGAAATCCTATTTCTTTAAACGTAAGATTTAAAAAAAATCTTATTTCACAATTTAAACACATTTCTTTAGGTTTTGGCCTATATTACTTTGATAATAACATTATAGCAGGTACTAATTATTAGGAATAAATATCAGTGTTTGAGCATAGAGCTTCATTAAACAGAGGCACTGAATCAAGATAGTTAATTAATTAATTATTGCATTTATAGAGCGCCTTTCAAGATACCCAAAGCACTTTACAGTTCATTATTCATTCAATCAACACTCAGTGGTGGTAAGCTACTACTGTAGCCACAGCTGCCCTGGGGTAGACTGACGGAAGCGAGGCTGCCAATCTGCACCATCGCCCTCTCCATCCACCACCATCTCTTACGCACACACCACTTTCATACTAGGCAATGCAGGTAAGGACACAGCGACAGTTTTGCGACTGGTGCCCCACTGTGGCACATGGAATTCCCAGTGGTCTCCCATCCAATCTGACGAGATCAGGCTTTGATAAGGCGGTATGGCCACATAAGAAAATTTCATCAAATTAGCAGATTGTCAAAGTCGCAAATGTAACTGTCGTATCACCAAGCACTATCACGCACATAAAGTTATAATGAGACACCTTGAGCCTTTCACCACGACCAAATCAGTACTTAGAGAATTTATTCAAAATGTAGCTGTTTGTAACTGAATGTCTGCTAAATAACTGATCTAAATGTAGTCTAAGCATAAAAAGCGCCCTGTGTGCTGTAGTCAGGGTTACCAATGACTCACATCAGTTTCAAGGAGGTTGTGCATGGACTTCTCAGCCAATTCTTTAGACTCGTGGAATTTATCCAGGGCTTGCCTCAGCTCCTCATCAGGTATCTTGCCTTGACGTTTCTTTTTATAGTCATAGTCCAGTCGCCGGCCTTCCAACTTTTTCAAGTGAAACTGTGGAATTTTAAAAAAAAAGATGTGAAGTGAATAACCAGTCACAAACCTTTTTCTTGTTAATAATAATAATAATAATAATAATAATCATCATCATCATCATCATCAAACACATAAAAAGCAGTGGGAACAATAGACAATGCAAAGAGGCATTGATGTTTAATAAGTAACTAATTAAAAGGCCAATTTTTAAAGAGTATTTTAAGCTCCGATGCCTGAAGGTGGTGTATTCTACAGTGTTGATGTGTAAATTATGAAAGTAGCATCTTCTGGGTTGTTATGGTAATTTAACATATTGGAGATGTAGGGTGGTGTTTGACCATGAAGTGCTTTAAAGAGATTGAAAAACAATTCTAAAAACAACAGGGATCCAGTATAGGCTAAAACTGTTGTAATGAGTGCATATTTGAAGGGTGGGTAAAAGGTGTGCAGTTGAATTTGGAATAAACTGCAGTATGATGGTGGCCAGACAGACTCCATCCTAGTAAACCCTAGTAAACACTAGTAAAGAGTAACTTTGTCTCTACCTGAATGTCTTTGATATCCTTTTCTGCAATTGCTTGCAGTGGATCAAGAAAGTTGTGCTTTACATCAATGTCCAAGGAATCCTTGACCTCTGCCATCCTCTTCATTGCATCTCCAAAGTCTTTGAGGGCACCTCCTGAATTAACACATTCAGGACACCAGCATGAACAGATGTAAGGTATAAGGTATAGTGTTCATATTCCCAACGGGTTCATAGATGTGAAACGCTAACATAAGCAAATGGTTAATAACTACTGTAAATACAACATCTAGCTAGTGTCTTCTCTCACCAAAATTACTGTTATTGCCCATCTCTTCTCCATATTTAATCATGCAGTCGCCCAGCAGCCCTTCAGGCTGAATGTACCCAGTGTTTGGGTCCTGCCCTCGTATCTTCGACACCGTGTTTAGCATTGTCAGCTTTGCTCTTGTAGCAGGATTTGGCTGTAGATACTCAGAGGTTTTATTCATGACGTCAACCACTGCTTTGCTAGTAATATCAGATTTCTGAAAAAAAGTGAATCAATTAATTCAAAATGACAAATACAACACTACAACACACACACTAATTTTATATATATATATATATATATATATATATATATATATATATATATATATATCTTTTTAAATTAACTGACTCTCAAGAGATCTTGGAAATCTTCTTCCAGTTTGGTTCCCTCTGCTCCACCAACTTTCTCACTCATCATCTGAATAAAAATAAAATAGTCAGTATTACTGATTACTGTGATGTTATTATGCACATTTTTATTTTAGGATTATTGATGTTCAATTCCATTCACTTTGAAGCAATTAAATGTTACATGCAATACGAAATTGCATAAACCCATGCGTGTATAGTATAAGTATATCAACTATGTTTTTCTTTCATTTGGAATATTCTGGAACATAAAACAGGGCCAGCAGGTGACGTCTTTGTTATTTCTATGATGTCCAAATGTCCACTCCATACAGTACCACTATGTTCACATCCGACAGCGTTTACACTATCCACACCAACTGATGTTGATAATACATTCTTACCAATTAAGTAATACAATGAGAGTGACATTTTTCACATTGTTAGGAACCTAGTAATCAAGACTGTTGAAAACTGTACAGTTTATATACACAATACTGTAACCATGTTACTCGTCTTGTAACTTTCAGTCAGACTGATATATGATTTTATTAAATCATGTATTTATCTGTGCACTGTACAGCAAGAGTTTTATCTGATATCATTGTTGTGTAAGGCTAAGCCATATGACACTGACACTATGACACATTTTCAGTATTGATCATCCATGTTTTGTTTTTATGTGACAGGAACTGGTTAGGGCAGTTATTGAGTTGAGTTATTCAAAAAAACAAATTCCACTCTAATGTACACGCCCAACATCAGGACCAGAAGGCATCCACTTTAAACACACACTATATACACTATATACACTATATTATACTATTCTACTCAAAGTAGCCCTGTTGATTTGACTGTAAATGTTTGCCTCAGCGCAGCAGCAGAAAAGAAACTGATATAGTACCATAGCTTATTGTTAAAGTGTTAAAATGTACCTATACGGAATATATTTAAGGCGAACAGCAGTTTCTGTGTGTTTTTTTTTTTAATGCTATAAAATACACGGGTCATTAAGGCTTTACTAAGAACTGTAGCTTTGACTAACTTGGGTAGCTGTTGCTGTGGAAGTTAACAGGCTAGTAGTTAAGCTAGCAAGGAGCTAATCTTTAAAAAGAAGCGCGTTACCTGAGTCGCTTTATAGATCTGCTTCTTAAATCCGGCGACTGACATCTTGCAGTCTTTATGGTAAACACGTTTAGGCGAATTTCTCCTCAAAGTTGTGTTACACGTAGGCCAAACAGAAGTGAAGCAGTGCGTCTTCACTTTGCACCGCGGAACTCGCCAATAACCACAATTTCCTGGACTCAACTTCATGTGGGAGGCTCCAACGCGCTCTCCAAAGTGGGTCACAAAGCACATTTGTCTGTGAGTAAGGACGGCCTTTACGTTTATATCTCTCTGCATTTTCAGATAAACTTTATTAAAGGGCTATGCGTCGCTTTATGCAACTTTAAACCAGATGTATTGCCACTTGTCTTATGGCTAACCACAGTGTATGATGTGTACAGGTAAACTAGTCAACCCCATGTAAAAAGACATTTAACTTATTTTTCTACGTTTTTTGGTTTTGCTTTTTTAATAAGACAAGTACTCCTGTAGAATCGATTCAAAAGAAAAAGAAACCATTTATTACATTCTTAAAACCACATATATGTATCCTGTTGGACGACAATATAATATAAACGTGTGACTCCTGGGCTTGTAATATAGCCTACCTCTTGTACATTTTGTGATACAGTAAGAAGAGGGAGACAAACTATTCTTTGATGTGTTTCTTAACCTTTCAATAAAAAAATCTTTGACTTTACAAGACAAAGTGGTGACACATAAAGAGAATTGTGGATATAAGACTGACAAAAAAATGAAAATCACAGCAAAACAAACAGTAAACTCCAAAACTGAAATTTATCATGAACTCTAAGTGATTTATTTTTTTATTCCTATTTCTCGTAAATTTCATTTACAATATTAGGACAAGAGGAAAAGGGCTTTGACACTTTGTGAGTAACATTCACAAAAATAGAGCTTACGTCCACAGTGATTATGGTTATGGGTCTCATCTTAGGTGCAAAAGGTGTGAAAAGTACAAGGCTAAAGACGACACTGGTTATAAAGGGACAGGATCACAGCTAGCTCCCTGAGAGGCAAGCAGCAGGTCCGAGGAGTCTGCTCTCAACATCACAGCACTCAGGTAAGACATCATAATCATCTCATAACTTTCCAAAAGTGAGTTATCTGTGTATGTTACATGTGTACAGCTGAAGGACAAATGCAGAATCAAAAAAACAAAGGATTTACTCAAGTCTTACTGGCATTGATGCCCAACCCAGGGGGCCGCTGGTAACTCTGTCTTGTGAAGTGTCCACTGAGAAAGAGGAGTACAATAAGTGCTTTTTCTTCTGGCGAGTGTTGGGTTTAAGGAAGAGGAACAGCAAATGTACATAAAAATACAGTTGCTCCAACCAGCTTGGAGGGTTTATAGACTGGTTTGTTATGGCAACAGAAACAATATAAGTGACATACTGTTTTACCACACTGATGTAACTGAGTGCTGGTTAGAGACTAGCAGGAGAAGCCGTCTTTTCACATCAACTCAACAGTCCATGGAGTCCTGCCCTTTTTGTCTTCTTACCACTGGGGGCAGCAGTGATGCAGTCATTCAAAGCTTGTTTTTTTTTTTGATGCAAGACAACAGATTGTCTTGGCTGCATAATACCCCACTCCACTGTCTCACAAATGTCCACCCAAGTGTTTTGCTTTGCCCTGCTGGGTCACCCTCAGGATAAGAGGGGTTGTTGCCATAGAAACCTGAGAGTACTGTCAGACAGGAAAGTAGTCCATAAAAGCAATAGTCCACAAAATCATCATTCTTGATCCGTCTTGGTTTCTCTATCTCACTATTTGCTTTTCTCTGCGCTCCACTCTGAAATCACACAAACTAACTCTCTCCATATACTTATATATAATCATTTATTTACATTCTTACTTAAAATATTTGTTTATAAATGTGTATATAAATTAAAGTTAATTTCATTTTGTCCTGTCTCTAAGTGGCATTTACAAGGGTAGGGGTATGCGGGACTGAGGTTTCTCATTGCATTACAAGAGCCTACAAAAAGGCAGCACCAAACACTGTTTCATTTTTAGCGAGCTTGAATCAGCCTGAGCCGTGTGTCAAACCATAACTGTATTACCTAAAGAATAATGAGTAAATATTGGTCCCTATGGTGGTCGATATAAGGTAATTGTTGCATGGCTGCCATATTTTGCAATAACAAAACACTTTGTAAATTTGTGAAGTTCAGGTTTGGTACATTCACGGTTAGTGTAATCTGACATGCCCACTGGTGCTGCTTATGTCTGAGGTACATTCAAATGGTTGATCTGCAGTGGATCAGAGCTTGGAGCTGTCTAGTGCTATAAAGGGCTATATATTATTATACACATGCCCATTGACTTATTGTTAGTGCTACATTGCAGAGGACCGAGAGTTTATGTGGTCTGTAGTGTAAGGTGCTTTTGCCTGCTGGGAAAGTGAAGGACTACTTTGGGATCAAAGGAGAAGGAGTTTTTAAAGTCCTGGATTGTCTCTGTACTGCTGGTTGTTTAACTTCAACATCTATGTCCTTCTCTGCTTCACCTCGCCTCACTACCACTTCTTAATACACTTTCAGCTCTAGTTGTGCATCTAGCAGTCCGTAGAGTCTGGCAGCGACATCTCGCTACCAAACACTTCCCGGTAAAGTGGTGGGAAATTGTAGGCGGTCTCTGGGTGGACCAATCGAAAAAACTCCAGTTTGTCAATGTGGAGGTTACAGATGGACTTCATTATAGGCAGTTTAGACACCATCTTAAAGAAGAGGAAAAGCAAATTATTTACTTAAAAACTGTGCTCTAAATATCTGTCAATAAGAAGCCAGTGCCACTAGTTACAGCCCCTTCTTACCTTATCCAGTTTTTCATCAGGGGCTCCACTTTTGTTTAGACTATGCTGCAGGGCAAGGTAGACTTTCTCCTGAAGTTTCTGAACCTTTTGGCCTTCTGACAACCAAGGTCGGTCTAAAGGAGATGCAGCAAGAAACATATAGATAAATATTAAAGAAAGAAAGAATAGCACACATAAAACATACAATGATTATACATTTACTGTTGACTTTTCAGTTAATTTCTATGTACACATTTACTGTAGATTGATTCAAATTTTTTGCAATTTCCAAAAGACCCTTAGTTGATATAATGTACGACTTTTGTAACATGAAGGAGCCAACACTTCTTGGTCAACTTTTTATTCTTATGTAAATTAAAGGCAATAAGAGGAACAGAAATTACCTGGTGATAAGAGAACAGCTGCACTAAACAAAGCCATTTCTTCATCGGACAACTGTAGACGGCACAGTCCTTTACCAAGGTCAAAAACGGCACTGACCAGATCATCACAACCTGTGCAAAAACAAAATAAGATTCAGTTATTCTGTAATTAACTTGTTTAGAATAAGATTTTATAACTGAAAATCCACTGAAATGCTATTGCTCTTCCCTGTCACTGCGTTACTAATAACTAAAGGACTACTACCTAGTTAGACGTATAGTTACGTAATTATGGCAAACTACAAGCACTTTTATTTATATATATATATATATATATATATATATATATATATATATATATATATATATATATATATATACACACACACACACCAGTATATGATATAATTTGTTTTACCAACTTTTTGTTCAGCTTATGTTTAGACTATGGGGGTAAAAATAGGCAGTAGGGGGCACCATATTCTCCTCTACAAATGGGAAACAGACTAAAAAGAGATAATAGATAAACTACATAATTTGACTTTGTAGGGCATCATGGCATCTGTAAGCTGTCAGTACTAGTAGCTTTAATAGTGTAACTATATACACGCCCTCACCAAGTGCTTTGAAGAAGTGTGCTGGGGCGAACTTCCCGTTGAAGAAGATAGTGCTGTTGTTGACATTGAAGGCTCGACACATGCGGATGAGGAGCACCTCCAGGCAGCCTGAAAGGGGAGTCACAGATAGAGGCAAAGACGTGGAGAGATGGAGAGATAGAAGAAGAAGAGCAGAGGGACGAAGGGACACAGAACGCCCAAGATACTCCAACATGCACACAATACAACACAACAAAATGTAAATAATTTTGACCCAGATTGGAGCATATATTAGACATTTTTGAACAGATTAAAAAATTGACAAATAACCGAATATTAAGTATATCCGTCAAGTTTTGTTCAGTTCAAAGCATTTGTGGTAAGTAAACGCATTGTCAGATATATGCAGTTCATACATTATTTTAAGTTTTTAAATAATGTTTTTAGCCAGTTTAAAAAAAAATAAAAGATGGTTTAAATAGGTGTAGGTAGAAGGTTGGAGACAAAACAGAAGGGAGCTTAAGTTAGCATATTTGAACTTAGTTGACTTAATGCAAGTATACAGTTATTAAAGTAATAAGACAATACAACTTCAGAATATGCACTGACCTGCTTTGAGGAGAATAATCTGATCATTCTGACACAGGTCCATAAAGCCAGCAATGCGCTTGGCAAACTCTACCACATACTGGATAGCATTAGTAATGTGGTGTGCGCATTGTTGCCACATCCATTCCGCTGACTAGAGAAATAACAGAAACATACAAAGAAGCATCATTAGTAGGACTTTTGTATTTTCACTTTCAAGGTCACTTTTAAGAACATTATCTACCTTGTTCTGGAAATTCCGTGCCTCCTCAGGTGTATATTGCACCCAGGTGAACCTTTTCATGTCCTCAGCACTGTACTGGCATGTCTCCAAGTGGGACTTTACAATGCTCTGAGTGATTCGCTCTGTGAAGAACCAAATAAGCACACTGATGATTGTCACATAGTGGATACGAAAAAGGCCTGCTCAGATATAAGCTCTGCTGTCAACTCCAGGTTATTGCACGTTAAGGACAGCATTTATTGTCCCCATAGGAAAAAGTGTCCTCTGCACTGACCCATCCTTCAATGCCGCTGGGTAACCTGTAAGGAGCAGTGGGCACAGCAGTGCAGTGCTTGGGGACCCATCTCCAGATCTTGAGCAATTTTTGATCAGAACTACCTTAGCTAGAGGATTTATTGTGCTTGATTTTGGTTGATGGGGGAAACCGGAGTGCCAGCAGGAAAAACAAACCAGGCACTGGGAGACACATGCAAACTCCATGCAAGCTCTCTCTGCATTCATACTTCAAAATAAACATTTACTCAGAAGGCAAGATACCATAGATACCGCTCCATATAGTTTGTCAAGGTCTCACTATCTCATCAGTCATCACTTACACAGCCTTGGAGTGACAGTTTAGTTTTATACCTAGAGTTATTCCCATCAGTTTCTTTTCTACCATTTATTCAAGGCTTTTTTATGAATCAAGAGTGGTTTTCAGTCAGTGCCCTTTTGCTTGTCTTCACTTATGTCAAAGCTCTAATTAATGTGTCACTTTGCAGTTTACGTTTTGCCTTGATGCCTCATCCATCAAAAGCAGCATGGTATTTGATACAAATGTCACAAAACATCAGACAAGTCTCCAGCTTCTCTTTACAGAGAGGGGCAGTGAGCCACAGCTAATTATTTGCAACACGTTATTTACAACATGCTGTACACCACACTTTAGCACTACATTGATTTATCGAACTCCTGAACATCGGAATCAAAAATAGCCTTGGAGTATAATGGAAAAAGCAAATCATTAATCCACTGTGGTTGTACATAATTAATACATTTTGCAAGTTTTGGTGATTTCCACATTTCCTTACTGTAAACAGTATTAGCCACCAAGTGGATTTTGGTCTTTAAGCATCTCTTAAAGAATTGGTCAAGAGGTCGCCAGATTTTCACAATCAACCCTTGGCACTCTTGTCCACCTATTCCCACTCACCGAGGTCTGCTATTGAGCAGTCGTCTGGCAGACTGTCCAGCAGTGAATGAGAGTGTTGGATCCCGTTGCTGTCTGGGCCGTCCAGTATGGTCTGCTGCGGAGAGTTCTGATTGGACAGGGACGAGGAAGAGGATGACGCTGAGGAGGAGTTGGAAGTATTGCCTGTACTAGCCCCGCCTCCTCCGCCCAGCAGCTCCAGGCTGCAGTACTGGCTGGCCTCCTCAGGCGTCAGCGGCAGGTCAAAGAGGTCTGGCAGCGCCGCAATGTCGTCCAGGTCACTGAGAGTAGAGCTGGAGCCTCCACTGCTGTAGGAGCGGCTCAGACCCTCTTCACCGTCCTCGCCTGCACTGCTGCAGACGCCCTCCTCTCTGGGTAAAGACAGAGCAGTGGACCCTGCTCCTCCAGACCCGCTACATTCCTGCGACTTCTGGTGCTTCTGGACCTCGGCGTACAAACTGTCACGTTGCTTCTTTGACATGCGTCCAAACTTCACCGCTGTTGAGAGCAATGACAAATTCAAATTAAATATACCTTTCTTATAATTTTCCCTTTAGTTAAAATACATTATTATTATAATATTATTTTGAACATTTCTGTGTTTGCTTTATCAGTCATAGAATTTAGTTTTCAGAATACTTAATGTGCATCTGTTCACAACAACTGATATGAGACACTGAAATTCATGAGAATCAGCTTTTCAGTTAGGGTTATAAACTAACTTGGCAACACTGGAAATATGTCATTCTAGAGCAATGGAGCATAAAGTCACTGCAAATATTAGTCGTCTTTACCATCTCGACTCATGCCCAAAGCCAGACACTTCTGGAGACGGCAGTGCTGGCAGCGATTACGGTTAGTTCGGTCAATGACACAGTTCCTTTGCCTGGAACATGAGTACATTGCGTTGTTTTGCTGACTGCGACGGAAGAAACCCTAAGCATAAACACAAGAATAATGAAAAAAATTTGATGCTTTTTGAACAATAGTTACATTCAAATTTCTTTCTTGTCTTTTTCTTACCTTACAGCCTTCACAGGTGATGACTCCATAGTGGATTCCTGAGGATTTGTCCCCACAGATCTTACAGGGGATGACCTCAATCTGGGCTGTAAGTATAAAACACAAAAAATACACAGTTACTTATTACAATGTATTCATCACCATGTTATATGATAGAATATGACCTGATCTAATGTCACCAAGGTTTCCAAGCACATGGATTCTGAAGCTCAATTATTCAGTATCTTTTACTTTTCTTCACTTACAGCCTCTTATCGAAATCATGGCCGTTGTTATCTGTCGTGGCCTTGCAAAGGTCACGATGCTTTTATCTCATCACAGTCAGACTTCTGACACTCTGTGTACTTAAGGCTTTATTATTAGAAAGCCACGTCCTGAAGTCTTTTGACCAAGTACCTCCCTCTGTTAGACCTAAAGTGTCATGTTTTCTTCATCCTCTTCTTTGAACCTCCCACTGAGAGATGGTCCCATTTATGAGTGTTCCTTGAGTGAGTGCGGTCATGGGTCCATTTGAGTCACCTTAGTCATGTTCTTCAGATAGGGACAGAGCTCATTTTTGTCATTTTGACAAAAATGAGCTCTGTCCCTACCTGTGAGTAATAACAGTATCTCTTTCAACAAGTTTTTGATATCAGTTCCTTCTAGTTTGAAAACAGTGCTTTTTCTTTGCGCATAACATATTTTTTACATTCATTGAACACATCTTGAGCCTTTAAGATACAACAAAGCATACTGTAAACATTTTGAATGTTATCTTTTCTAGAACTTGATTACCTTGATCTTCATAACATGATCAGGCTATGAACTCTTAAGTGCCCAGTGTGGCCCCCATAGTGAGTACACAGTGTACAAACAGATAGACAATCACATGACAGCTGCACATGCAAACACAGGCCCTGCCTCTACTGACCTATTACAAAGCAACCATATCACTGATTAATGTTGCTCTTACTTAAGACTTTTTAAAATGTATTTGCTCAAACTAATGTAAGTATAGGGCAATTTAAACTGTCTGGAATCAGAATGGCATTGTTCTGTGGTTAAGAAGTGAAATAATCATTTCCATTACGTTTCCATCTTATAAAACAGCCATCTGTTTCTGAAAAGTGTTGACCAAAGGGCTCTAACTGATGAGGGCAGCTGCAGGCATGCAATGGAAAAATGGCTCCCTCACTTCTCTTCCTGTCTTTCTCTCAGGTTCCCCTGCCCCTCCCGCACCTCATGATTATATAACTCTTGTCTGCGAGCATTCCTCACAACACTCATTCAGCAAGCTCACTCTAGCAACACCAAGTCCCTGCCCTTCTTAGATTTCTGCCTTCCAATTGGCTGTACACTGCGCCGACTGTCTCTGCTATTGGCTGACTCACATGTCGCTCTGCTGCTGTAGCCTGTCAGCCCATGTGGACATTCTGTCCTACTGACACACTTTCCCACTGCAGGGGGAGAGGGAGGAGGGAGTCAGGCGCAATCCCGACTCACCGCAGACTAGTTTTAAGGTGGAACCACCAATGCACAGACTGCCTGTAAGACATTTCCCCAAAGGCTCATTGCCTGTATCTGGAATTTGGTTGTTACATAATAAGAATATTAACAGATTATTGTCAACATTCTCAAGTTCACCAGGTTTTACACAAGCTTAAAACACACACACTTCCACATAAACTATAGCTTGTTGTTCTTTGTATAATTTGACTCTTTTTTTTTCTGAGTCTGGCAGCTGGCAGCTGACCTCTGTGCACCCAGCAGAGAAGTTCTGGAGTGAATGTCAGTTATTCTGTGGCCACCCCTCTGCCCAGGCAGTGACACTGAGCTTCTGCTCTGGTCCAGTCTATTCTGGTCTTTGCTGCGAGACAGAATTACACAGATGCCCAAATGCCCCTGCTGCCACAACCACACAAACACCATGCCTCCTGCTTCTACACACATGTCCACCAACAGAAATAAGAAATGATGTCCTAATAACAATATCATCTTTAGTATGTCTTAAATCGGGCATAAAAAGGTCATTTACAGCAAGTCACTGAAGTAAAACACTGAAATACAGAATTCTGTATTATGTTCTCACGCTGGGAGTTGACATATTAACATAATTATTAATCTTAAACACTGCTGAATGTCTCTGTTGACTACAACATTAGTTTCAACAGTCTGGCCTCTGCCCCCTTGGTGTAAATTCCTAGAGCAAAAACCAACTAAGCATTTGAATTTTTCTCTGTCTTCTTGAGCTAAGACCACAAATATTCAAAAAGTTTATAAAAACAGACATTTTTGCTGAGGAGAATATTTATATAGTTAGCATGCCACACCCAAAACATTTCACATGAGGTGGGCACTTTATGGTTCACATGTAGAGCCCTGTACAATCAGACAGATTTACTGTTGCCTGTACCTGCTCTCTGAACAAAAGGCTAATTCAGGAAAGGTGTGGCAGCACGAAACTCAAAGAAATCACGTTATGTCTCTGTAACTCTCTAGAGCTCAGTGTCTTAAGAGGCAGTATGTTAGTGTGTCAAGAGAGGAAACCTTCGACCCTTCACATTCTCACTAAGTGTTCAGTTTATGTCATCTCCATAGCCTTGGTACATAATGTTGCTAAGTGTATAGCACTGGTTAAAAAACAAGGTGTTCTTATTTGCTTATTACACAAGTGTAGTTAGTATTAGCCTCCAGCAACAGGTTAATGGCACCTATTGTTGTATGTTGAGTTCATTCTCTTGTCATTAAAAAGACTGACAGTTTGACATGTTACACTGGGCACTTGTTAAGTCATGCCTGCACTGTTGGGTGTAGGTTCAAGGAGATGCAAGAGCCATTTATCCTCTTACTAGTTGTTTTCAAAGAATTCTGATGACTGAAGACACTGGTCAACTGAATATGGTCTTCACCAATTCAATTAACATGATTCAGTAGAAAGTATGGGACAAAAAACAACAGTCAGAAACAAACTCATTTTCACATATCTAAGTTCAATTCTGAAATTGTATGTACTACTCATTTAATTAACTCTTACTATATTTAACACTGTCTTTAAAAGAATCATGTTACTAAGACTTATGAAACCTGGCTGGCCAGCTGCCACAGCATTCAAATCAAGAGCCTTTACTTTCAAAGATGCAAATACCAGCAGAGGCCAGGCTGGGGCCCTGGAAGGGGGATTAGGAGAGGACTAAGGAGTCCATGGGCCTCCTGTACAGGGGTTTGTCTGTGACAACAACTTGTCTTGTGATCCTTGACTCCATAAAAGCAGCTCTAATAAAGAGAATTTATTCAGTCCCAAGATCTCCGCTGGTCCTCGCCAATCAAGTCTGTAAGAATGACTCATTTCTACTGAATTAAACAAATGAAGACTAATGTGTGAAATCAAGCTCCACTTTTGCTGAGATTGTGTTTGTGCATTCTAATCAAGAAAGGACAGGTTGATTGAAAAACCTATGTTTGAGAACAGTGAGCTCAGACCAGGCCATAGTTTGTTTACATTTGGATATCCTGCCTGAGAGTTTGGCTCCCTCCCTCCACCAGAGCCCCCTTCAGTTATACCTCAAATATTCATCTCTTTCCTCCCTCTAACAGAACACTGTTCTCTGACTGATGAAGCTACTCCTCCTTAATATAAGATATGTTGTACTCTCTCATTCCAGTCTACAACATTCTCCAGGTATATTCTCTTATCTTATCTCTTATGCTTAGCATGTGATTTACAATTTAAGCAAAGAAATAAGGATAGGCTACATTAAATATGTGTTTTAATCATATAATTTATTCCATTCCTAGTGTAGTACCACCCCATCCCTCTTCTCAGCACATGGCAGTGCACGACATTCGGCATGGCGCTTCCAAATGCTGCCCCCCCCCTCCCGCCGCTACGAATGCTGTATAATGTTCGGTGACATAACTAGGTCAGTGGAACAGCCAGAACCTTTCTCCCTCTCTGCTCTCACACTGTTGGCCATGCGGGCACAATGTCACCATCACATAATAACGACAACACCACAACCTGCCCATAAATGTACACTATATTGTTTATGTGATAACTCTATTAAGGGATTTTATTTGAATGCTTAATTTAGACCCGAATTATGATGAATATGCAGGCTAATATTATTCTCATTACACAGTGCACACGTAAAAGTTATATTTTTAATACGTATAGGCTGGGCTCACTGGTAATTATGGTAGAAACTGTATCACTTTTGAGTACAATTATTTCTTGATTACATAATTCATGTTTTGGTTAACAACAACCTCCTCTTACGCTCCTCCCCTCCACGTTGCATAACACTATGGATCCCTTTGCAAATTTTACAGAAGCGGAGACTTTCTTGTAATATGAGGCATTTGTTCATAGATTTAAAACAAGGTTTCTAATCGCCATATCGCAAATTTGCGCATACAATTTTCACACACATTCAGCAAGCAAGTTAATAAACTAATAAAACCAGTGTAATAAATCATTCTGTAGTAAATTAATTTTCTAGTTATGTATGAGAGCACAATGTCTATACAACCACCGAAGCTCAGAGCCGCACTAATCCAGTCATGCGGGATTAATGCGCACTGGAGGAAAACAGGCGCACTCAGAACCCCATGCGCACACATGTGGTCATTCCAGCCACGGATTAAATGCACATGCACGCACCAAACACGGCATTTGAACGACAAGTTCAAGTAAACACGTATAGATTCAGGCCAAAATAATACGGACTTACCTCGCATGGTGGTATTTCGTTGTCTGTGGTTCCTTACAACGACGGGAACTACATGTGGTTGGCGATTACACGATACCGATAATAATTTTAAAAAAGCGTGCAAGGAACTGGTGTCAAGTAGACCAGAATATTAACTTCGCCCTGGCTGCAGGGCTGGAAAAAGAAGGGAAAAAAACTACTCTCAAAGTGTCCTTTATCGCTCGGTCAAGTCCAAGCGAAATAAAATGATCAAAAAAGACGTTTTCGCTCGCATGGTAACGCGCGTGGATCCGCCGCGATTGGATTTGGATGGATGTTGTTTTTTTTAATGAAATAGTCCCACGGTATTCGAGTGGTGCGCTCGGGCCCCCCTCAGTGCTGTGACTCTCCGTCCGTTCTTCTCCTCCTCAGTCTACCCTGCTAACCTACTTTCTCTAAGCGTGGAGTCTCACATGATCTCACTGCCGAAAGCTCCTCTCGAAGCAGCTCTCGGGAACGCGCGCACGGGAGCGAGTTTAAGGTGGATCAGCAGAGACTTGAGTTGCCCAACAAACTCGGGGAAATACACGGTCAATACTCACAATAAATAAGCAAAGGTGTGGTTACTTAATGCAGTTGGCAAGAGACTGTGTACCGATGTCTACCAATTTTCTGTCTTAGAAAATCATTCATAGATCCTTGGAGAACTTCAGCATGAGGAATTCATTTGTTGTCAACACTTTCCTCCATATTTTAATTACATAGTTTTGACTACAATATTTGTCATAACAGGTTATGCTGGTACCTTTAAGCCTGAGACTAAACTAACATTTACTAAGCAGTTAATGATCCTATACCTTTAATTTCTATTGGCCTACAGACCATGATTTTACTACCTAATAATAAACCCTTTACGCAAATGTCATATACATTTTACTTATTACAGGCAATAAGCCATAGCCACATTTTCAGCAACCAGTCACTCACTTTCTGTGTACTATTTTCATTCCAAATTCTTGTTGTATCAAACATCATAAGCGACAAAAGAAAAAAAACACTGTGAAGTAGGCCTCAAGATTTTGTTACTGCAATAAAAAATGTAAATGTTTTAATTTCTATATTTTGTCTTGTCTCAATACAATACAGCTTCACATATACAGCTGAACAGGCAGAAGAGTTATTGCAGGTCAGTTTAGTACAGGAAAGTCATGGCAGGATAAAACAACAGGCTGCTTCCAATTTTTTTTCTACATTTGCACTCCCATGGCCTTACAGAGTTGGACTCCTTTGATCAGCTCTTATTTTCTAACACTCTTGGATTATATAATTTGACAATATAGGGTTATTTTTGGCTGTTAAATCCCATATCTCATCTTTTTGTCTTATTAAACTGCAGCAGTTTTTGTGGTTGAATACATAGATTTGGATTATGCCATGTTCTTTGGACAGTGTGTGACTGTGGTCGCTGGTGAGAGGTGGGTGGATAAATGTGGTGTGAATGGGGAGGAGATGAAGGCGAAGGGGGGGGGGGTTTGAGCTGGAGAGGGGGACTTTTATGATGCAATGTTCTGGCAGCGGTGTTATGAAACACCGCCGAGGCAGAGATTACTCAAACTAGGTTAGTGGAGCAGCAGCGCACAGTGGCTACAGTCAGGCATTCTTTTTCCGTCTGCCTCTCACTTTTTATAGACTCTTACTGTCTTTTGTTTTTACTCTGCAGGCTCTTTTCCTTTCCACATAACTTTTGCTTACACACATAATAAACAAATTAATCTGTATTTATAGTTTTACTCAGTGCAGTCATATGAGCATAGAATGCATTCCTTCACACTACTTTTAAACACTTCCAGTAGAAGAGTTTTCCCTCCAATAACTTTCTTTATTCTCTTCTCAACACGACATGACCACTGGTACAGAAATGAACATCATAATCATATAAGATAAAAAAATATTTTCCGATATTTTTCATAATTTTCTCTAGTTTTTCTCTGGTTTACATTATGACCCACTCCTCTTGTCTCTCCCATAAAGCCCCTCTGTTCAGCGTCTCCCTTGACAACAGCGCTGACACTTTGACCTCAGCTCTTACGTAACTGCAGTTGAACCAAGAGAGAAAAGAGTGGAAGAGAGGAGGAGGTATGAAGCTGTTGGAGCAATACTTGTACTCGGCAGACATTTTGTTTTTCCTGATCATAAAGTAAAAGGAAAAAGGAAGAAGAAAGCCAGAGAGGGGATTTTTTCCGGTCTTTGGATGGTTGCCAATGACAACATAACAGGATAAGGCAGCCGAAGGAAGCCAGGGGACATGAAGCAGAAATGTTTGGATGTTTAGATCATAACTTCTGTGACAACAAGCAGCACTGCAGTCCAGATTTATGTCTAAGCAAGCATTACCAAAGCACATCAACCAGATATATCTGCATAACTTTACTATCCTTTGTTTTGTTTTATAGTGCAAGAAATATGTACTGACTGACCATTGTGCAGGGATTACACTGACTCATTTGAACATACTCTCAGGTATACTAAAACCAGAAGGTGTATACTATTGTTGTGTCCGTGGGCAATACTCTTCACTCACTTTGATAATGGATCTGGTGTGTGAGCAAGTGAATGTCTGTAGGTGTACTGGTCGAAGGGGCTGGCATCCTTCCCCAGGGCAGTTGTGGTTACATAAGTAATTTACCACCACCAAGTGTGGTGAGTGTATGAATAATGCATTATAATGGTGAAGCAACATAGAGCACCCATGAAAGCACTTAATAAATCTTATGTGTTATTAGCATTTTTTTAAGCATTTCTGTCATGTTTTCTCTAACAAACTGAAACTTCAGCATTATTGAAACTGTGCAGTTTTCATCTGGACACATCCATGGCTCTGCTAATCAAATTTGTGCAAAGAGATGTTGGTTAACTTGTTCAGCTCTATTTGCTTTTCAGTCCATCTGTGTTTGCCACAGATTTTACAGCAAATGCTGTGCAGCCTGTCCCATCATCACCAACAGCATACGGTCCTCCTGACTCACATCAAAGCCACTGTGGCCTTGTGACTCCCTGCGGCAGAATGTACAGGCCTGTTCACATCAAAGACCCTTTGTGGGGATGAGGGAGAGACTGGAACTGATTGGGTGCACATGGTTCACCCGGGCTGCATGGACAGTCTGAGCACATAGACATTGCATCCGCTTCTAGCTATCCTCCACCCCCCTTTACACGCGTTATTACAAAACCCCCCATTCATATCACCGCTCAGATAATGTCTTTTAATAGCAGGCCATGTTCCTCTTACTGTGTGGTAGTCCGTGCCAGTCACTTTGCTTTGAGATTATTTCAGCTCTATCCATGGAGCGGCTAATCTCCTTGTTTTCTCTTGTAGAGAGCTAGCGCTAATCCATGATTCCCCCTCCCTGCTCGAGGCTCCTGTAATCTGGAGTTGGAGAGCTTTGATGCGTCACTAGGTCAGTGTGTCAGATTGACTCTAAACAACAGCCAGCCTCCTCTATACCTCTCCATTCTGCATCTCTCCTTATCGCCTCACTGTTGGCTTTTAATGCCTTTTAGAGTCATTCCTGCACACTCAACCTTTTGTCTTAGTTTGCGCATTAATCCTGTAAGCATCATCTTTCCTGCAGATTTTCATTATATCCATAGAGACTGAAATAGAATAAATTACTACTGAATACTACTACTAAAAATACTGGTAGTATAGTAACCATTTACAATTTATCGAGTGCTACACAGCTCTGCAACATGATTTCAAAATATGGGATGAATTATTTATAATAACGTCCATAGATGATGTAGTACATAATGTATATTTGCAAAAATGTTAATACATGCAACAAAATGCCTTAAAATGTTTCCAACTATACTCTTTTTGACCGTCAATTAATATTGTATAAGAGCCTTAACCCTATCCAGTGGAAACCTGAAAGCATTAAAATAAACAGTTGTCCATATACAGTACAGTGAGATGTATGGAAACACTCAGGGAGGAATGTGAAGAGCTCCACATTAAGGTTTCTCTGCCTTTTTTGGACCCCTCCCACCAGCGCTGTGTAGTTCAGAAGCAATTCACAGTTATATCTCATCAGCAATTAATCCTGCATACCTAAACGTTTCTGTTACTGTATAAAATAATCATATTGTGTATTGTACTTTTCAGTGAAGGCAAGCAACCTGGTTCACGCCAGACTGATATGTGTAGCACACTGAGTTGAGTTCTAACCCACAAATATTGTGAAAATTCATCTTGCTGTGCAAGGTTAGAAGGCAAGGGTACACAAGTAAATATGCTGTTACTCATAAAAAGAACCTCTGTCAGCATGCTGTAAATAAGTCATATTATTACTGCTATTGCTGAAATAGTTATGGCTACAACTACTAGCAGTACTATAATCAGTATTACAACACTACTGTATTAATTACTTTTCCAGTTGCATCCACTAGCACTTGTCTGCTTTTATTAAAATTAGAGCCCGACCGATATATCGGCTGGCCGATATTATCGGCCAATATGGGCACCTGGAGACATATCGGCTATCGGCCGATATGCTTGCTGATATGGGCCGATATTTCACGTGGGCATGTTATATCTCCTTATAAAGCTTAGACTCTCTACATTATGTTCATTTAATCCAATTTACAGACAGATAAATGTCCTAATATGTGGCTCCGCATCAGTATTTATCTGCGGTGTAATTTGTCTGTGTCTGTGTCCGTACTGTCCCTGAACACACCACCAGAGTGACGTCACTTCACTCGCGTGTGTTTGTTTACACCCGCAGCGGTGTGCAACACTGAGATTATATTCTTTTTCGAACAATCGGTTTGAGTCTGGATTAAAAGGACATTTATTAGTGCAGACTTGTGATGTGAGGAGGAGCCTGTGTGAGCGGTGAGTGTTGGAAATACATCGACTTTGAAGCTAGTTTAGATTTTGTTAGCAATTAGCTGCTGTAGCTCCGACACATAAACAGGCTGTTTTCTATTGGTCTATTGTAAAGTGATTATATTGGCCGTATATTTGTTACTGGACCAGTATTGATATGTAAATGAGCTGTGAATAGACGTGTGAATGATCCACATTTATGCATATAATTAATTACCGCGGTGCGCACGTTTTTACGGCTAAAGGCTAATAGCGATAGTTTACTAGTTAGGAGTTATGGGTCGGTCGCGATCGAAGCGGCTCTTAGATCCGGCTCTTTGAAGCGAACAACGGGAGCATGTTTCTTATTGGGAGCCGTGTTTTCTCTTTTTCTCACTTTTTCTCTTCATGCCGCATGTAGACCGGTAGTAGTTTGACAGCAGCAGCGGCTGAAAACGAAACTTTCAGAAATCTGCGTGTGCATAGGATAAAAAAGTGCATATTTGGCTGCAGTTCAGCATAAAATGAATAAACCAGGACTAATCTTGGGCTCGAGTGCAGGATAAAGATAGAAACCGACTCCCGACATTCAGTCCTGGTTCAGTTCTGGTTTAGTCC